CGCCCCCCCCCCCCCCCCCCCCCCCCCCCCCCCCCCCCCCCCCCCCCCCCCCCCCCCCCCCCCCCCCCCGCCCCCCGCCCCCCCCCCCGCCGCTGCATATACTGGCGGGCTATAACTACTCCATCTGGCAGGATATCTACACCATCTTATATATCAACTGCTGCACTGAATATGATATATACCACCACCTTGAGCACCTTGGAGCAGGTATTGCTTACATGGCCTCTGCATATATATATCATCCAGCGTGACTTTGAGGAGCTGATATAACCAAAGACTGACACCAGGTCGTCAATAGATCCGCCATTGTAACCTCTGCCTCCTCCTTATGCAGGCGATGGCAAAGAGTGACTGATACCGGCTACCGTATCTTGGATACACTGATATGATGCAGGTTAAGTACCTATGCATATCTCTGTTTGTACAGTAAAACACCTTCTCGATAGGTGCATGGTTTTGTACTCGGATTGGTAATCATCCCTATCATGACTGGGCATACTTTATATATCCCTAGTGGCAACCCACCTTTTGGCTAGCAATGAGTACATGTATTCGTTAGGTAGTAAGGAGACAGGCCAAGATATATCCAAGAATGCGGTAAGTCGTCGGTACAGAGTCGGAGTCGGTAGATGATTACCACACTCGAAAGTGATTGCCTGTCAGCTCAGCTTGATCACAGCCTCTACATCTACTTGTTTGTGAAGATCATCCCGCCCGACATGGGATATAAAATTACGCAAACGTTGGATTCAGAATATCCAATACTTTATCTCCTTTGACACACGCACTTAACTGGGATCGTGATCGTGTCGGTGTGGGCATACAAAATAATGATTCACTGGTACGTACCTAGGTAGTGAGTTACCTACTATAAACCAGACTTGTCTGTCGGCGAGATGATAGCCTGGTATCAGGTATTTTGGTTCAAGCTGCAGACGTAACTCAAGGGTGGTTTCCAGAACGCAGGGTAGGGCACGTCGTTGGCTGGATGCTGAATGATGTACTTGCAGGATTACCTACAGCACCCGCTATCCATGTATGAGGGTTGCTTATGGCCTCCCTATTCCCATTCCCAGGCGTTCTTTTGTTCTTGTCTGGTCAGCTGCAGAGCCAGTCCATCGCTCATAACCAACCTGCTAGGTACATAGCCTATCCAAGCTACAAATACCCACTCCCAACTCTTCCTCACTTACTTTTCGCTCTTCGTCACTCAACTCTATTTACCTACCTACCTACCTATCCACCCACATACTCTATGTACCTACCTACCAATATAGAGTTGAGCTTCCCTCGTGCCAACCAAGCTCTGCCTGCGTTTTGCGCTTCTCGGCTAGCCTTGCGCCGGTTGTCCTACCTAACCTAACTCACCCCATTTGCCATTGCACTGCATAGGTATCTAGGTCGACTTATCCAAGTGCCAGCCTATCCCCTATTTATTACCTCCAGGGCGCGTGTTCATTTGACTCGGCACTACACTTTCATCTGTGCTACCTATCGTTCTTCAATTTAAGCCCTTGCCGACCTAGCATGCGCTTCATCCGTGGCCGGAACTATCAGAAACGCCCATAGCATAACATCATCTGCTGACAATGACCGTCCTCTTCATCTCAACGAAAACAAATTTCCTCAGTCGTCATTTGTTTCGCCTCTAACATTTACCGGAACCCTTTTCGAGGTTCCTGTTTGGCGACTTGTTTAATCGCAACTTAGATCGAGCATCTACTCGCATCCCTTGCCACAACTCTTCTATTGGCAGGTCTACAGATACCAGATACTCGCTGCCTTGAATCAACACCACACCACATACCTCCTGAGTGCATATCCGATCTGAACCGCTGCCGCTGCCACTGCCGCCGCCTCCTGCTGGATATCCGGTTTGCTGCCACCTAGACTAGGTACTTTGCTGCTGCTCACGAGCCAACCTTGCGTTTCGTCGCATACCTGAACCGCCAACTGTGCTGGTTCGACATCTCGTTCCCGTTCCTCGGTTGCAGGGAAAGGATACCTCGATCGACAAGGGCAAGGAACGGTTGGAGAGGCAACCCACCTCGTAGTTCTCCTTGCTTTTTGATTTTGATCATCTGCTAGACGTGTGTTTCCAACGAGTGCAAGACTAAAAGTCACGTTCTTCACACAAAAAACCACGGCGGGAAAAAATAGCCTATTGGAGCGGCCATAAGCTGCCGACCAAGTAGCTTGAGCAATACCTGAGGTCTGTCGCGCCATCCGAGATTGCCTCTAGCTGGCTGCACTACCACGTTGTACGCACTTGAGCGTCGCCAAGGCTGTGCCATTAGCCACTGTCGCAGTGCTGGCTCTCGCCTCCTCCACCGAGCCCACCACGCTAGGTAGCCACCGCCGGACCGCTCGATCACTCCAGTGGCCCGCTAGAAGTGGCCGCTAGGCAGGAAGGGAGGCCACTAACTCGCAGCGTCCAAGACCACTGTTCAGGTACCTACCTACCTACCTATAGGGGTACTTATAGAGGGTTTAACCATCACCAGTTAGTTGACTGTGACCACCAAAGTCCAGTGCGTTCGGCCGAGGCCAACCCTCTTTTCTCAATTTTTTCCCTCGCCTGCCCTGCCCACTTGTGATTAGCAGCAGCCACAGCGCACGTTCACCATTGACACGGCCATCCCTATACCTTATTTACCACTCGTACAAATTCGCCCCGGGGCCCGCTGGCCCTCGCGCTCCCGCTTTCTCTCTCTCCCCTTCCTCTCCTCTTCCCTTGCGCTCTTCTTTCTCTCTCTGTAGCTGTGGTCTTCCCAAGCCCGTTGCATCGCCGTTTTGCAACTCGTCCGAGTCTTCCATACTCCGGGCTTCGCCCACCCCTAAAGGCGACACTGGCCGTCGCCACGTCTAAGTCGGCTCTCTCATCCCGCTTCCCACCCCCCCCCCCTCCCCGGCCAGGGCCTAAGCAAGCATCACTACCCCCGCTGTTTTCTTGTCGCCAAGCAAAGCACTTCGCCCACACCTCGAGTTCAACCTATCAGGGCTCTCGCGCACCCTCACCCTCGCTGCCCTCGCTTCCGCACCCGCGCCGGTGCTTGGCAGAAATGTCGAACACTTCGGAGAAGACCATCTCACCCAATGCCTCGAAACAATCCTCAATCAAGTCTGTCGATCTTCCTTCGAGAACACCGAGCGTGAAGGCGCCGGCGCAAGGTGGAAAAAGTCCACCTCTCAATGGTATCACCGCACCGGATGGGCAGCCGAAACTGGCCGAGAAGCAATCTATAAAAAACCGGCTGACCAGGATCTTCTCCAATAAAGACGAGATACCCAAAACCGGAACCGTTGCCGATCTCTCACAACCATCTAAGCGACCAGTGCCCAGCCCAGCCCCTCCAACCTCCGGTGCTGCCGCCCCGACGAGATCAACCGTCCCTTCTCGGTCTTCCAGTACCGACGTGGCGCCTGCACCAAAGTCTTCGCAGCATACTCAAAGATATGTCGCCAATGCCAATGTTCCAGGTGGCCACGAGCACCATCTCAAGGGGAGTAAGCGACAGGAGAAGCTATCTGATATGTTCAAGTCGTTCTTGGGCAGGAAGACGGAGGCGCCTGAGGCAGATCTGTCGCTAGTGTCCAGTTGGGTTGATACGCTGCAAGAAGAGAAAGACTCGTTGGCCAATGACAAGAAAGGGGGCCCCAACCAGAGCACCACGCTTGTCCAAAAGTATGGCAAGTGTCAAGAAGTTGTTGGCCGCGGTGCATTTGGTATAGTAAGGATATCGCACAAAAAAGTGGAAAACGGCGAGAAGCTTTTTGCCGTCAAGGAATTTCGCCGTCGACCCGAAGAGAGTGAGAAGAAGTATAGCAAGCGCCTGACCGCTGAATTCTGTATCTCGTCGTCACTACGGCACCCCAACGTGATCCACACGCTGGATCTCCTCCAAGATCAAAAGGGCGACTATTGTGAGGTCATGGAATATTGCTCAGGTGGTGATCTCTATACCTTGGTTCTCACTGCCGGTAAACTGGAAGTTTTGGAGGCAGACTGTTATTTCAAGCAGATGATGCGTGGTGTTGAGTATATGCATGAAATGGGAGTCGCCCACCGTGACTTGAAGCCAGAAAATCTGCTCCTCACTTGTCACGGTGCACTGAAAATCACGGACTTTGGTAATGGCGAATGTTTTCGGATGGCATGGGAGAATAGCGCCCACATGGTTTCCGGGCTCTGTGGCTCTGCGCCATACATAGCGCCGGAAGAATACGTCGCCAAAGAATTTGACGCCCGGGCAGTGGATGTGTGGGCATGTGGCGTTATTTACATGGCCATGCGCACAGGTAGACATCTCTGGCGCGTCGCAAAGAAAGACGAAGATGAATTCTACGAACGATATCTTGAGGGTCGCCGCGATGAAGAAGGTTACGGTCCTATTGAGTCTCTACACCGGGTATGTCCTCCCACTCTCCCCTAATAGTCTTATGATCTTGATTCACTTTCCTATCATATACTAACAGGAAGTATTCTCGTAGGCCCGATGCCGCAATGTCATCTACTCAATTTTAGATCCCAACCCTTCAAGACGTATCACGGCCTCTCAAGTCCTCAAGTCCGAGTGGGGTCGGGAAATCAAACTATGCAAAGCTGGTGAAGAGGGTCTGTAATGCCACTGCTTCATATGGCCACTTTTGCCATCAAATTTCCCTTGCAGCTGATTACGTTCACGTTTGACGAATCAAGCTATCGAGGATCTCATCTCTATGTCTGCTCGAGAAAGCGCCCATGGCAGTTGCTTGGCTTGCAACTTAATGAGTTCGACCAATATTTTCCATTTGAATGACTAGATTATATCTTTTTATGTGCAAGGAGTCAGGCGTTGTGTTTGATCGGCTTTCCGCCCTCTTCCTTGCCCGACCGTTTACGAACAGTTATGACCAAATGACGCATCAGAGACCAAGACGAGAAGAAGGCGCACTGCATCAACAGGGCTGGGCTAGATGCACCACGCGGCCACGGGCGAACATTCATCGGGACGGTTCATCATTGTACAACACTATAAAGGGGTATAATGGCATTTTCCATCCTTACGAGATACCAGGCTCTTTGGGCAATAGGGAGGGTTCGGTAACCAGCGGAGCATGCATTACCTGATCGAGGCACGATCTCGAGGACCTGGGAAAGTGGAGGGTCGCCTGAGAGCAGATGGCTGGTTCATGCCACGTGAGGTTCATGTGACTTGAATCAAGGGTATATAATGGTCTGATCGACCCAGGAAGCTTGTGGTGAGGCGGAGGTCGGGGGCCCAGTCGGGGGCCTCGGTCACTCGACTTCCTCGCTTTCCATAGCAGGATAAATTGAATGGCCCCCTCAAAATTGTAAAACATATCCATTGGAACTTGTTGGCTATCTGCGGTGTCTGTCTGACTTGCCTTGTTTGGTCAGCAATGACCATCTTCAGCCCCCGTAACTTGTGTGGAATGCCTACTAAAATCATTAGAAGCATTCTGCGTCATTTGCTATGTGGCTATTCCCAGCAAGATCAGTAAGTATATTGGTGGTAAAGTTTGTATAAAGGAGGGTTCGGGTTGATGTTAAGACTAATGATGTTCGTCCCAAGCTCATCGCCTCCTGCCTTTTTACATCCACGCACTAGAGTCAGTGTCACCATCTCGATAGATGATTTATCATGGTACCTGTAGAGATCATGTACATACAGCATACATACATCGACGCTGCTATTGTCCCCATTGAAGCTAGGTAGTAGCAGGGCTTTAAGCATTTGTACACATAAAATAAAAACATTTTATCATCATCACTTACGAGGTAGGCGTAACGACGTCTGCTACCAGAAACTCATGCAGGCACCTGATGGCACGAGGGTAAAAGTCAAGGTAGTACACTTCGCACAAGAGGAGTCCTACAAGGAACAAATCGAGAGAAAAAAAAAAGTAAAATGTTACTGGTACGTAGAATTTGAATTTTGGGTGGGAGGGCCTAGAAAGGATGAAGGTGGGACTCGCATATAGTAGTAATTTGGTAGACGTTGGTAATGTCTGCTCGTCGGTCATCTAGGAAGATAGCCATAAATTTCTTAAGCTGTGAGTATAGACTAGAGATAATTCATCGCAGAGATCTAGGTGCCGATGCCTATAAAAGTAAGAGACTGCAAAGCATGGAATGTTGGTATATATATGCCGAATAGTCGTATTACGTATACACGAGAAACCTGTTTGTTTCTTGCTGGGCCTGCCAAGCCTGGTATAAACAGACTCGTCGACTGCCCATCTGTTTGCAGGGTTCCAGGACCTGCAGAATTCTTCCGAGATAAGACAATGCCAATGAGGCTTCTTCCAGCGCAGCCGTCTTTGCCTGTGATCCCATTCCAATGCAGCGATTGGCCACGGGCCAACACAAGATCCTTCAAGGCCGTGTCTTCATCAAATCTCCACCCACATCGTAAGTGCTCATCCTATAGCATCACATCAAGCCCCTGAACGCATAACCAGCCCCGTAGCCCTTAGTCGCCCCTTCCCTACTACAAAGGAGATCAATGAAAAAGCACCCTGCTATCCCTCCCTCGACATTATTCCTCGAGTACCAAGGCATGACTCGAAGCAAAACGCTCCATACTTCTCATGGCGAGTGACCTGTCGGAGTTGTCGTCATTTCATAGCTCTTGAACTGCGAGGTTGTAGATGTACAAGACATTAAGTAGGCTCCGGAATACCCGTTTCCTGTGGTATATCAAGTGACACTGAAGGCACAATAGTCCCACCGTTGAACGCAGTGCTTTGACTGAAATACTTGAAAACTTCAATTCGGGAAATCGATTGTGGGAATGCTTTGTGCTAATCGATTTCCAGTTTAATGACGGGGTCGTAATTGTAATTTCATCTTGTGCGTTCGGGTCATGCTTAATCACACAGGTAGAAAAGTAAATTTTGCTCGAAATTAAACCAAGGCTCACGAATGGAATAAATCCCACGCTCTTTCACATAAGCGAAGGAACTCATCGCGCTTCTGACGTTGTGTTTCTGGGCTATCGCGTCCAGCACCAAATGGTCCCCGTCGGGTGGCTGAGGGTCCATGTCCAAGGGGCGGACTGGCACCCTCCTCATATTCGGCCCGGGTGCGCCTCTTACTCGCACTTCGGCTTCCATCCTGAGCCGGCGCCCCATTCCTGGGAGATGGAGGGGTTGGTGGCTGATGGCCAGTGTAATGAACAAGCTTTGGTAATAACTCGGGTCGCCCACCGGCCAGTTCATGTTGCGCTTCTTCTGCGGATTTGTACTCTCTCGGGCGACCTGAGACAGGCGCCTGAGCATGAGTGGGAGGTGGGTGAGCAGGAGATGTCAAAGGAGCGTGACTCGAGCCTGGGTATAATTGCCGATTTGCCTCGCCGTGGGAAGGTAAACCTTGGTTAGCGAAAACATCTGAGATGGGAGGTAAACGGTTATTAGTTTGGTGTGCGGGAACATGGTGAATATGTGAAGCGCTAGATAAGTTGGAAGGGTGATTTGTCACTTGTCGGGTCAAAGGATGGGGATTATGGCGACCCGTGAATGTTTGGCCAAGGGGTGCGGACTGAATAACCCTCTCGTGAGCGAATTGTTCGTGTGATGGCGCAACAATACTTAATCCTGGAGGTGCTTTGTTTCGCCTTGACATGCCTGGTGTCTTAGCCGCAAACTGGCTCACAGGGTCTCTATCCTTGCCATTATCTATCCCGGGTCCAGGAGCAGGTCCATCTCCCTTTGCAGACTGTTGTTGAAGCCTCGCCTCAATGATGCGACGTTGCTGTTCCTTGACATTCATACTTTGCTGCAGATGCTCTTTCATGACAGGATCTTGTGTGACAAAACCAGGCGAAAGACAGGCTAAACCAACTTCCTGGATACCTAGCCCATCTCTGCCGCCAAGCGCTGGTCGTGCCGTGGCTGCGCCAGAGCCGGTGAGAGTGTTCTTAGACAGATCCAGCTTTCGTGGACGATGTCGGGTTGTAGGGATATCCGGAGACCCTGGTTCTTTCTTTACAATAATCTTAGGCCCTGTTGTGTTTGAAACATTGCGAAGGCTAAATTTTTATATATCAATTAGTTAAGAGTTGTGACTGGGTTTTCCAGGCAAGGGTAAATAATAATAATTAGATCAAAAGCAGGAAATAGGTGTGTGGTAAGAAAGACAAAACGTAGGAAGGCAGGCTTACGCGCTTGGTGGCGAGGACTTTTGCTGTTGAGTTGGGCTCTGGCTTGATGAGTGGTGGGTTGGAGAAGTATTAGTAGTGATGGTGTGTAGATGCGCTGTACGCGGGACCGAAGGAGAGGATGCCGTCGCGGCGGTTGCTGGTATGGAAGCGCTGGTTGTGGCCCCGGTGGCAGGCGCCAATTCGGCATAAGCCGATCTGTCGTAGGGAGCCGGAGAGGGGGCCATCGCAATTGCTGCGCTCATGGTGAATGATAATTCTACTTTTACTCTCTTCGGTTCTCCGAAATTTTGCTGAGTTTGATTCACGTTGTCTCCGACGTTTTTGCTTACTGGATTTCGTTGCTGACTGTCAGCTGAGTTACCGGCTGAATGGTTGACGCACACCAAACACGAGCGGTAGACTAAGACCGTGCAGTATGAGAAACCTAGGTTCTGGCCTGGGGTACCTGGTAGTATGTTGTAGATAGCAAGTGCTGTTTCTTTCGAACTGGTAATCGCTGGAATCAATCTGCTAGTACCTTAAACTCGGTTTAGAGAAATGTTTGTTCCTGGTCATACAGCTAGTACGACCCGAGGCAGCGTAGATGATGAAACGGGTGACGATTGCCAGGTCTTGACCGTTAGAACCCAGATATGTGAATGCAGTCGCTGTTTGCCTTCCCTAAACATGCAACCCGTCCTTCCAATGTGCCGGGCGCTGATTGGGCCAATAGAATTTATGCCTCTATACTCTGCAGTCGATACGAGTCGGCAGACGGTAGCAGCGAGAACGTGGGTCACAAAGCAAGGAGACCTTGATTGTCGCACAATAATAGACTGGGGCCCCTTTTCCTAGCTGCAGCCTTCAATCTCTCCGGGTGGTGACGTACCGCAATTGGGTCAATATGCTGCGTTTCAATTCAAAAAATGAGCTGCACGCTCGGGCGGCCCCTCGACAGCGGGCGGCAGCGCCAATACAAGGAAGGGATTCCCCTGAATGCCGAATGCTATCCTGGCCACTTTCTCCTACTTCCACGCTCACTCAAACTCCCTATTAGGATTTGGTCGGCAGCCGGTTCGTCTTGTATGCGATGTGCGTCCTGGCTGGTAAAAGTGAAAAATGCAAGAGCGTGGGATTCCGTAGTCCCTCTCTCCTAAACTCGGCCTTGGTTGGGTTGCACTTTGATCGTAACAACTGCAGGGTGCTGGACTGGGCCGTTACACAGCTGGACAAGCCGCCGAGATGGGATGCTTTGGTCGGTCGATGTCTAGCAGGGGACAGGGCCAACAGATACGATTCGACGGGACGGTACAGGCGCGCGCTTTTTGCGATAATGAAAGGACAGGATGCGAAGATGAGGCCTGCAACCATATACAGCGTACAGGATACAATAGAGCCCAGGCAGTGGCGGATACAGGTTCCTGGCTCAGCAGCCGTCTCCAACAAGACTTGGACAGGAACAAAAGAGAGGGGAAGAAGAGACTCGGGATGGAAAATAAAGAAGGGTACCTTGGTAGTAAAGGAACTAGCAAAGCGCCAGAGGCCTTGCCATGGGCCTATGTAAGTACAGTAGTGCAAGGGGGGGTGTGGATGGCTGGCGGGCGTGAAGGGAAAGGCGCAATGTAGGTAGCAGACGGCAGACCTGAACTAGGTACAGCACTCTAGACTCGACTCGAGAGAAACGAGGGCGGAAAGGGAAGAGGTTGCAGATGGGCAGAGGCAGAAGGGCAAAAACGGACGGGACAGGGTGCGCAGGCAGGGTCCGATAGAAAAAAAAGATGTTTCGAGAGAGGAGGAGGGGCAGGGTTGATTGGTGTTGAGCTGCCTCGTCTATGCTCGTCTATGTGTCGTCGATAGTAATACCGGCAGAGCATGAGACGTGTGAAGTGTTGGGTATGCTGGATTGCCTGGTGCTGGAGGATACCGCGAAGTACGAGGTCGGTACACCGTACCTACTTACGAAGAAGTACCTACTGCTACGTACCTACTAAGGTATGGTGTACATAAGTAGTATGGCGTGTGGGGAGGGGGGAATGGGGGATCGGGGGGCGGGCCCGTAGGTACTTAGTGTACATTACTGCCACTCGCTGCCTACCTACCTACAATGTATGTACATTACCATTTGCAGTAGGTACTGGAACGCCGCTGTACCACACTGAGTGACTGGTTGACTTGGCAGGAGGCTTAGGTAGCGGGGTGTAATAGCAAGGTTAGTTCAGGGGTGTTGTGTGTCAATGGAGACTTCCTAGGTACTCTACTAGGTAGGTACATGTATATACCTACTTACACAAGGTATTGCAGAATACCTAGATAGCCTCTCTCTCTCTCTCTCTCTTATCTACATACTTAGGTATGTACACTGAGAAAGAAGAAGAAGAAGAAATTAAAAACGGTCGCGATTGGAACAACCCTCTTATCCGCAGGCTGTTGTTGCAAAAGAACAGCTCCGCCGTAACGCAATCACAGAAGCCTGGACCTACGGTAGCATATGTACTTTGGGATTTCAGGAGCTGTCTCGAGCACAGTAGGTATACGCTACCTAGGTATGTACCTATATACACTAGGTTCCTTCGGGCGGTCCTCGACTGACTGCCCAAACCGCACTAGTGTTACAGGCCTGATCTTTTTTTGGCCTCAGTATCGCTATTTCATCCTTTTCCCTGACATACTTAGTGCATATGTAATACTTGATGATCGGAATGAAGCAACTTAAGTAAACACTGAACCCTTTCTAGCAACTTACTACATACCTCATATGGTCGGCACAAGAGAAGAAGAAAGAACGAAAGCATTGTACGTAGAGATGCCAACTGTTTTAGAATTCAGCACCTCGCCAGTAGCTCTTAATTTCAGGACTACCTCCGTGTTGTAGAAAAATGGCTGGCTGGAGACGTCTGAGCAGAGAGGTCGGGATCTCTTTCCCCATACGTACTTGCGTTATACATATACAACATCCCCTGTCCTTGTCCAAACCATCTTTATCATGATAATCGATAGGCGCCTCTAGTCTAACCGACAAACACGATGATCAGTACTTGTACTACTTATGTAAGTACGTCGAGTGTTGAGGCTTACTGTGATTTACCTCGACGACAGTCACCTTTTGACGCTGCTCCATGACTCGGTAAGTCAGCCGAACAAAGTTCACCTCTTGTTTGCTTTCGCTCTACCTACAATGACTTTTGGGCACACCTAGTATGTAAGTAAGTATGTGGACACCCTTATCTGCCAATGTACTACCTAAGTAGGTAGGTATAAATGGGCAAAGTGGTCCTGGTTACATAAGCAGACAGACTCTTCAGGGACATGGCCTTCCAACCTCTATCCGCTTCCGTCCTCTTTCCTAATCTGTCTCATTCTAACGTTGTGGCAATCGTCGGTAGATACAATACATCGCCAGGCAGGCCGTGTGTGTGGTGATGACGCTGGCGGCGTGCGACCAACAATACCGTCGGTATGTAAGTAGTGTATTGTAGACATGATAATGTCATGATAGGCCGGCAGGGCTTCTCCCACCAACTTGTCCCACCATCAGTGTGTACACCTGTCCACAGACTATTGAAATGCGAAGGGTGAAATGGCGAAAAACGTGCCAATCGGCGCGCTGAGAATCGAGTCGTCCTCTATAATTCGTCCAGCTGTTGCGACACGGGTCGTCGCCGAATCACTCCTTTGCACTTAATATTACCAGATTCTGACTTGACCAGCCCTCGAAACCGACCGGGCTCCACATGCACGACTACCCACTGGCCCACGCACCGCATCCTTGTACTCCGTACTTCAGGTGAGATCAGGCGAGGCTAAAAGGGTACGTTCGTGATCCCTGCCGCCGCCGCGGGAGGGAGCGCGAACTTTTGCTACTTACTTCGTACATACTTACACATAGTGTCTAAGTATGTAGTGACTTTGCTCTCCGCTACGCTAGGCTGCGTGTAGGTAGTGTATGTATCAACAAATTTGGATTCTGACAACTGGTTGGCGGGAAATTTTGTCAGGAGCGCGACCTAAAGATGGACTACTGTTGCTTGCCTCGCTCTACGAGATGAAGCGTTCGTTCTCTTGCGCAGAGGCAACAAAGCGGCGGGTTCAAAGGCTACTAGTTTCCTGGTCGTCGTCGCAAGTCAAAACTTGCAGTTCCAGTCTGGCAACTCCCAAAGTGGATCCGCGCATTCTGCCCGCTGCGTCCTTTACTTCCATTGCCACCTATCCGGCTGCCCCTCGGCCACAATGTACGAAGTACGCCGGGCATATCCAACCCGTTTCTGCGTATCTATCTCGGCGGTATGAGAAGAAGCATAGGCGAACGGAAAGAGAAACAGACCACGGTAGTTACGGAGTTGCGGTCTGAAGTGCCGCAAACCGAGCTAGTGCAGTGTACACTACACGACATTGCTGTGCGGTAACAGTAGGCTAACTTGTGACCTGGGCCAACATCAGACGGAAAAACCAACACCATCGTTTCATGCAGGATCGCTATCGTGGGCTAAAAATTCTCGGCGGCGGGGGTTCCCAGTGTTTGACGTCCCTGTCGATCCCTGCTTTGAGGGGATTCACACCTAGCCGAAATAGATGCGCTGCCTCGTGTGTACTAAACTAGGTTCTGTCCAAAAATCCCACCATAACTCCAACACCCCGGTAGCGTCGCGCACAGGATGCTGGCTGGTGCGAGCTTCGATTGAGTATTTCTTGATCCTCTGTGCCGCAGTTTCGTACATACTATAGTACTATGTATATTATGATTATTGCTGATAAATTCTCATTACCACTGTATTTCAGCGGCTAAACTCTTTTTGCAACCGTGGGCGTACGAAGTAGGTAGATAGTGTTGAGACACCAGCTACCAAAGGAGCCGAGGCTTGAAAAGGCCAGCCTTTAATATCGTAGCTCCTGTTTCAGCTTCCATCATGTGAGGATAATAAACAACAATTGTATATACCTGTGCTAAGTCTGATTCCACCCCTGCCATACTTGGTTATTATTGTTGTACTGTAAGTACTTACTATGAGTAGTAGCCAGAGCCTCTGGTTATCCAGCAAGATCTTCTGTCTTGGATGAGATACGCAGTCAAGAGAATGCGAAGTTGGGCCCGTCTGCTTGTAGATTGCCCCCTGCCCTTTATCAACGTCTGCTCTACTAGTAGGTACCCAGACCCCTCGGTATTCACAAAACGGCTGCAGCCACAAAACGCCTGAGTAAGTGCGTAACCAATTAAAACGTCATTTATGGCTGGATCTCTGAGACCTGCCTCTAATGGGGCATTACGGGCTGAGTGGTTAGTATCAAGAGTTTACGTAGGATGCCAAAGAGACTACATAATCTCGCCAACACTGGACGATCACAAGGATGTTCACTTGTATGTATGATACAACCAATTGCACCGCTTCATTGATTGCCATAAGTATATATAATGAAGATCTACCCTATCGTGTAGCGCCGTACTTCGTGCCTGCAGATTTCGATCACATCTTATCAGCTTGGTTTGAGTCAGTGTCTCATGTTGCTGACGTGAGTGTGGCACGCTGCAGCTGCGTGCGTGAATCCTTGTTGCTTGTTGGTAGTACTGGTTTCTTCTTTTTCCTCCTTAGTATTTAGGTAGGCAATGGCTACTAAAATGGAATTTCTCACCTGTCATGTCAAACAACCTGCAAAAGGAGAATATAAAAAACAGGATGAGAAACTGCAAGCGGTCGTTCATATTCAGACGTACGAGAGAATGTGGTCCAATGAAGTCTAGACCCAGGAATTCGATTCTACGGCGACGCATTAGACTGGGCCACCTTGAAGTTGCATGCAGCATTGTAACCATTATTGTGACGGCCGATGGCCCAAGCGGGCAAGCGGGTTGCCACATTCTCAAGGGCGATTACGGATACCTACCGGCTTGAGATGGGCTTAAGAATACTTGCTACTTTGAACCAACAAGTGGTGGGCATCTTTCAGCGAGACATTTCATCAGGTTCTGATCAGGGTTCGCCATCAACGTAAATCATCGTCAAACCTTTCCCAGCTCTATCAAAAATATGCACTCTTCCATCGTACTTAACGTAGTAGGTAAAGATCTGATCTCCCTTACTGAGTGGCAATTGCGAAGTTACACAACGTTGCTCAAGCTACAGCTTTTTTATAATTCATATTAATTGAACAATCGGAGATGAGAAATTGATCAGTGAAGGTCATTCTGTCGAGATGCACAGCATATGTACCTCACGTTGCATGTGAATGCGACGATTTGGGGGAGGAATCGCCAGTTGTGTGGCAGCTGGCTGGCCATGAGGCTGGCTTGATTCTGTATAGGTACTCAGGTACCACGTACATAGAAAGCGCCTTATCACATGCGGACCCAGAAAAATTCGTCGTAGATTTTATCGAGCCGTAGCTTGCCTTACCATCAGCCCCGCCGCCTAAAAGTATATCAACAACTTCGGTCAATAACCAATATATCTCTTTTACAATCTCAGACAAAGGGTAGGAAGGAAAGAGGAAATGCCGGCAAGAACGAAAGCTCACGCCCCCAGCGCAGAGGATGCTCATATGGAGGATGCTACTCCCACATCGGCACAGGTCACAAACAGCCAAGAAGACGGCGACCCCATGGAGGAAGATGAGGATAATGAGCTTGGCGAGGAAGAGGAGGCTGAAGAGCCTCAGAGAGTCCGCATTGTAAGTTTAATCATTGCCATTTCCTATTTTCAACAGCAAATGTATTAACAAAATTACCATTCTAGCTGCCCGGATCTACAAGCACAGCAGCATCCTTTGAGTTCCTTAAGGAGGGCCATACTCTGGGTAATGCCCTTCGATTCATCATCATGAAGAAGTACGTAAAATGAGGCTATCTCTCCGCAATTATATGGTCGTCTTGCGGCTAACAAAATTTGATCAGCCCCGATGTCGAATTTTGCGCTTATGCTATCCCCCATCCATCAGAGGAGAAGATGAATCTAAGAATTCAAACTTATGGTAGGACTTTCAGTGGTTGTCGTACTTGTTGATCCCCTGCGCTACTCTGGCTAACTTTTGACTCTCTAGATACAACAACAGCCACTGCAGCATTAGAAAAGGGGCTGCAAGATTTAGAGGATTTGTGTGATGTGGTCTCCGAAGAATTTTGGGCACAAAGAGAGAAGTTTATGGCAACAAAGTCCCGATCGGCTTGATCCGGCATAATTGCTTTAGGCTTTCACAACAGGCTCGGTACGAGAGATAGAAAATTCGTTATAGGTATAGCATAGTGCGGCGTTTGGCGTAAAACCACGTCTATAGAGGCATTCGGGCTTCTTGATGTTTCATGTACAATATATGGACTTCTGATACCCAATTCTAATTGCGCCCCTAGAAAAAGTTAGTGAACACATGCGTACGATTATTGATCATGCATACTTACTTCTAGGAAACCTTGCATAAAGTTGCGCGGCAGCCTGTCTGATCCTCGAAAATTCTCAGACTCGAAATATGACATGACGTGTGTGGTCTGCTTCCAGAAGTTCATCATTTCCTGCGAGACCAAATATCAGCATGTTGTTCTCAGCTAAGTCCAGATATTCCCTTCTTAGCAATTGATGGCAGGTATTGAGAGCTGTATCAGCAATGATAGACAGACCTGGTACTCCGCATTGTTTTGCATAAGCATCACGTCGACCACTCCTAGCTTATTCACGTATCGGTGTCGCTCGAATTCCTGTCGCATCCGCGTGCGGATACTCGATACGGGGAACGGAACAGAGTACATTGTTTGGATCTCGGGGGCCTGTCCAAGATTCGTCCGGGTAAGCAATGAATTGCTTCTGCTAGAGAAGCGCGATCCAGAGCACTTGAAAATCGCGGATTCTAACAGAATGTGGAGTCGGAGGAACATACAGCTCGGATCCATTCTCGGTAGGCAGCTAGCACTCGTCGCTTTGCATCATTCCAGTTCGCCGCTAGAACATCAATTAGCTTAGATTCCGCAATTCATGAGAATTAACTGACACTGGCGCGTTACGCGCGCAAATTGGGTGGGAGTCACCGCCATCCTGTGTGATATCTACCGTATTGGTATAGCATGAGGTTCATTCAGGCGACGTCAAGCTCGGGATGCTCCCTCGGGCTGTGGCTAGGGATTGGGGAGTGGCAGCCATACCATGCTTAGTCATGCATCAAAATGTGGCGCTAGCTCTATCCAACCCGCCTGTGATCAAGGGAATGCCTACCTACATATTACAACTACCCCACCACCATTAAATCCAGTGTCAAAGCAGACAACGATACAACAATCACCGCTCCGGCCGTCTTTTTGCGACACGGCATTAGCTCCAGCCACCCTGAAAAATAGTATTCGCAAACTTCGATCGCCCAAAAGAAACAAAGCGGCAGCAACTATGCCCGCCATCCGCACGCACGCCGCGCGGGGCAAGAAGCCGCCAGCAGGCTTCGACGATATCCGCGACGACCTTGAAGTATTCGGCATTAAGATGAAGGACGCGCAGAACACGCCCACAGCCAACGTACCGAAGCACCAGGCACAGTGGCCTATTTTCCAGATCGCGCATCAGCGGAGCCGCTACGTCTACGAACTCTATTATGAGAAAGAGGCCATCAGCAAACAGCTATACGACTGGCTGCTCAAGAACGGCTACGCGGACCCTATTCTGATCGCCAAGTGGAAAAAGCAAGGATACGAGAAGGTGAGTCTAGCTCTGTCTTTGGTTGTTCTCCATCTGGGAAAAGGTTATCAAAGCCAATACGAAGGTCGTTGGTTGCGACTGTGTTCTATGTCTACGTGCATCGTAGACGATGGCACACGCACAGGACAATAATGGGCATCTATATCTGGCGAGTAGCTTAAAGATTAGTTAGGGAAATTCTAGGCCCAAGCCCATGTGTTCTTGGATATGGCGCTAACTTCTTTATCTCTTCTAGCTATGCTGTTTAAGATGCATGCAAACCAAAGAGACGAACTTTCAGTCGACTTGTATATGCCGTGTACCGAAGGCGCAATTGAAAGATGATCAAGATGTACAGTGTGTGAACTGTGGCTGTAGGGGATGTGCGTCAAGTGATTGAGGACGTCGAGATCGTTTCATTCAAAGAATACCCAGCATTCGGGCGTTAAGGAGTTATAAGGGAATAGCTTTTCGCAGGTCAAGATACTGTCTATGTATTGGGTTCTAGACAGCCAAATGTTTCTCAATAGATGGAATCGCATAAACAATGCCCTCTAGCTTCTAATGCAAGGGTATTTTCCCATCTTATTGACATCGCTGCATAATTCTGATCGCGATTGCCATGCCGCTGTGCGCTGTGCTGTGGATATTGGCTATGCTCATTGTCACCATTCATATCAAAATTCAGCTCTTAGCAAATCCTGTTTTCCCTCTTCCTCGGCCAAACTTAACAGACGTAGGTACGAATTGCAAGGAGGACATTGCCCCAGTCAGATAATCTATCTCACCATCGGGAGTTTCTGCCGGTGGCCTTTTCTCAGGTAATTTGGGCGCAGTCATAGGTGAGGATTCTGTTACCTCGTCTGCCTGCGACTTGGAGGTGTCGACTTGCCGAAGGCTCTGTCGTCGTTGCGATGTTTTAGGAACGCTATTCGTTGTGGCGGTAGATGACCTCCTCCGATGGTGGCCTCCGTCTAGTAGAAGAGAGGTCCTGCCGTCAATGCCGTCTTTGGTGAGCGCGAAGAAATAGTTCTTCGGATACATATGTTTATCAATCAGGTGACTGCGCCTCTTATAGGGAGTCCTGCATTTCCGGTCACACCCTTCAACAAAACACGAGTACTACACAAAAAAGTCAAAAGCGTGCATTACAGTCATAAGGGGGTTCGTTACATACCGTATGTTCGCCCCTTTCCCTTTTCACGGCGGCGAACACATCGTGGCAGTCCTCAAAATGAACGTTCAGTAAGTGCTCAGAGGGGAAATTTTTGTGGCAATCAGCACACCGGTTCGTGTGTAGCTTATTGTAGTGAGCTTCATATTCCCCGTAGGTCGTGAAAGACAAGACGTCTCGGTGTGGCGGGAGTGAACATCTCATTGCAACGTCTGAGCTGGTATCAACGGCTGATTCATCAAGTTCTGCTATCTTGGTGGCGGGGCGTGCTGCTTCTTCCGGTTTCAGATCATCAGGAAAGCCGACGGTGTCTGTGGGATACTCTTCTTCGGGCTCGCGTGAGCGCTTCATCTCGTGCAAGGTAATGGATCTCAGGATGGGGGATATTACATTGGTAGCAACAACTCGCTGGATTCCGTTCGGTAGTTTATCAACTTCAGGTCCGTATGAGTACGAAACGCTACTTATTCATTTGTCGCTGAGGCGGAGGCCGTCGCAAGGTATGATCAAGTTTATGTGAGAGCCAACCATTGGTAGGAGGGAAATCCGATCAGATAACGGTGAAGGAATAAGCCGACTGTAAAGCTTGTTTACCTATAGTATACCTAGCTGGGAATAATACATGGGAATTCCGAGACACTCGATTTTGGATATCTTAGGTTATTGTTTGTGCATCGGTATGTATGAGATTGTGATGCTCGTTAGGAACCTGCATGGTGTAGAGCGGTCAGAGAGAGGAGAAGATGCATGTATAGATGCCTGGTATCTTAGGTTGCAACTTGAAGCATAACCGTTTTTTGTGTAATGTTTAGCGCAGCCGCCGCTTTTGCTTAGGCTCCGCTCACACTGTCCCCAGATGGACTGTACAATGATACAGTATATAGGTACTTACAATGACGCCTCTCACAGTTATGAGACAGTACCCCTTCATCAGTATCTCCCAGTTTACAGACTTTCAGTGGAAGTCAATGTCGAGCCACAATCTATCAATGCTCACTTCTCATAGCGGGGCCCACACAGCCCTTGAGGATAAGTCTGGACAAGGCCTCTTGCCTGGAGTTAATGCGATTTAGCGGCCGAAGCACGATAGAAGGTAGGTTGGTACGCACACAAACCAAAGAAACCCCAATAGATTCAGATGGGTGCCTGAGCTACGTTACACACATAATCTCAAAGCTGGCTAGATGTAGCGATATTGCTCTTGTTGGTTGGTTACCGTATATATGGTATGAGACAAACGCTCACTGGTCTGCTAATTGAATCTCTCCTCGGTAGCAACGTGCTCTATCTTATTCTGATGCCGAGTGCATGGCTTGCCCGTCCGATCTCATTAGACGGCGAGCAATCGGGCTGAATCTTACCAAATTAAATGCCCGGTGTCCCCCTTTGACATCTCTGCTAAGACCATGTCCCTTGACTGGAACAACATACCTGCTCAGGTAGCGGTACCGTTAAAGGCGCTGCAGGATTATTCCCTTCTTTGAGACAATACATGTCCAGGGCATTTGACGTTCAACCATAGTGGCGTGCTGTTGTTAACCCACTTATGATTACCCTTGGTGTCAGGTTATAGTCGTGCCTTGAGTCGAGGCCTGCATCCCCGGGGATGGTGAGATATATCGACGCAGTCGTCAAGCATGGGCTCTCCATACTTAAATTCGGATCATAAAGGTACAATTGTATATGTGAATATCTGAATTCTTCCTTAGCTGTGTTAAATTATCTGACGTCATACCATCCGTTTGAAACCTGGGAGAGCACGTAGCGCCCAATGATCTATATAGGACTATATGATAGGCCTAGTCATGGCCATTCTAGACTACGACTTCGCAAGCATCTTACATCCGCTGTAGGAATTTCCGCCGCTCTATGAAACAGTGCCCGCTATCCTCGGCTGAGGAATAGTGCGAGCCTAATAGCTAATATACATGTAAGCCCCAAGGTTGAGTGGCAACCTACAGGCTTGCTACACTCTCAAGGTGCTTGACGAGCCGAAATGCATTAATCCGGCTTGTAACGAAGCGCGAACTTCCCTGTTTTCTACCGTAGACTCCTCGCCTTCTTCTCGAGAGTAGTAGCGGGGTACGTTTCGCTTATGAAAAATGCCTGGACAGTTATCATAACTCCCGTTAAAAACATCAATCTACAACGCGGCGTATTAGGTGGTATAGGCTGGAAAGATACCAAGCTAACGCTACTATAATTGGAGGGTCTTGACAGTTGAGACCGGGTTGGTGATGTGCCGCTGCCTAGAGCTTGATATGATATTGACTTTTGAGCTTAATAGTGATTAGTTCAAGCACACAGCATAGCAGCAGATACCGACCTTGAGGCCAAGCTTGTAGATGGTCTTCAGTCCTTGTATGACTGAGGCGAAGTGGTTGGTCTTGTCAACTCCAAATAATCCACGCCGAAATCGCCGAGCATCATCGCAGTCTTGGTCTTGATCTCGATTGTGAAGAAGGTGTTCACGAATTACTCACCTTCTTGAGTCGTCTCCGCAATTCGCTTCCGTTTGCGAGTAGATTCCAGAAACGTGGTTAGTGCTGATAATGTTGACGCGGTTTTAGACACTTACTCATTGTCGACTTAAAGAAGCTGATTAATGTTATTTGCAAAATCTCTACAAGCTTCCCTACTATCACGATCGTAGGTGGGAGACTCTTCTAAAATGCTTCATTACAGTAATGATTAAGGTATTGCTATAAATACAATCAATAATTAAAAACTTAAACACTTAAAGAATGAAAATAGAATTCGCTTAATCTAGAATGCAAAGTTTAATATAGGTTACTTACCGCTTTAAATCTGTTCGGCATAATTCAAAACAATCCAATTGTTATTAGGATAAACCTATTACCTAATTATAGCAATTTCTAACGTTATTGCGAAGGTTAGGAACTCCAATTCTACTTCTTACGCTATTCTTATATTAGATAATTAAAACAATCAAGATCATAACCAAAGAGTGTTTAGTTACAGCCCTGAATGTTGCGTATTCTATCATTTAACACCATCTGGGGCCTGATCCCAGGGTTAACAAGCTTCCACAGCATCGCAACAGCAGAGCAGCCTACGTAAGGACTCGAGAGCATTAGGTCCTGGCTATATCATCTCTTGACGTAGATACAGTGAGATTGGCCGTATCGAAACGGATAGTAACATCAAAAGGACATGACTCAAAAAGCCGTATTTTCCCTGGCTCTCGGCACTTAAGGCCTAATCTTTGAAGCAATACTTGGTGATCCCTCTTGTCGCCTTTAGCTGGAATTTAGTAGACATATGTTCTCAGAAGCTGCAAGATGATAACGCTGAACTTATGCTGAATTCTAAGACTTTGAATATAGGTCGTCTTGTTTAAGCTAGGGTTATTAAGGCTACTTTTGATATCACCTGGATTTGGAAGCGACTTATCTGGGAGCGTATACCCATTTAGCTTGACTCTCTAAGCTTAGAGGAAATGGAGTCGTCGTGGTCTCCTCTGACAAATAAAAGAACAGAGGGCAGTTCTTAGCTTTGCATTTTCCTTTGCGGCACGGGACTCCATAATTGTAAACAGATGGATGACATCGTTCCTCTTTCCCCAACGTTATGGAAGTCTTCTCGGAACCTTTTTCGCGGCATGGAAATTGAGCACCCTTGTGGACTCATTGATCGTGCATTTTCAGCTCCAACCCTGTTTTCTGGCATGTTTCGCAGCCGGGCTCATTGTAGAGTCAGCCAGCCACCTTATTGTAGCTGTATCTAGGTATCCTGGTTTGAAGAAGGCGGGCTTGTCGTCTGTTTTTCTACAGGGCTGGCTCTGTTAACTAAGCTTTACTGCAGCTAGGTCTCTACGAAGAAAGCATCTTCTTGCACCCTACTATGCGGCACAGGACTTGGAGGCCATGAGACTCTTATTTGTACCTTTGCAAACATGCCTTTATGGAATAGGATTTGCCGCGGCCAGGTGTGTCGCAGGTCAATCTTGCTTTCGTAGGTGGCGTCGCGTTCGATTGGTCAAAATTTGCAGAAAGAAGTTAAGATTTTCCTCATAAAACGCAGAACATATCTATAAGGTTTATCGAAGGAAGGTTCACTTTCATATGTTTTATATCTTACCTTAATTACACACCATAGGTATTGCACTAAACTCTGTGCCTCGACTCACATGTACTGGTGCGAACACTATTGGTCCCTACTTAGGTATTGAAAGGTAGAGAGGCTGTACCTAGTAGGTAGTACTATGTAGGTACTTCGGTACCTAGGCAACTGTATGGTTTTCTTCGCTGTACTGTGCTGGGGGTACCTGTTCTCAGCCTGTTCTCAACCTGTTCTTGGTGCTTCGTAGTGCTAACCTTGGAAGTACATATACCTAGGTAGGGTAGGTACTTAATCAAGTTTGTAGGCAGGTATTGATCCTATTCACCACCAGAGAGGGTATTCACCACCATCCGTCCATTCATCGTGCCAACACCAGCCCATTCCCATTCTCTCCCGCACTGCCGCCGCAGACGACACCGATCAAACAACACGTCCGCGACACTGCCTCTGCAATCGCAGTCTTCTTCGCTGTCGTCTACTGCTGCTTCTACTTCTCTTATACTTCGTTGGTATTCCCTCATTGCTGGCTCCCCCCCGTGCCATCTCTACCCAAATGTTCGCAATATTTGCCTTCCAAGACGTCGCTATTACCGCCAACCCTTTGACCTCGGCGTGCCCCAGCCCTCGATCGCCTCACCAGCAGAACTATGGCCCTCCCATGCATTCTCGACCCCGCGTTCAGTTTGTGTGATCCGATACCCTGGCTGTGAGCCCTGTGCCATCTCTTCTCGGCCGATTTTACTTTCCCCTACGCGCACCCGGATCGGGTGCCTCCTCTCCCTGCCTACCCACCTCCCCAGCGGCAAGCCAACTAGTACTTTTTTCCTACTGTCCATCTCCTGCAACACTTGCACCATGGCAAACCAGAGAGAAAGCGCGAGGGCAAATTGGGGGTATGTATTCTGAGGAGTGATGCTCTTAACCCTGGAGCAGCACAACCTTGTTGGCATGCGCTATTACTAACACCCGTGGCAGAACTGCCCAAAAGATTCGCACAGACATGATGGAGAAATTGCAGGGCCTCACAAAAGAGCGTGGCACTGTCAATTACACTACTCGGTTCGAGGAAGCCGAGCAGAACATGGCCCAGTACGTTTTCGGTTTTGGCTATCATCTAGGTGCTTCTGTGCTCACTGTAACATAGGTTTCGCCTGGCCTGCATGACTGTGATCTTCCATGACTTCGAATATGCTGCTACAAAGAAGGTGGAACATTCTCTGTGGACTTGTCACACATTCTTGAACGGCGAGTATCGGAAGGCACTGGGCCGCCTGAACACGCCCAGCCAAGTTGTACAACGGCGCAAGCTGGACAAGCTTTACAGGGGATTTCTAAAAACGTCGGAACAGTTCTATTTCGTCTATATACAACAACTCTATAACCGGTTCTCTATTCCTGAGTTGCGACAAATTGCTTGCAAATCTAATAAACCTCAACTTGTTGAACTGGAAACGGAGAATGCTTCGCCTCCTGCACCCTTGCGTACTCTGATTCTAAAGTCATGCCATATGACCTTAGTTCGCTTAGGCGACCTCGTTCGATACCGGTGTCAGCTGTCTGATAAATTTTCCAAGGCCACGTTTGAGACAGCCTCTGACTACTACAGTCTGGCAAATAGTCTTGATCCCGAGGATGGTTCGGCCCATCATCAGCTGGCCGTGCTACACAAAATACCAGGCCAACATTTTGATATCGTCTATCACTTTCACCGCGCAATAGCCGTCTCTAGGCCGCACGAGTTGGCGCTCCAGAACCTTGAGCGAGAATTCAAAAGTCCAGAGAACTCTTATCAGGCAAGAAAAGGCCCGGCCAAAGACCAATCGCAAGCTATGGTATCCTGGTTTGTACAACTACATGCATTCTATTACCACGGAAAAAATTTCTCAAGGCAGGATGAGCTGGAAAAGGAAGTGTTGCATCGCCTTGAGATTGCGTTCAAGAGTGAAAACTCCGACAACACGTTGCTGCTCAAAATGATCCTTGTCAACATGGCAGCCTACGATATCTCGACACAGAAAGTCAACTGTGAGTTATGATCTCTTGATGCGTTATGCTCACCTCTCTAACAATGATTATCAGCTTCATGGACCATGGAAGGCTCACAATCATGCCAATTTCTATTGCGATTCAATATCCGCACGATGCTCATTCTATCTCGGCTACTAGATCGTACGCTATGCGACAATACACCTGCTACCACATCTGGCGGTAAGGCGATTGATGGTGAGAGCTGCATCAGTTTTCCGCCCAGCCTAATCAAACTGCTCCCCCTTTTCCGATTGTATATCGCTTGGTCATATGTGAGCAGATCCGACCTTGTCCAGTACCAGGAGTACCTTGAGCCATATGTGAAGGACCTTTACAGGCTGCTTGCCGACATACTCACGTCCCTCAATAAATATATCGACATGACAATGGACACAGTCTCGTCCAAGTATCTCCTACCCGAAGACAATGAAGCTCAAGGCATTCGGCCACTTAACGATAGGATTTTACCATTATTTCTGTGTGTAGAAGAGCAACAGCGTTTCAGCCCCCCCAAAAGCGTTAAAATACGGAAGCCCCAGCAGAATGTGTTTGGACGCCAATTCAAGCAAGAAACAGAGGCAGTCTGGCGCATCAGGGATATTGTCTGCTGTGGAGTCTTTCTAGCAGGAAGCGTGAAATTCCCCGTAGCCTTGACAACTCAGACCCAGCAGGGCCGCGACACCGAGACTTGGATCTTCGTGGATGGAACAACGGCTGCCTCGAATGAAGCCACTTTATCTTGTCTCCTGAACAAACTTAATTTTGGAGACACCAAGAGTGGCATAGAGAGCACCGTGGAGCGAGTAAGGAAACCACAACCATCGAATAGCAAGAATGGACCCATGGCAACTCCAGGGAATGCCCCACAAGCAAGTGTGCCTTCGACGGATAACATGCCGAACAAGGGCAAAGGCAAATCTTCAACCAGGCCATCTACGAATTACCTAGATTCAGATCTGAGCGAAGATAGCGAGATGATCAACATGGTTAACAAGCTTCTAGATCCTGTTGATCATGTTCGTTCACACTCGAGCCAGGCCCAGGGAGATTCAAGCTATGGCATGCATTCCTCTACAGCAAATGAGATATTTGGAAATCTTGAGAGCAGCCCAATGCAGCCATCCCCCGTATCAAAGGCGATCCCGAACCTTCCCTGGGACTACTTTTACAAGCCTACTCCACATTTATCAAGTAATCAGGAGCAAAACCAGTTGATCTCTAACGGCCACGATGTACCAAGGAGCGCGAGCGGCCGGTTTAATAGAGTGACTTCGTCGCCGTATCTCGATGACCTCAGTGCATCTTACCAACAACTTCCTACAAGCTTATCTCCTCGGCCAAATACGGGCTATATGCGTGACTCCCCAATTCTAACCACATCGTCTCCCGGTCTTTACCAGAAGGACTATAGTAATGATTCGTTGGAGGACTCGCGAAGCGCCGTCCTTGACAGCTTACGATCAGCGCTGCTCGCTCAGCATGGCCTTTCTAGCGATAGTTCATCGAATGTCAACCCGCTGAACCGTGCGAGCCCAGTTCCGACATGGGGCCAGGAGAATGGAACAAGTGAGCGTCTATTTGCCCCGCCACGAGCTTTCGTTCAGTCGCAGGAACAAGAGCGCAGGCATATTAGTAGCTATCGTGAGCGCTCGGTTAGCCATTTGACTAATGCGATGGCTCTACAAAACCCACTCGGTCCACCAGGCCGAGGCAAACCCGAACCGAAGCAGGCGACATTGACCAATGACCCTGACCATTCCCCCACGACGATGAAATCTGCTTACCACGAGGCTGACAACCAGTATTTACGGGGCCAGGGGAGCTCTCACAACACGTTCTCGTCCTGGTCGCATCAACCTTTTAATACGACTGGTTCTTCTCCAATTTTTTCAAATCCTAGTAGCCTGATTGTTGGTACGCCAGGAGTGGCTCCCGCGAACTCGGTGGCTTGCAATGGTCATTATTACAACGCTACAACTCCGTTTGGCCGTTCCGGCGATGGTGTCAACAATAGGACGGATCCTACTCATTTTCGCAATCAGATGAAGACCACAGTAGGCACTTCTGAATTTCCATACGATCAGCAAATTCTACAGGCTGCGATGATGGGTAACAACCACAAGCCGCGTCCCAAGTGATGGAGGCTCACAGCGACCTTGTTGTTGTTATAAGGCTGACTAGGCTCTCTACTTTGGGAATACTAGATAAGAACCGGAACAGCGCCGGCGCGAGTTAAGAAAATCCCGTGAAGAAGGAACTAACCGTTCTGTGACTCATGAGAGGCGCTTGGGAGCAGTATCGCAGACTTTCTGGCTCGAGGTCGTAAGATAACACAAGCTTCTAACTCGAGCGCTGGCATTTCTTTCGCTTTAGCTTGTGCAGGAAAGAAAACTGCGAAAACTCCATCGAGTCGCGATACGCGACTTTCGTCGGTGCGCACGCACTTGGATCAATTTCGGTTTCTTATTTGCATAAATTGAGATGGATTGGAAGAACTTTCCCAGTTGTTGAAACCCAACAAAGATATCACATACAAACAAAGAAATGTCTTGTCGTTTTGTTTCGCCGTCGCAAATGCCATGCTAAGCCAGCCACACCAACCCAAACCTTGCCCAATCTAAGAACGCCGGCCCTTTTGCGTAAAGTTGAGTAACGCCAAAGTGTACCAGGTGGACGGTACCTAATGCTATCATTTCACTGCTTCGTCTTCTTTCTTTTCCCCCAAAAGTCTCAAAAGTCTCACCTCCTGAGATCAGGCAGATTCATGTGGTTGGTTAGGAAGAAGGTTGGTAAGTCCGCTTGGGGAAGGGGTACCTATGAAGATGAAGATGTCAGATCCAACTCCGATATTCAAGGGTATCCTGAGGTCGAACTGATTCTGAGCAGGGAGGTCTGAGTCTGGTAGATTCTGAGATTCGACTTTGGTGCTATTGTTGCTGTTCATAGGTAGCTCTCGGGAAGATGGCTACTTTTCAAAGCCGCTTCAGACAGATAGCTAGATATGAACAGACAGAGATACATAATTGTCGCGTATCTTTTATATTTGTGCCATTCGTGACATGACTTATGAAATTTGTATGCGGGACAAAAGAACCAAGGAATACACGAAAGAGAAAGGGTAACTTACGAAGGACCGAGCTCTTGAATGCTCAAAGCCGCAAGCCACTGTCCCATATCCACAGCGGTATTAATATCCTTGCCTTGGACGAGACCAGCAACAAAGCCACCAGCAAAGGCGTCACCGGCGCCGTTGGTGTCGTTAATCTTGTCGGCACCGATAGCGTGGACTGGGAACTGCTTGACCTCGTCCTGGCCCTGAACGGCAACGACGGTAGGGTTCGTCCCCTGAGTGATGACCGCAACGCGGGCCCGTTGTGTGTTCTTCTTGGGAAGATTAGCGAGAGCCTTGGCGATGGCAGGGATATCCTCGGCAATGTCGGCGAGGCCATGGGATTTAGCATAGGCGGCGGCCTCGGTCTCGTTGCATATTATATAGTCCCAGTATGGGGCTGAGGCGTCAAGCGGGTCTTTGAAGAACTCAGGAATGAAAGGCGCCGAAAGGTTGACGATGAAAGTCTTGTTCTTGGCGGCGGCCTCCTCCCCTAGGGCCATGATGGCTGGCGGGCAGACTTATGGCGGGGATACTTGTTAGCTCAAGACTTCCGTCCGTAAAAGCCGGGAGAGATCAAGAATAAATAGAAATAGCATGATCGAGAGTATTAGATCTCATACCGGTAAAGTGGAACCCGCCAACATAGTAGAAGTCGGCGTTCTCGGCAAGCTTCCAGATCTCAGGCTGCTTCAGATGCTCAATGTCGTAGAGATTGGCGGCGCCGAGGTCTGTGCAGAGAGAGCGGTTCATGCCGGTGATGATGGCGCCGCAACGGCCAGTAGGTGTCTTGGGGTCGACGCGGTACTCAACCCGCAGGCCGACCTGCTTCACCGCATCGCGCAGGATAGCGGCATACTTGTCGTCACCTACACCGCCGAGGTATACGACGCTGTTGGGGGAGAGTATGTATTGGGCGCCCCGAGCCGTGTTCTGGGCGGCGCCGCCGGCAATGAGCTTCGCATCGTAGTTGTTGAGAAGTTCCTCGTACAAGGGGATGTGCTTCTCCTCGGCCAAAATGGCGTCGTTCGCCTTCAATCCATACTTGTTCAGAAGGCTCTCGTCAGCGAAGGCTTGGATGTCTGTTGAAGTTTGCGCCGAGGGCGCGCCGAAGTCAGCAAAGTGAGGCTCGAACTATTTGGGCAAGGGGACGAGCAAGCTCAGACAAATTGTCTCCACGGGCGTGTAGATATAATATGGAAATTTAGCACGCCAGATTGAAGGCCAATTGGGTTTATGGTGGGAACAATGGGCATTGTAAATAATGCTCCTCGTAGGAGAGGAAACACATGTTGCACCCACGCTATCAAATGATAGAGGGGCAGGGCTTTTTTTATTACAGCCAACAATTAAACTCGGTAGAGGCTAGACTCACCAAGGAGAGGGTTCTCCAAGCAGAGGAGGGGGAATTCTTTAGTGGCAGCCATTTTAAAGGGAGGGAAGGGAAAAGGAAGAGGGAGAGAATAAGAATTACAGCGGCACGGAAGATGTGAAGATGTGAAGGTGCGAAAGGGGGTGGGATGAGATGGAAGCCGGCGACGATGCGGCCATTGGAGGGGTAACCATTTATACTGCTTAAAGAAAGCTGGGTTAGGTCTGGTTAGGGGACTTCGAAACTACTTACAAAGTACCAGGTAGCTTTCCGATGGAGGGTGGGGGACGGTACAAAAGGATGGTGGGGTTGCGTCGCGCAGTTGACCGCTTGGGCTTAGCGCAGCTCACTGCTTTCCTCTTAATTGAAACTTCAGCTGACTCAGCTGTCCCAGCCTGTCAGTGAAAGACGGAAGCTTCAACTAAAACGGTTTGTCAACCCGTTTTTTGAATTGTGTTAGTTACTATGGACGTTATTACCAACTAACATTTATTTTCAAGATCCTACCACTGGATTTTGGTAGGTAGTTTCGTTGGCTCTGACCTGGTATGACGACCGAGTATTGTTTCAGTGACCACCTACCTATTCAGGAAACTTCTGGTTCTACTTTGAATCTTTATTCTTTTCGACTTAACTATATTTCAACACCCTTACAAAGTTTTTTAACAGATATAAAGATACATGTCTTGATTAACCCCTCCATCATTATATCATGTTCATAAGATATTTCAGTTCGATATGATGAACTAGTTGATAATAGAACCTAGTTGGCTCGACGAGTCTCGAATTGCAAAGGTGGCAGATCACCATTGGCACCAACTTAAAGCTGAATATTCGTACTGATCCTCGACCGTTCATTACGGGAGATTTTACGGTTGGTAATGTATCATAATTGCTAAAAGTTGTGGAAGTGGAAGCAACTGCCGGGTCCATGAAGATTGGCAGATTGCTTAGTGGGCACTTCCCGTACAGTAATCCGGGTCGGAATAAAACAAAGCATCTGGCAAGCAGCAAATGGACGAACGAATACCTAGCGATGATCAGACTCACCAAACTCATGAAGGTCCCGCTAGGCCCGTGCTGTACTTATTGGTACCATACCTTGTAAGTCAAACGATCATAGGTTACCGGTACATTAAATAGAAACATCCGTGTCAATAATCTCAAGGCTTGTAAATTGGCATAGACAGACTGGGCCGAACCAACTCATAACCTACAAACGACTACATGCAGACGCTTCTGGGTATTGCCGTCAAAGGGTATCTTGTCTGGTTGGTTGAACGTCTTTTTTTTTTTCATTACACAATCCAGCCTTAAGTCTGGAACCTGCCTATCTCATAATATTGGCCCGTGTGTACGTCCTTACGACCATGATATCTTCACATGTATGGAGGTCCGTGACATCCGTTCACACTGCGCGTCACTTCGTACGAATTTTCGGAGAGCTGGATGCTGTAATGCAGAATCTGATGCCGGGTACTGTCCCATTGAGCCTATTTCATATCGACTCGCCTGTACCTGAAGATGCAAAGAGCAACAACGAAACTCCAACCGCCATATAAACCAGTGACCGAAAGAGCAACATTTACTCCTTTGTCTTTTGCGTACCACGGAGCAGACCAGTCCGTCTGGCAGCAATAAGACCCGCCTTTTGACCCTGCGCAGCGTATCTTGAGATGGTAGAAGCCTTACCAATGTGTTGATGGTTACCCTAGCAGCCAACGTTAGCATATCACCCATTGCCGCGCTGATATCACATCGTTCAAAACTTACACCACCGTGAGGATGGTCCACAGGGTTCATGGCAACACCACGAGTCTTGGGCCATGAGTTGCGCTTGACGGCGAACTTATGCTTGGCACGAGAGGCCTTGAGGAGGGGCTTGTCGGTACGACCACCACCAGCAACGATACCGATCATGCCGCGAGAACTGCTGCTGACGACCTTCTTGGCGCCTGAGGGAAGCTTGATACGGGTCTTGCCCTCATCGGGGTTGTGGCCAACAATAGTGACGTAGTTGCCGGAAGTGCGGCCGAGAGTACCACGGTCACCGACCTTCTCCTCGACGTTGGAGACGACAGTACCTTCAGGCATGGAGGACAGAGGGAGGATATTTCCGACGGTGAGCGAGGCGTTCTTTCCGGCATAGACGAACTGGCCGGTGTACATGCCCTCGTTGGCAATGAAGGTCTCTTTCACCTGCTTGAACTTGTAGGGGTGACGGAAGACGACGCGGGCGAGAGGAGCACCACGGCCAGGGTCGTGAATGATTTCCTTGATCACACCGCGCATGTAGCCATGGCGCTCGGCGTAGTCGAGGCTTCGGAACTTGGCAGGGGCCTTTCGCAGGCGGGTGTTGGCGGCTAAGGAAGAATTGTGAGTACGCTGCTCGTGGGGAGGGTGGTGGCCTTTCGCGAAACTACTCGAGATTCGAGGGGGAACCTACTGAAGATACCGCCGTTACCCTTTCTCTGGTTTCGGATCTATAATAGATATTGCAATTAGTATCCGGTTCTCTTCATTCGTTCCATTATCAATGTGCTGCTGCGATTGCAACTTACAACGCGACCCATTGTGGCGGTCTACTGTGCGCAATCCGAGATGGTGAGAGAAGGAGATGGGTATGTGGGATGGTGGTTGAGCTCGAAGTTTTTTGGTGTAGAGACTGAGGCCCGAAATTCAAGAGCCGACAATTTTCCTTGATCCGCTAAGATTGTGTGGGAGCCAGCTGGTCGCAGTCCTCGCTTGACCCTAATCTGCTGGCAGCTGGGGTGGTCAGTGCACAGACTTCACTAGGTACTTAGGTACCTGACACGACTCTGCCACGACTCATCAGCCACAGTGGCTGATGGTTAGACATTTGTAAAAGTGGGGCCAGCGGCAGTACCTAGAGCGTCAATTAATTGACAAGATGCGGTACGTACCGGGTTTCCAAGTCTGGGGATGATGCAGAGCGAAACGCGATAGGCCAACCCCTGTAGAAATAAAGTGAGCTGCAAACGCGTAGGAGCCTCAACCTTAGGCCGTACTCACACCCATTCCCACGTAATCCGCATCATTCTCAGCCTTGCCACCTTTGATTCACCACTGTTGTTCTTTTCTACCGCGATAACTATTCCTCGCTATTCTCCGCCGCCAATTGCATTCGTTGTTTCCCAGCGCGCCACTATTTAGCCTCCGAGTTCGTTCCTATCATCCGCCTGCAGACTGCCGTTTGATTGCTGTTTGTCCTGTAGACTTCTGTGAAAACTCGGCGGTTTCAGAGAATCGACGTCATGTCGAAACAGAAGCATGCGATCGAGTTCGAAAAGATCATCAACGATGGCCGAGAGCGCAAGCGTAACGAAGAGCTAGCTGCGCGGATCTTCACCAAGGACAACCAGCGCAGAGCCAGTGCACCCTTGAAAAGCGGCCCTGGTGGTTCGCTCGCAAGCCGAGTTGGTGTCAAAAAGGTATGCCAGCTTTCTCCCCTTACCAGTCAGCGCTTCTCGGAAAGGTTGAGAACTTACCCACATTCCGCACAGCGCGTATCTACGGGGGCCCGCGTCCCAGCTGGCAATATCAATGGCGACTGGACGCATGATCTTCACAGTAGCACACAGGACGGCCGACGGTCCGGGGCACAGAAACCGGCGCCTAATTCCCTGGCTGCTCGAGTCCATGCTCCCGGCACGACTCTTCCGAAAAACAGGTCCGGTGCACAGAATACACGCTCGAATCGCACAAGTAAGTTGGCGGATGCCTACACAAGGGCTGCAGCCTCGAACAATGCCCAACAGATAAACGTTGTTGATCCTCAAGATGGGCGCGGCATCACAATAAAAGGGTTGGCAGGCCCCTTCGCAGTACTAGCACAAAACTTTGCGCCAGGCACGACAGCTGCCGATATTGAGAGCGCCCTGACGCCCGTAGGAGGACTCATTAGTAATTGCCGGCTACTCAAGACACACCCAATTGTCATTGCAGAGATAGTCTTCGAGAGTAAAGAGGGTGCTGATCGTGTCATACAGAGTTTTGACAAGCAAACAGTGAGTCTTATGACGCCCTCTCACCTGAATTGTTAATCGAAGAGAGCTGATGAAAATGGAACATCTTCAGGCCGATGGCCGGACATTAAGTGTCTACATGAAACCTGGTGGCTACACACCACCGCCTAAAGGCCCTCGTTCTCAACGTACCAATGAAACCCGTCTTGCTGGCAATAGTGTTCTTATCGACGGGTCTATGGGCTTCAATGACCCCATGGATGTGGAGGATGTAAGGCAGGGCTTGTATAGTGATAACCTAGTCTCTGCAAATCAGGCGAAGGCTGGTAATAATAACAGTGCGGGTTACCGCAGAGACCGTAGCTTCCGGCAAGGGCGATAGGACGCTTCGATTGAGGATAGCTGGTCCAACGGCCGCACTGAATCGACTTATGAAAACTTCGACCACAGCACGGGCTATGACGCTGCCATGGATATGGAAATCTACTGATGGGAATGTTTCTTTCAGGCGCCGTTCATCTGGGAATATCCGTCTTGTTTCACTAGAACAGACGAGGCACCAGAGGTGGATGGCAACATGGTTCCATATAACTGAGATTCCTTGTACTATTACTACCACAGCACGAGCCTCACGTTGATCGTTACACGTGGATGTGATCGACAAGAGAGGTTGTGCTATACGGCTCCAAAGGAGGCTAGAATGCATTCTAGGTGCTGCATGTCATAGAAGCAGTCGCGGGTAATATTCAATTCAATCCGCATGAGAATAACTCGAAAATCCGTGCAGACCGAACTATACGAACGGGTATCTGTTCTCGGCCATGCGATGTGAAACGTCTTCCCTTAACAACCAAGTCCTCTCATATCCCCTATACTTCCAATTGTCTCTTCTAATACCTGTACTACAACCGCAGATTCTGACATTAGTAGATCGATTATTGACTATACGGCGCAGCCAGAAAGGCAGACCAAAAGTTCATATAATTCACATTACCTAGAAGCAATCAATACATTCCACCCCATATTCACAAAGATCAAATTGCTTCGATTTGAAAGTTTCCAGTACTTCATTCAGACGTGGAAGGGATCAGTACTTGGGCAGGTGAGAAGTGGAGAGAGCTGTGCTCAACCATATCTAAGCAACCTATCGCAAGATTAAATTCCGAGATCAAAAAACGAGCGAGTCAGTACTGCAGTGGTAGATTATGTGTGGTACAACATCGGATCATCTAGATGGATCAATTCCAGTAACATTCCGCCTCATTCCCACATGTTTCGAAATGCCCAATACTAACCCCCCTACCTCTCAACTCTCCTGTATGGTGTTTATGACTATAGCTTGAACGTATCTAAAATATGGCATCAATTATGAATGGCAATGGCGCGATTCAAACTGTACCTGCTCATGCACGCTCTAAAGAGCCAGACGAGCGGACAAGTATGATGGATCAGATGATAACATGAAGTGAGGACGATGAAGTGATTGCTAATAATCTAGGGAAAAATCCAGAAAACTTATCTGAGACGCAATTACGAGCTTGTGGATTCGCGCACAACTCGACAAATGCTTTCACTTCCCAAGCTAACGCTTCTCAGATGCATCACATATTTGCCTCCTACGAGATTTAGGTGGCTATTCTATCCGTAACCATTGCAAACCATTCATAGCGATACCATCTTCTCTGATTTCTTCTCCTTTCCCCCTTTCTTAACGGATTCTCAATTGCCCACGTGGCTACAGTCTACGTTGCGTGTGCGCGTTGAGCCCTCGCTTAACTCACAAAGTGGAGGGAGCCTAGGCGAATAGCTGCAATGGCAACTTGATCACTACAGAACTCATCCATTGCGATTCAGAATATAGTAGGTAGTCGAAAAGGAAAAATACAAAAGAAGCGCCTCGAGGAATGCATCTGTGAGGGCATGCAACCAGGAGGCTCGAGCCACCTCTAGCCAGTTGAGCTCTTCCCGTTCTTGATCGAAGTTCACAATTGTCTGAAGCCCTTTGGCCGAAATAGCTGCCTTTGACATACGCCTGCCTGACAAAGGGCTTGATCGTCCAAGTGGAAGGACCAAAACCCGACTGGAGAACGCCATTGACAGCTGCGCTAGGCGGCGAGCCTCTGGAGGTATTCTACATACCTGTTCCGACGACCTTCTCTCGTGTTTGAAGGTGGCAAGCCGCCGCTTCGACATCTCTTAAGCCCTCATTCAATCATGTTAACTGAGGCCTAAGGCTCCCAAGATATAGCCGAGCACAGCTGCGGAGGAATCTCGTAGGTGCGTGGTGATGGAGCACGCAGGCGTGATTATATCCCGGGTTCTCTATATTTCATGAGACTTCTTCAATGCCACGTGGTTTGGTTACTGAAACCCTCTTCCATTGTTCGTTCTTCCAAATTGCGAATAAAATCCCTGTTGCCGCCTCGGGTACCGCCCCTCTGTGCTCGGCTATCTCGTCGACCGGCAACTCTACCAGCGCCAGGATCTGTAAGACCCATTCCCTCAGCAGGTGGAGGGTAGTACGCTGGGCTCGGCTGCAGTCGAATCGGCTGGCTCGGATCTAGATGGCTTGCAACTCTCTGGATTGCTGCTGGAATTCCGCTCTGCTGTTGGTCCATTGTAGAGGCTCGCTGACGCCCGGCTCTAACTGTGGCTTGTTGGTACAAGTTCGGTTGTGGTACACCACCATAATTCGCAGCCGGCATTTGTGCTGGCGGTTGATTCATGACTATTTGACCATACGGGGATTGCTGAGCAGCGTAAGGTGGAGGTGCGCCTCCATGACTACTGCCAGGCGTGTACATGCCGTTGTTTCCATATATGGGAGGCTGTGCATGAGGAGACTGGGGGTACTGGGTAGTCTGCATCCCATAGTTGCCTTGAGCAGCAGCCTGTGCCTGAGCTTGCGCTTGAGCCTGAGCTGCCTGAGCTCTTTCCCTCTGTTTGCTAAGTTCGGCGGCTTGCTGTTGTTGTTGAGTGCCTGGTGCCGGTGACCGGTTAAGCGAACTTGCTTTCAAGTTCATCGGCGGAACAAAAGGACCTGTGAACTTCTGCTGGGTAATGAAAGGATGAAGTTTAGCCTGTTGAGGAGACCACCGTTCAAGCGGACTGATTGTTAACAGCCCTCGGACGAAATCAATGAAAGCTGTTCGGTTATTCATTTCTAAGAAACATCATTAGCCAATTTGGGGCTGCCGAGGCTGCATTAGAGGTACTCACCTCGCTCAACTTCGCTCGGCTTCATGTTCTTTCGTGGTAAAGGATACGTTTTTATAATCTCAGGTAGATTATTCGCTTGAAAATACTTCTTACTAGGTTGCTCTTTCACGTTGCGCTCCCTCGAATATTGTTCCATGCTCTTTAGGTGGTAGTTCTTTCGGCCATATTCGTCTTGTCTTTTCTCGAAGAAATCGCCGGCTTGTTTGCCAACCTCAATCATCCAATTCGGCGGATTGCCAAGCATTTCGACAATTCTTGATACTTGGTTATATTCCGAAGAGCCAGGAAACAATGGTAACCCGAGGAAGAGTTCGACAACAATGCAACCAAGAGACCACATGTCGATTGCGGATGAGTAGGGAAGACCCAGTAATACCTCTGGAGATCGATAGAACCTTGACTGGATATAGGTGTACACAGTTTGCCGCTCGTCACAAGCCGAACCAAAATCGATAATCTTGATGATCGGACTCTCCAGGTTTTTCAATAGAATATTTTCTGGCTTCAAATCACAGTGTATTAATCGAGCCTTGTTCAAAAGGGCCAGCCCGTTTAGAAGCTGTTGTGCGAAAACTCGCACAAGTGTTGTGCTCAGGCCTCGAAATTGGTTTTGTTTGATCAATTCATACAGGTTGACGCTCAGTAATTCGAATACCAAGCAAAGATGCTGTCGATGTATGAATGTGTCTTTAAGCCGTAACAAATGATGGTCGTCGTTCTTGTCGAGCTTTGTATTCACCTGTCGATTGATCAGACTTTGAGAGTAGCAAATGCCGTATAATATAACGTACCAAGTCAAGCACTGATACCTCCATCATACTCTGGTTAAAGTAGGCTGTGCGGTTCTTGATAACTTTAACAGCCACAACCTCTTGTGTCTTTAGATTTTGGCACTTGACAACTTGTCCAAAGGTTCCCTGTCCAAGTACATCCAGAATTAGGTACCGGTTCCTAGAATACGAATTAGTTTTCATACAGCTGTCAGCCAGGCTAGCAGGAAACGCACTTGTGGCCGGCCTCCTCCGATCCCAGTATGTCGTTGACATAGAGTATATAGTCGCTGTCCTCATTATCGTATCCATCATTCTTTGTTCCTTTGCTCGGCTTGGTTAACACGCGGCGAGGATTTCTCGAGGACTCGTACTTGAAATTAGGATTGCAAATCCGGTAGGTCGCGGGTAATTGGATTGTGAGAGCTTGCAGAGGCTGCAGCAAAATTTTAGTCATTGTCATCATTTAAAAAGAGAGAGAAAAAAAAGAGGTCAGATTTAGGTGCCATACGCTGATGAAACCACCCTCAGGGTTTGCCCGTCGAAACGGTGGCTGTGCGTTAATTCTTGGCTGCAATTCAGATGGTGTCTCAATTTTCCTGAGCTGCGGAACGGGCTTTTTCTCAGCTGGTACCTTGGACGCCTGTGGATGTGGCGGCCGCCTAGGCGACTTGGGATCATTAGTATAAGCGCCATCAAGGGTAGGGGCCGTAGGTGACTGGTAGTTTTCTTGGTTATTGACATAAGGCGCTATCGGGGGAAGCTGTTGCGAACCCTGACGACTATAATAAGGGCTTGTAGGAGGGTAGTCGGATCTACTCGGAGACTGACGCTGGCTATGTGGTGTTGAATACTGCCCTTGGGCTGATGCCACCTTGGAGCCGGAGCTATAGGGCGAGGTGGGTGATAGAACTTCCATCGGTGAGTAACGCTGGGCAGCAGCTGAGGGCTCAGAAGGTGAATGGAGGTTGGCCGATCGGCTGCCAGAGAGATGGGATTGATGGTGTGGGCGCATAGGATACTTCATGGCGCCGTAGGGATCATGGACGTCTTGCATCGGAACGTCGCCATTACCATCGCGCGGTGAGGTTACAGGTGACGCGACACTAGACTGTGCAGAATGAGAATTTATTGGGCCCTGGTATTGATCGTACTTGAAGCCAGCGGGTGGATGTACCATTCCAGATTGCTGTGGAGGGTATTCACGAGTAGGCGTCGTTTGACTGCTGCCGTTATATCTTCTCGAAGCGCCGGCAGCGTCCTGATAGCCCGGCCATTGATCCATGGCGGTTGGGCGGGGAGAAGAGAGCGCCCGGGCAGTTGACGCGGTATCAAGATATGGCCCGCAAGTAAGAGCGTGCGGTGGTTAGAGAAAGTGGAGGTCGTGGGATGCTAATGCGGAGGGGTGAGAGAGCTGTCGGGAGCCACAGGAAAGACAAATTGAGCGGCAGCGGCGGTGGAAGCAGTCAGACACGGGGTATTCTGTCAAGACCAAATAGTTAAGTAAGCAAGCCAACAGAGAGAATAATCAGTAAGACCGGATAGCCCAGAGGATGATGGCTGGGGAATGGACTACACTGGTCGGGGATGGGCGGGCGGCGGCGCAGGCTTAGGATTTGCCTGGGACCTGGACATGAGCGGCAGGCTACGTGGAAGGCCGAGCTTGCCTGGGTACAGTGGGATTGTTATGACGATCGCGCTGAGGTGCCAGGGGAAACCATAAAAACGAAAAGGTTGTAGAGAGCCGACAGGAACAAAAAGTAACATGAAGCACATACCTCGATCCCCAGCTGCAAGACAATACAAAGTATCTAGGCTAACGCGGGTAGAGAATGGTTGTCTAGGGATTCATGGCGCAAGACCGAAATGGCAACGAATCGGGGTGGTCAGAGGACTCGTCCAAACTCCAACAGAATGGAGAACTCGAACGATGATGCAACAGTCCTCAAGGCTTTAGGTAGTTGAGATAAGTTTACTCTGACTTTACTAGGCTCGATATGAACGGCGCTTCGAGGTAGGGCAACGGAAGCACGCGTACGGTTAAGCAGTGGTCTGGCCAAGTGCGAATTCGTCTGGGAATGGAAAGAATGAATGAATGAATGAGGATGAGGATGGCTATGACGACAATGATGATGGTCGACGGGTGATTAAGTGACCGAGTCAGCCCGTCGCAGGAAGGGTGATTGGGGGTGGGACAAGATATGTACGTTGTAGTATGAAGTTATCGTCATGTTACTAGAGAGGCCTTCGATGCATCAATACCTACGGAGGGAGGCAATTGATACCTGCCTTACCCATGGAGCTATCTTTGGGGGAGTCGAATATCAAGGCAGCGAGGGACAGCGGACACAGAGAGGAGGCGGGAGGAGAGGAGCAGCCAGCAAGAGAGGGGCGATCATTCAGCGGGCCCGGAACCCCAGACATACCTACCTACAATATACCTACAGCATGCACATAACAACCTGCTGGGTAGGTAGGTACCTACCTATAAGGTACTTACCCACGCCACATTTAGTTAAGTGTTTGTAGGTATCTTATCTTACAGCACCTAGCAGACCTAGGAAGTACATACCTAGGTACCTAGGTGTTTAAGCATTTAGTACTAATCCTACTACTATGTACCTACATACCTACCTAGGTAGTTATATACTAGGTATCTACCTACCTAATATGTGTCCTTACGTGATCGTGTTTTACCTAGGTACATATATATGTAGTATACCTACTCTATCTAATAGGAATGATAACTGCCCGCAGCACACAGCACACAAAAGTCAGCGCAGCTCCAAGCACGAAGCAGAAGGCGATTGCATACACCATCTGGATGTGAGGTGGATATTAGGCATTTGGTAGGTACCTAGTGCCTGGGATTGGGACTAGGTACTATGTATATCACTACCTAGGTAGGTAGGTATTAGCTCTGGCTTGGGCATCTACGCTAGACTACCTACCTAGGTACACCAAAGATGCATCACCAACCGCCGGCCTGTACCTATATACTATGCTTTTGTCCTGAACAATTCGAGAATATGTCTTATCTCTCGAGCTTTGTACAGAGTATCTATCTTGTATTTTCCAAGTTCACATACCTATATAGCGTCGTACATCACGCTGAAAATGCGATATAGTAAACAAGACCGCCCACCACCTTGACTCTTCCTTTCAAGACACGGTAGTTAGGAATTTAGGGATGCGCGGATTGCCAAAAAGCTTGGACTTGGAGACCGTCCTATCTTTTCTTTCTATCAAACAGTGTTCCCTATCTATCATAGGGCTTTTTCTTTTCCTCGACCTCGACCTCGTTGTCCGTACGAAGTAACAACTGCATGTACGTACGTACTTAGTAGTATGCATACCAGGATGCCTGTCCAATGATGGCCCAGATCAGGAGACTAACTTCGTTGCAGAGATTTTAGTACCGCGCAGCTTTGAAACAATGTGCCCCAAGCCCTGATCTGCCCTGAACAACGTTACGAATCCTTGTGGCAGCTCTTACCTCGTACCTCGCTTGGATGGCAGCAAAATGAGATTCGTCTCAAGTTCTCTCGACCTACGAATCTGCTACGAAGTACATAGGTAGGTCGCTTTACTATGTATTGGTCGCGGTTTGCGACTAAAGTAAGTTGATACCAGGTTAGCCACCTCTATTCCCTTTCCGTCAGGACACCACTGCTCCCATCACTTACTAGGTGCCTAAGGCACATGCAGGTAGAAAAAGACGCTACCTAGGTACCTTATGCGCAGATAGGTAGTTACTATGTAGGTACTAATGACTTGTTCGCTGAAAATTATGTCTGGGTATCACCCCTCACTATGAATGTAGATACATTAGGTACACAATACAAAAAGATATCACAGCATATGATTCCTCCAACATGATTAAAAGCCATTCCAACTTTCTTGGAACCTCGCAACGAGGCTTCAAGACTTGAGGGCTTTGTTAGCACGAGGTGAGGGAAAGGCGCGCATATTCCAACTCATCAGGCATGTGACGAAACGACGTTATCATGCCCAATGATACCACATGTTAACCACCTAACCTACCTAGGTAGTTCGTGACTGACTGACGTTGGGGTGATGGTTTCGTTTGAACAATACTAACTGCAGCAATAAAGGAGGAAGCCATTGCTTTTTTGAGTTTGTCACATATAGTGATAAATTCTTATATGTATTCAGATTCGGACACCTTTGACTCGGTCGTCAAATCGCCAGTTGATGCTACCGAACCCCGTTGCTGCTGCTCTCCCAGTTTCCGCTACTTACGGAATGGTTTTATGTCCAGGCATAAACTCGTGCAACGAGACGCTCAATTGGCCCGCAATTCCGATGCACTTAATACAGGGGTCTAAGTTTCTTCAGTCTCTTCTCCATATCTTTCTTCTTTCGTAGAGGATCTGGTCCTTGGGTATCCCAAAAAGAAATATGTCCTCGTCGCCCTCGTTTCGCAGAAAAGGGTGACGAGCAGTAGCCGTAAATTCATTATCAAAGTCCATGGCAAAAATTGCAGTTGCATCAACAATCGCCCTAGAGGTATCAAAGTAGTGCTTAGAAAGATGCCAACAAACTTTTGAAGTGAATCAATGCGACGACAACAACAGAGCATAGAGCTTAACATCGTGTCCATATCAAAGCAAACATCACACGGCCACGAAAAAAAAGAATTGAGACTGGAAATGAATGAGAAGTCACCAAAAGGGGAAAGGATGGGTTACATAAATCCTGGAGAGAGAAGAAGGAGAAAAATCCCGTTGTCCCATCATGTAACCCAATAGTGTGTAGCCGCTCTTGATGCTAACACTGGGGCTAACCTACATCTGTAATCGAAATTTTGCTGACAACTTCCGCGACAACCCTTCCTAAGCCCCTCGTCAAGAAGCAAAACAATTGCACCCTATTTGGCAGTCACGAAGCCACAATCGCTCTCAGCCTGTCGGGGGTGCTAGCCCTGAAAGCCGGGGTAGGCACTGTTGAAGTTTTGGTTCGGGGGAGGCTGACTCCACTGTTGATTTGGGGGCTGCTGTCCACGGGAGTAGCCTCCTGCGCTCGGCGGCCCAGCATAACCCATAGGCTGAGCTCCGTACCCGGCGGGCGACTGAGCGGGAGGGCCACCATACCCTTGCTGCTGTCCTCCGTATTGACCTATAGTTATTTAGTAGGTTATCTTTGGCACTGCAGTTCGGTGTAAGAGCTTACCTCCGTACTGGGGGAAAAAGGTTGACGGTGTGCCCGGGTACGCGGAAGGCTGAGCACTCTGAGGACTAAACGCCTGTTGCTGCGACGGGTCGAAGTTCCCTTGAGGGTTACTGGGGGTTTTGTCCTTTCCCCACTGCGGTACGTTAGCACTAGCAGGCGTTGTATCGCAAAGCAAACGAACTTACGCTGCACTTCAGAGGCCTGCCATTGACGTTGTAGCCGTTCAACTGGCATATTGCCATGGCGGCATTCTCGTGCGTATCCATTTTGATGAACGCAAAGCCACGATCCGCTTGAAATCGAGACTCCGTCACATAACCGAAATTTTGAAATAGCGGAACAAGATCGTTTTGGGTTGTATAAGGGGTTAGGTTCCCCACATAACAGGTTGTTTGCCAAGCAGGGGTCTGGCTAACAATCATGTCGAAGCTCTGAATACCATGGGTTGGGAAATGGTGGTGACCATAAGGTGTAGTGGGTGTCATGCCCATTGCCTGTAAGGCTTGCTGTTGGGCGATAGAGGGTTGGCCTTTCTGGTTAGCCCAGTTGCATCGGATAGCGCGAGAACCCAGCCACTCTCCGTCCATAGAACTCAAGGCCTTTTCGGCGTCACCGCGCTCACGGAAAGCTACGAAACCATATCCTCGCGACCGTCCCGTCTTCATATCCCACATGACACGAGCTTCAGAAATGGTACCGAAAGCAGAGAACGCCTGGAGAAGGACCTCGTCGTTGACTTCATTGGACAAGTCGCCGACAAAAATGTGGAAGTGGGATGAGGTATCCTCCTTGTTCGTAGTATTGGACTGATAGGCCCAGTTGACTCTAATCTCCTTTAGGGCCGTCAGTATCCATCCAGTAAAGCGTTCAGGGGGGAAACTTACAGCCTGGTGTACTCGACGGCCATTCAAAGTCTGCATGGCACGCTCAGCCGCACCGGGATCGTCATATTCTACAAATCCGTAGTTGTACCCCTTCGCCTATCCAAAGTCAGTCGGCGTCAAATCAAATACTGAGATTGAAATCAGGTGATAGCACGCCTTAAGACTTCGATAGACATGATGCCAAGTGCGACTCACGTTTTTGTCTGGGATAATTTTGACATTCTGAACATGCCCAGTTGTTTCGAAAATTTGCCGTAGAACGTCTTCTGTAACGCGGGGATCAAGTCCGCCAACATAAAGTGCACGCTTATTAGGCTCAGGCGCGACTCGACGTGGGAAAGGTCCTCCACTAGTAGGAGATAGCACAGAATTTTTATCAACAGCTGACATGGGTGATGTGATTGCCGTAGGGATAGGATTCGTGTTAGGTGGAATATGCAGCGGTGGAGGGGGTAGATGCGCCGGGTTTCCTTGGCCATTCTGGTTGCTATCAAACCCAGGAGCGCCAGCATTGGGCTGGGGCGGTGGTGGGGGTGGGAGCTGGGAACCAGCAGGAGGGGCGCCAGAGTCTGCCATTATGATAGATTGGATATTGATTCTTATCTCAAGCGCCTTAAATGCAGATTGGCCAGAATAACAGAATTGACAGCTGAAGTCAATAAATAGACGAGCGAAACGCCGTTATGTTGGCTTGTTTGACAAGAAACCCTGTAGTCTGAATTGAATTGAAGATCGTAACTTCGTTGTTTCGTAAAGGGAAAACCCAGCGTGGGATATCGTAATAACTTGATCGGTCTGCCTGGCGTCAAAGATGGGAACAAGGGACTAGAGAGGAGTCGCAGAAGTGCGGTGGTGAAGCTCACGATACCTCGCTTTCGCTGCAGAGCTATCCGAAGAGGGCTGTGACGGAAAGGGGGCACGAGCGTGAGTCAGAAGGCTTCGAGCAAATTGAAAAGACTGGGTGCAGCGCCGACACAACTGTAGAAGCTACCCGGCGACGTAGGATAGGAGGTCTATGCAGACGGTGGCAATGAACCGCGGCGCAGACCGCAAGCTGCAGCGCAAGCCGTGAGGCACAAATATACCGTGGGCGGGGGAGTAGCTGCAACCGATGAAGGGCAAGGTCAACTTGGAAGTCGACCAGCGCCAAGGATCAGCTGTACGAATCAGCGGCAGATGCTAGACAGATATGCGAACGCAAGGACAGTGACGATGGCCGTGGCGATGGGTATGAGGATGCCGGTGGTGGTAATAAAGGAAATTTCGAGCCAGAGATGGGAAAAAATACTACAAGACCAGCAGCGACGTGGATGACGACAACGAGACACACAAGACCAGAACGAGACAAGAGGAGATAAAAAGGAAACTGCCTTGAAAGGAGGAGTCCCCCAGATTCTCAACACACAACACCGACGACGATACGTGGAAAGGCGATTTCGCACAATGATGTACAGTAGGAGATGGGGAGGGGAGGGGAGGAAAGCGAAGCAAACAGAAATTGGCAACGGGTCCAATGTATTGAAGTACCAAGCAGGTGGAGAGTCGCAGTCTGGGGGTCCTCTGGTCTTCTATCGGAGTACCTAGGTACTTACCTCGCCTACTTACCTACCTAGGTAGGTACCTAGATACATATGTACTTAGATACCATACATACTCTATAGGTAGGTACCTGGGTAGCAGCCCGTAGGTAGTGTGGCTGGTGGAGCACGGCAGCTCGGCTACCTAGGTAGTCTGAATCGTGGAGGTTGCTCCCAAGAGTTTTGTTTAACTTACAAGCAACAAGTTCATATATGTGATTAAACCATCATCTAGATGTTCCCCTGCTTTCAACCAAACTGTTTCTACATAGCAGGTACTTGTAGGTAGGTGCACAAAGAGCATCAATAGGTAGATAGATAGACGCTGCTTGCGGTACAAAGGAATCACAAAAGTCTACCTAAGTATTGGTGATTTCCGTGTTTGAAGAAACAGTTTACAGAAGACAGAACATCAAGCCTAGCTATATATATGTACTTACCTACCGAGCAACTACGAGCACTCAGTAGGTGTCCTTCCTTTATGTAGGTACCTACATGCATATGTACCTAGGTACCTAGGTATTAGGAAGATCCAAGATGTCTGCTGTACCCATCTAAGTACCTACTTGTTCAGATAGGTATGTATGTTTTCTACCGGCGCTAGGGATTATCAGATAAGATGGTATCTAAAAATGACATATTACGTTTAATATCTAATACTTATTGAAAAAGATCTAAAGTAAATATTAGGTATATGCCTTGTATGTAGTAGGAGTCTACCGTCTGCATGCAGCCAGAGAAACCAATCTAGTAGCCACAGCCTCAGCCACAGCAGGGGTGCCTTCAAGTAGGTACTCAGGTACGGTACTTATTGGCTCCCCAGATTTGCCCATAAAAGGCTCTTAGCCCTTTGGGGTAGGGGGCCTACAGCTACCTACTTAGACTACTACCTAAGGTACGTTAAAGTATCAGGAACCACTCTCAACTAACTACCAGCACTAGGTACCTCTATATCATATCACCAGCCTCAAAAGAGTCCTCCCAGCCAGCACCTCAGTCCAAGTTGTCGCATTTCGGCCGGAATTTTCATTCATCCAGCTTTATTCTTTTGCTATCCATTGAACCGTCAACTGCCAGCTAGCCAAATTCTCCTCATTCTTGCGGTATTGGGTGATGCTTCAATATATCTATCACAATGGCGAGCTCGACAGACCAAGCTCTGGAGGTCATCAATCAATCATACAAAGACATTGTAGGCAACTGATCCTTAGTTAAGCCTGACTACCAATACTAACACATGATTTTATAGCTCATTCAAGCGGGGAAACACTTTAGAGTAATGGCCAAAGATGGGCCAGGGGCTCTGAATGGTACTCACAACGGCATCCAGGCCAGGGCAAGCGAGGCCTTAGCCCAATATCACCTTGCTTTGAATGAAATAGAGAGTGAAATTGTGCGTAAATCTTGAAGGAATAGTTGCTGTGCGACATCTTTGCTAACATCCGATAGATAAGGGCAAGATCAGTTCTACTCCGGGATCTTGAGAACTTAAATGCAGCTCGGGCTCCGGCTCTCGTAGCCACTCCGGTTCCTGCTCCAGTTCCCATTCCTACACCACAGGCTACGGCACCACCAGCCCCAATGATGGAGCTCCCGTATGCTGCCGCGCATTCGCGTAATTTGAATACTGCTGTTGCTTCCGCTGCCGTTGCTACGTACACTCCAAGCAAGGAAACCAGAACGGTTGCACCTTTCCCGGACATGGGTACTGGTATGTCTTCCGATGTGGTCGATTTGACTGCCGGCGAGAAGAAACCTTCTCCGCGGTTTCAAGCTGGGTCTATCAAGGCAACGGCCCGCACAGCTCCGTCCACAAACGTAAAGCCCTCGCCCAAACCAGTTCACAAGCCAATACCGCCTGCTAAAGTAACGCCTGTCCCACCACCACAAATCCCACGGCTGCAATCCACGCAGTCCTCAAATTCCTCCGCTCAATCCAAGTCTCAACCAACCCCTAACCCTCCTAAGACAGCTCCGCCTATTCAACCCGCTCAGCCCCCGCAGCAGGCCCCAGCTGTGAAGACAGTTCAGGACAATGCCATGGGTAATACACCGAGTCTTCCTGTCACAAAAGCCACTGATGAGGCTGGTGCTGGCACGGGGGGTGGCGAACTTAACTTCACACATATGGAATTTTCACTCGCTCCTCCTCCCAACGAGCCTCAGGGCGCACCTCCTGCTCCGATGCCCGAGTTCGATCTTGCAAGTTTTGCACCACAGGGTGGAAATAATAACAATGCGGTCGCGAACAATACTGCCGGAAGTCATACCATGCAGGCATCAAGCACAAGCACAAACACAAACATGGACGATTTGTTTAATCTTGGAGATACCAATGGGGGCGGCGACAACATGTTCGACTTAGGAGGCGGTGAAGCCAATGACAGCACATTTGACGACTTGATGTTTTTTGGAAACAACGATACAGATATGGCTCAGTTCGATGACGCGTATTTTGGCATTTAACTCAGTTCGGACCAGCGACATCATCAGCAACGCCAAACTTAATAAATTCTGTATGTATCCGAGGACTTCCAATCGATTTCAAAATCTCTCTCGCGTCGCTTTAGTCATTATCATACATATTGTAGAATACTTGTCTTTCTTCTGGATCCTTCAGTTTCTAGCACTTGTCTAGACTGACTTTGGACCTCAGCCACCAAGGCTTCTCCCCAATTTCGACAGATATCTAGAGGGCGCGGCGTTTAGAAACGGCAATTCAGGTACGGGCATGGGATTATGCTTTAACCAACTTAATAATTTTCACATGACATCTTTAGATAGTGTTCTTCCTGAGAATATGTGAGGAATTTTATCATGTCTATGAGAATAGAAATAAGAAAGCTATATAGCTCTCAAATTACCTAGCATCATTGCATTGACGCTAAGCATCGAAATCATGTATCGCTATAAACGCCCAATTACTTCAACGCTTTGTTTGGGCTTGGAACTTGATGTTATTCAGATTACAATGATCAACTAGGGCTGCATGAGTCCTTGACCAAACAACTCCTTCCTGACTGTTGGTGGCTTGACTCGACTCTCTATACAACTAATCTGCTAGCCCAGACCGCCTGGGTCTCAAGGGTCTGGTTCAAGAAGCGAAGTCTGTATAACCTCACTTTCCAATATTGCACAATATTGCCTACATGTCTTTAAATGATCATGAACAGCCTGCGATGTCATTTCGTACGGCCGAAGTGCAAGGCGAACTACATATTCAGCTAGTACAGCTTGGGCGTGTATAACGGTCAGGGCAGGAAGTCTCATTGTATATATAAAGTCAAGCTACCAAGACCGAGAAGAATTAATTATGCTGGGACTTTACCAGTCCTAGTAGAGATTTATAACAATGTGAATAACTTCAATTCTAAGCCTAGTCATCTGCCTTTATTATAACCCTGACTAAAACAAGTATTTCGTAATACAATACAATATACTTACAGTTGTTATGGAGCAATGGGCTGACTATTTAAGCGACAAGGGAAAATACACCAGAGTTGAGTTTTCTTTGAGTGACTCATAGGGCTAAATATTGAAGAAAAGGACGAAACTTAAATAAATTAGTCGCCCCTTCACGCACTGAAGATCTCACATGCACTATTATACTCCCCTTCTCCTGGTTGAATTTGTGGGGTTGCAGCACAAACACACTTGATTATGGCATTTAGATATAAACGAATTACATTAGTCCTATTTGACGGACTTCAGGCGACGCCACGCGAAGACTGCGAAGTCTGATCTTGTCACCCTAAAAATAATATAAGGATGTTAGATAAGAACACTATATAACAACATTGGAGCAAACAAAACGAAGGAGAAGAAGAAACTGGGGGAATGCGACGCTAGGGATTAAATGCTAGAAGAAGGACTGGGAATCAACAAGAATGAGGACAGGTGAAAAACATAAAACTGCGGATCAGATACTGGAACTAAGAAGGATTGGGCAAAAAGATAAGTGAGCAAAGCAGAAGGCGAAAGAAAGAGTAAGGCTTGGGAAGAGGCGAGTTAGAGGGACCTAGAAAATTCAATGGTTGAAAAGTAGGGAAAAAGCAGAACAGAAGAGATGACAGGGGAACGTAAGGTAGAGCGCTGAAAAGTGATTAGCAGCATAACACTACTTAGTACTAGTGAAGGTAGATATTGAGAAGGGGGTTTGCACAATGTGGTGCTACTAATGCTAAGCAAGATGATGGAGATAAAAATGGCGAGTAAGGCTATTTTAAATATGACGATGCTGAATGAAACTGCTCCAAAAGTGAAAATACCAAACGAAACAACGCCGGAGAAAAAATAATTGAATAAAATGAAGTTGGAAATGAATATGCTAAACAAGACGGCACTGAACATAGATACACGGAGCAATGTATGCTAGAGATGTCAAGGTTGGGAAGATGAAAATCATGGGAATGGAGTCAAATGCGACAAAGGTAGAAAGAAAGAAAAAAGAAGAAGAAAAAAAGGATGTAGAAAACATAGAGGAAGAGAAGCGAAAACAGAGAATTCAGACGGAGGGAGGGGATTTATTCATGTGCAGAGCTCAGAAGTAAAAGAATTCCCATACCCAGATAATCAACCTCATTTTGGCTATCAGTGATCCGCTCCTGGACTATTTTGATCACGTTGATCCTTTATAGCAGAAGAAATAATTAAATATTAGAAATGCTGGGGAAGTATGTGGGCGGGGGAGGAGATGTATGTCTGTTAATCTGGAGGCAGGAGCAAGGTCTTGTTTGTATTGGGTGTTTGGGTCAAAGACTACATCGATCTATATATGCCACAAGGCCTCTTATGTGTATGAGCCATCGCCAAATTATGAGAGGTCCTGTCAGTCAGCATCTAGCCCTACATATTTAGGTCGATTAGGGGCTCTCCTCCCTAATGAGATGAGCCAGCATACCTGAGAAGCTCTCGCGTGTATGTTCTATTCGAGTGATCGGGATCTAAAACATGTATGTAATATTTGGCCCTTCGGCCTAAAACTCCTCTCCATACCTCTATTCACGCCCAAGAAAGCGGTCACCAAGGTCTAATGCTGAAACTGTTGAAACTCAACAGAGATTCTAGATGTCAATAATAATGTCCGGGTGCACATGATTAAGGACTTGCGGGTTCGTTTACGTAGTGTTTATGATTCTCTTCATTATAAAATATGCACATGCTTAGAAGACAAATTTAGCTATGATGAAAAGATATTGAATTAAGATAGCAAGGGTATCTATACCTTCTTCCTGTCCAGCCTGGCTGATATCCTAACATAATACCGTTGGCTCATAAACCCCCATGTGTTCATCTCATCATATATACAGATCATACCATGGATTGGATTATAAGCAGTCTCACGTTGCCGTTACCGGTGTGTAGCATTCCTAAGAAATGGAACCAAAAAGGAGAGTCCAAAAACTTGAAAACCTGTCTCCCTGAAACTCAAGGGCCTTGCGTGACCTGGAACATGGGCTCGAGAAGCGACGGCAGATCTTGGTTCTTCAAGCCAACCCAATCCGGATCCATGAGGCCGTAACCTTCTTCACGGCCGACCACGCCCTCGCGCACGTAGTAGGAACCCATGAGCGCCCACATAGCCCACTCGGAGTCGTTGCTAAGGACATACTCCCTAAGGCACTGGAAGTATTTGTTGTCGGCGTCAGAGAGACCCATGTTGGGGCCGCCGGTCGTGCCGAAGCCAAACTCGGAAAGGATGAGAGGCGACGTGTAGCTCCGGCCTTGCTCTAGCACAAAACCGTTGAACAGACCATACGTCTGCTTCAACAGGTCGCAATTCCCCTTGGCGAGCGCGTACGTCACCGTGAACTCATAGGCATGCCACTCCCAGACGTGCTTGCCCGCCCACGCACTCCAGTCGATGTTGCCCTGGGTGCGGATGTGCGTTAGGTCTGTCGATGACTGCGTGCCGCCCATCAAGATGAGCACCGACGGATTGGCCGCGTGGACTCGCTTCGCAGCCTGGCCGAGGAAGTTGTACCAGTCCTGCCGTCCGTTGAACGTGCCCTGTAAGAGGAACTCGCGGATCTCATTGCGCAGTCCCATTCCAATCACGCCAGGCTGGGAATTCGCCCAGGTCGCCATCGATTCGACGCCCTTGAGCCAGTTTTCAGTGTTAAAGAAGCGGCTATTTGCGGAGTTGTAGCCGGCCCCCTTATCCCACCACCCATTTCCATCAGTGAGGTCGCCTAGAGATACCCGTTAGTCTCATCAAGGCTCACCGTCCATAGAGTAAACCCGGCATGCAGATTTAATCCTCCACACATCCATAGGGGTAAGAACACTTACAACACCAGCCTGCCTTGCTGATATGATTGTCTAGGATAGTCATGACACCCCGACTCCATAACGCAGCAATGACGGCCTCATAGGCATCTCGGTTCGTACCATTAGCAGCGAATGAGTTCTTCTCGACGACCTGCGTGTACATGCTGTTCATGGCATTGACATCCACGCTGGCAGCCGTCGCCGCGTTAGTGAAAGCCTGGGATAGTGGAGTATCAGGATTCAAGGCATGGTCGATCGAATATGTGAGGCGCACACAGTTGAACCCTTGTGAGGCAACGAAGTCGGCTATATGTTGCACTGGCTGCTTGTTCAGACCCTCAGGGGTGTTGGTCTCGAGATGGCCAGCCCAGTTGACACATCGAAGCTTTACTCGGTTTCCATCAGCGTCGAGGATCCATCGCGAGGATGTCTTAAGCGGTAGGTTCACTCCCAGTGCCGGCAGAGCAGCGCTCAAAATCGCCGCAGCAAGGGCGAGCTTCATCGCGAGTGGAATTTGATAAAGTAGGTATCAGAATAAGGCTCTTATTCTTATACTTTTGAGCTGACCAAAAGAGTGATCTAGACTCGCAGTGACTCCTGAGGCGGAATGTTAAGGGACTGCGTAGAGAAGACAGCTAAGGCACCATGGATATTTAAGTAGCACTTTGGGACACCCCTTTGTAGTATTTATGAGATCCGGGCTAGGTTTGACTGATAGGCCAAGGGCAAATGTGTAAGTGTAGACCTCAAGAGTAGCGACCAATATACGGCGAAAATGAAACTGAGTAATAAATATGACCGAGAGAGATGGATGGGCTCTGGAAGAGCAGCAGGTGATCGAGCTCAGCTGGATGGACGACGAGGCTAGCCAAGACAGCAGCAATAAGAGCAATGATTCAAAGGGTGGTGTCATATTTTATATGAGGAGGCTCACATATAACGACCTGATGTCATGATGTAAATCTACATGCAATATCCCCGAGACAGAGGCGGCACGCGTAGGGCAGCGTACATACACATCGCCACCCCATGTCAATACAAACCTGGACGATGCTACGCTCGATACTCACCCATGGGCCCTATGGCCGGGAACCATGGCTCGAAGGAAAAGAAAAGAGGTGGTCTTTGGCCGAAGCTTGAGACCTGCCATGTGCGGATCGGGGGGTTGCCTCTTTAGAAGAAGAGAGGAAGAGGCTAAGACGCGTGCAAGGGATATATAGGCCACTTGACACTATCTATTCCTCCCATCTCTACACGGCCCAATGATAATGGAGAGAGCAGAGGACGGGGTGGCACGCTCGGCAGGTCACTCGGCTGGCCCAGCTTCTGTGCGCATGAGGCAGGTCGTTCAGTCTTTCTCCAATCCCAGCATAATGCGGGGAGTTCTATACCACCTACCTCCTGGGTACATAAGTATATGCAATGCCGACCCGCAAGATTTAGTACCTGACAGTCTGGGATGCTCTGCATAGCGTGGCATCGAACGTGGCCACTGGCTGGGCCAGGAAGGAACAAGACTGGGTAGGTCAGAGAAACCAAAAACAGGAATTCGAGCAAGTGCTAAACAGCAGGGAACAGCTGAGCTGAACAAGCCTTTGGTATTTCCATAATCTGGAAGTCTTGAGGTCGTCGGTTTTCGGACAAGATCATCAGAGATCAAGAGACGCCCGTCTTGTCTGCTTCGTCTGCTACGTCTTTCTGCCATCTTCTGTTTGCTTAGGCTGTGACCCATTTGGTCGTGGCACATTAGTGAACGAGGGCACTCGGCTAGTGTCTTGTCTTCTTTTCCTCTCCTCTCCGGTCTCCTCTTGCGAAACGGCGGGTCATTTGTGAGCTAAGCGGAGATCATCTACTATGAGAACAAGCTACTGTAGTCATGGTGAAGAGCATGAAGACAGTTTCGTCGATCGATCTTGACCACGCTGACAATCTGGTTTCTTGCTGCAACATAGCAGCCGCCGCCAGTCTGTGCATGACCGCGCTGAGACGCCTGATTGGATCGGCACTTTTACGGTTTGTGGGGTAGGAGGCGCTTCTTCCTTGTAAATGTACTTCGTAGACGCTGCCAACACCTTGATCAAGTCAATGGAAAGATTATACTCCCTGGGATGGGAGGGCGCTGATTAATTTCTTCACGGAACTTGTTATTCAACTGCTAGCTTCAATGATGAGGCGGGAGAAGGAGAAGAAAGGAGTGAGGGTATTACTATTATCGAGGAGTGTGGATTCTAGTGACCATCTGATATACATCTCCTCAAGCACACATTTCACACCATGATTAGTCTACCTCGTGAGCTATATGTAGTAAGCTAACTCTAGTTAAACTATATCGTGTTTCACTAAACTGAATACCTAGTTAAGGGACTCATGCTTTGTGACTACCTAGCAATAAGGACATACGATCTACGACCTAGGTAGGTAGGTCCCATACTGTTTGCAATTAATCCTTCACACCGGCAATTCACTGCTTGCACAGAGCTCGACGTACTATGAGCCTCGATATACCGTACACACATGCTTAGTTTCAACATTGGGCCGGTTAGATGTGCATAAGATACTGCAATTTGCGCCCACCAAACTGGAAGCGCAAGAGATTCTTTTTATTAAAAACATATGGAAGTGGTATTATAAGTCGTTATGATCGTACCGCAGAGCAATCCTGAATACAAGATGCTCCCGTGTCATGATAGTGAGCTGTCAAATTGTAGCGTCACTCTAAAATGCATTATTAGTTCGGCGACTGATTGATTATACGCTGTCGGGAATGACCGCCATTATGACATGTGCCGAGGGTGTCTAGCTTGGTTGATGCGACCTCGAGGATATTTGTGTCGAAATGCCAGAAATCGCAGACTTGCGACATACCCACAACGCAATTATGAGGTGGTAGCAGCTACCTGACCGGAAATGGACCCGCGAGCCTCTAACTCTTTCCTTTTGGCTAAGAGACTCTTGAATGCCCCTAGACAATGAACCAGGGACTCCTCATCATGGGCGCAGAACCGGTAGCTTTTCTCGTCCGTGATGATTTGCATGCAGTGCACTTTCGTCTTGCTGATGGCATCAATATCCACCACATTAACAATGGATGCTAGTGCCAAGATGAAAGAAGCCGTATACTCTGATTCGTTTTTGTATAGAATTAGATTCCGCGGCCGGAGTACGGCCCAATAATTCTTCCATTGCCTCATGCCGCGCTTTCCCTTGAGGAACCAAAGCCAACCTTGCCAAACCACCCGATCGGGGTCTCGTTCCACATTCAATCCGCTGATCTGGCTGGCATTCTGGTCCCCCATGACTGATTGCTTGGGACGTGAGGCAACCTGCGTACCGGTAACAGAGGCTGACGGTCCGGCAAAGCTCTCAATTGACGCCCCATGTCCCCTCTGGCCCTCCGCATCAGACAGATCAGATTGTGAGGCTACCTCGTTTCCAGATAGGCCGGAGTAGTCGTTATGGGACATACATCTCCCAATAGAACGTATTGACTTCGATGTAGGCCGGTCGGCGGACTCCGGTGAGCTTGACAAAAACCGTTCGTGCTCCGGCATAGGTGGTTCACGAGTACCGTCTGTACTCTTCAACATTGTTGCCGGTGCGAAGGATTGACGGCGGATGATGGGACTTGCTAAGAACATTTCCTCTTCTTCCTCTTCGATCCTAGCCTCTCGTCTTATGAGATCTATCCACTCTTGCGCATCCTTGGCGGTCGGTGCCTCCAAATGATAATTTCTGGCCGGAGAAAAGAGTCCAAAAAGATGATCTCTCTTCTGTTTAGGATCTTTTAGAGGCACCACTGCCGATAAGTCTGAAAGGTATAACTTTTGCCGAAGTTTGCTTTCTTTCTCTGATTTATACATGTATAGCGCGTTCGGACGTAGAACAAGATAGACAGTCTTCCAGACCTGTATATAAACATCGGAGATTAGCATCCAATTCGATTGCCATGCGTAGGTAGAACGGACTTCCTAGAGTACCTTCGTTTTCTGGGTTCGTTTTTGGGCATATCCTGACTTGAGGACACGATCAAACTCAAAACTTCCATTTTGGTTTACGGGGCTTGCCATGGACAAAGTTAATTGATTTCGAAGCCGAGTTACCATGCTGTTGATGGGGGAGGTAACCGACGTGGGCGGTATGATTGTTCGGTAGTTAGTTGCTTGTGGAAGACACTGAGTGGTAGTCTCCGCCATGACGGGAACTGACGAAACTCTACGCGATAGGGTTCTTCACAATGCGGGATGCGGCGAGTGATTGATATTAGGTCCCAGTGTCACGGAATTATCCAGAAGTGCAACGTCGGTTTCTTCTCCGTGTGTAACATGCGAGCTAATCCCCTACTGCAGTACCTGAGTCGTAGAGCAGGTGCTTGCGTGTCTGTTCGATGGACTCGATCTCTACCGGCAGGCTGAGTGCTCACTCGGTTGATGGTGAGGACGTTGACCTCAGTATTGCACCAAGTCGTGGGTGAGCTAAAGAGCGACCGATGGAGCGGGTAGTTCTTGCTATATCTAAGCAACAGTAGAAGATAGGACGATCGAACGATATACACTTATGTGGTTGGTGGCGAGAAATAGTGGAAGAGACGGGGGTTGGCAATTATGAGTCCATGAGAAAAGCCGTAGAGAGAAGCGGGAACGACGTAATAAATGCCTATCGAGTCAAGTAAAAGAGAGATGGAGAAGAAAATGAAGATAACGTTGTGGCGGTGATTAAACTGTTAGTCGCGGCCGGAGATCAGGGGGCATGAAGTCGTGGGTTGTTGTACGTTGACTCTGGAAATGCCCCTCTCTCTTGACTGGTCAGCCTCGAACCTCGAACAGGCGGAGCTGGCAGGGAGTGATGATAGCACACGTTGCGGCAAATGACGCACTATCTGCTACTAGAGCGGCGAAAATGGACGAAGTGAAGAAGAACGGATGAGAAGAGAGGATGCCATTACAGCGTAGAGAGTGAACGGTAGAGAATGTTAAGGTAGGTAGCTATAAACATCCACGTATAGGTACCCAGCAGCTGTGTGAAGTAAAATTAAAAGTCAACAGAATGTAACCGCATAATAAAGGTAGGCAGTACATGGTACCTACTACACTCAGTAGGTACTTATATAGGTACCTCGACGCGCTGGAGGCAGAGCCTGTAGCCTGTAACCTGTAGCCTGCAGGCCACCTAGGTTTGCCGCTCACACACCCCACGGTGGCCGCCACCTTACCTAAAATGGAGATACTGGAGACAGATTAGGTATACCTACTTAACTACTTAAGTCGCCCAATGTTCAAGTACTTTACATACCTCCAAGTATTACCTATCCCAAGTACTTTAAGTACCGAAGCATATATATTTATATATAATATAAAGATTAAGTAACTAAGGTATTTAATAAAAGTAGTAAAAGCACCCAGGTAAAAGGTAAAGGAATACAATCAACATTATAGAGCAAGTATAATACATGAATACCTAGTCCGGGCGTATTGAGAATAGTAGGCTGTCTGCTAGCTTCTAACACATCACTTGTAGACGCCAAGGCTGTTTGAAGCTAGGTAAGTATGGAGCAGGTAACCACTTTACATACACGTCCGAAACAATTAGGTACTCTGACTTGAGAAATAAAAGACAATGCCAACGGGAGAGAAGAATCGAGGTGATCAAATGAACGCCTTTGGCGCCCACTCCATTTCAAACCGTCCTTGATACTAAGAGAAAGCGCCTATCTGTACCCAGATGTTGGAGGTTCCCTGGCGAGCCTGGCTGCTTTTAGCTCGAGACTTCAAACTAAGACAAGCCTTTTGATTATGTCATCCGACTTCCTAGGAAGTCGGTCCTAAAGACAAATGCCTTTGTTGTTAGCACCCAGCATGCGTATTCAATCCTCCATCGCAATTCAAAAAGCAAAGTTAGGAGTCACTCTGAGAGTCGGCTACTGAATCAGCATTATGAGCCTGACCAGGAACCTACCCAGAAAACATGACGGCCAGCAAGCAATAGGATATCGTCCATTCATCTGTGTGCTAGGATAGCAGCAAAACCGCCTCTACATAGGTATCGTTGGCTGTGACAGGCGTCCAAAACATCCAAGCCTCCGACTACAAGGCAAAGCAGAAAAACTACTCTGTCTGATTGGATGAAGCAGTGCTTAAGCCCCAATACTGAATACCACCTGGATCGTTCATCGGACTTGGGAACGGTACAGCGAATGCCACATTCCTAGTATCTCATTGAGGAAGGTCAGACAAGAACAGATCACTGTTGCGCTTGACGTTTCTTATGTATCTAGATAAATACAGCAGTTCAACCAATGCCTCAGATTGAGCTCGTACATTGCTCAGCAAGCATGCGTAAAGGTTGAGAAAAAGCGGTATTAGAATCGCTTACTGTAGCTACCTACCTAGTGCCAAGTCCCGTACAAGAACGATAACGAAGCTTAACCGCCGGCAACAAGGCATCATGAATAACAGGTCAGCGGCCACGAGACCCGGCGGGTAGGTAGGTAGGTACTGTCTCGGCCAACAGCAATACCTATCAGATGGATTACCTCTATATATTGCGCTACTATTATCGTGAGACAACGACGCTGATACCAGCGGATATTCTGCGCTAATAGGTCAGATCGGAAATGATGTGGCTGATGTGCATGATGTCGTCCTTTAACCCCTTTCCTTACCTTAGTTGCTAGACCAGCCAATGCAACTGATGGGTGGCAGCACGCGCTGTTTTACAACTGGTGCATTTTTCTAGATAATAATAGCTCTCATATGTCGATCTGAGCGTCCAATGGTGCTGATAGTCTGTTCTTACATCGTACACTAAAGTACGACTACCTACACAATATGTGCTTAAAAGCCAACCATAATCCCCCTATTCCGAGAACTGCATTTATAACCATGCTCAAGTTTCATTTATTGGGTATCATGCCTGCAATATATATACAGCTTCGGTAGAATGAATATTAACAAGTGAAGTTGTAGTCGCCAAAACTATGTATTTTAGGTTTAATACTTGTGTTCAGCTCTTAATCTTGGGCCCGAGCACTCTCACTCCCTTGGCGCTCCCCCAAACGCTGTCGCTCACTTTCCTGGGTATTTTGCGGCCACGCAGCCTCTGGTCGATCAGCCACATGCCCACGACGAACTGAGCCCTGTCCAGCGCACCTCTACCCTCAGTGTCGACGAGGTCCCATACCTCCGCCAGCTCATCGAATGGAAGCCGGCTGCGCGTCCATATATCGCGTGCCACTACATTCGCGACGAGCTGACTTGCATCCCCCAAACCGTTCAAAATAGCGTTAGGGCCGTCTAATAATAGACCTCGGTTACTAGCCCATACGCCCTCATATCGCTGCCTTTCACGGGCTGTGATCTCTTCGCGCCATCGTTTTCTGGCACCTTCCCGGTGAGCGTGTTTCTTCCGAGAGCTGAGTTTGCCAAGTGGTTTCCTATGTTGAGATCCCACTCCAGTCAGTTCCTCTTCGGATTTAGTTCGAGGTGCTCGTAGTGTCTGACGTATGTGTGGTATTTGCCTTCGAGATGGAGGTGGCGTGGGAGGTTTCGCTATAGTAGGCGTTGCGCGAGCAGATGCAAGTGACCCCGCAACAATAGCATTGGTGAGTGAGTCTAAAGCTAGATGGGAAGATGGCTGCAGCACGGGAAGCCGCGGAGGCGGTAGAATAGAGGTATTGGGCACTGATGGTGGCCGTAATGGTAGAGAGGGTTCGGGGGTTTTACGTGGTGAGTCTGGCTGTAGTGAAGGGGCTGATGAAGCAGATACGAACGTATCATTTGATGATGAGCTAGAAGATCTACGAATCAAAAGGCCCGGATCCTTTGTATCTGTAAAGGTTGCGACTGAAGGCATTGTCGTGGAATGTGCGCGAGTTTGATGTTGTAACATCGGCTTATCTAGCACTTGAGTAGAAGAAGCAGGGCTCGGATCTGACGACTTTGATATAACCTGTTGAGACGATGTCCGTATCGGCTGTGGAGATACAACCAAAGCGTTTGACTGGCGTATAGCGCGCGGAGGTGGTGTGATGGGTCTCGTTTTCTTCTTGAGATTAAGAGGTGCAGATACTGCTACCTCGGTATGAGCCTTATTTCGTGAAGGAGGAGCAGGAGGAGGCTGCTTTCTAATTCCTGGCAGTCCCTCTATGCGTTGAGGCGTCGAACTTGGTGCAGCTGGACTGGATTCTGTACATGGTGAAGGTAATGCTACCTTCTCCCAGGCGAGAGACGAAGCCAATCTTGAAGGTGATGTTTCGTACGTGAGTACCGGACTCATAGTTCGAGGTGGTGTCATAGGCCGCAGACCAACTCTGAGTCCCTTTTTATTGCCAGATATCGGGGCTGGTCGCTTCTTCGCCGGGTCCGACTCGCCCTCCTTCCGCTCAAACAACGACACTAGGGCATTTGTAGGACCAATTGAGCTTGAATCCGGCATAAGATCCGCGTCTAAAACTGAGCTGGCAGTGCTATTATCGCCCAGATTTCCTTTGCGCTGTTGTGCAGTATGGTGATGATGGAGACTGAGCTGTGCCAGGGGAGCAGGCTTGGGATTAGGACTTCCAGATCGACTTGCAGCGAGAGTTGCCGCAATGAGAGATGGGGAACGTGCGTCTCCCATAGTTGACTGGAGGTGAGCCTGGCCCATCGCTTGGTTATGTCGGCTCGGGGTACCATTGTTCCCCGTGGTTTGGAGGCTCAAGGAAGGCGACTGAGCAAGGCTGCGATCGCGCGATGCCGACGTAGCCGCTATAAGAGCACCATTTCCGTGACCATTGGCGGTCTCACGAGTCGGGGTAGCGGTAGATATCGGCGTGGCAGGAACATAGGTCGTAGGGGTGGTGGCTGTCTTCTGGAAGGCAAGGAAAGCACCTCTCAGGGCTGTATTATACGTGGCATCGTCATGTCCTGGTTGGTTTGGTGTACTGGCACCGTTCATGGGGATGGCCGACAGTGGCATCAATTGCCGGTATCCTTACATCTAACAGCTCATTGAAGTGACCTAACTGTTACTTAAACGATCTCACGGGCGTGGCGTGATTAGAGAGGCGGTTAGAACGAAGCATTCGGGTGAAGAAGAAGTAGACATAGAGCTGTTCAAATGGTCGCAAGTTGCAAGCGGTTCATGAAACAGTGGATTAGGACGTAACCTGCCGTGAGGCTTAGCGACAAGTTGACGTGATGTGGTTACCTTAGAGACTTGATACCTGTAGAGACACGCGCTCGAGTGGCCCGAAAGGCTTACTTGCCTAAGGTAGGCTAGGTACCTTCCTTAATGTAGGTGCCTACCCTCGCCTACTAAGTACAGCTAATGTTGCATGTACCTAACTGGGAAATGACGTCTCGTAGTACCTATTACTACACGCTACCTTGACCACCTTTAGACGACACCTTTAGACGTCTCTGCATGATGCAAGGAGCTTGGGAAAAGAAAGAAAAACAAAAAAAGAATAACTTGGCTTGCGATTCTTACTTCTTCTTACTTCTTCTTGTAGGTAGAATACGAAAAGTGACGACACATTGTCTTGTTTTACGGTACAAACGTACCGGATGCGCAATACGATAAAAGGCCAAACCGAAACGCCAACGCCAGCCAGGACTTATCCACCGCCTCGCCCATCAGCCCTGCCGCCCCATATTCCGAATATGTTCCATCAGAGAGCCCCATAAAGGAAAATTTACAACAGTAGGTAGCATCAACAGCAAGACATGAACTGTCAAGTGCCAATGTGTAGTATAATTCAAGCCGTATGAAAACAAGGAAGCAGCCGAAAGGCAGGCCCAGCCAGCTTGAGGCTGTCAACGTTCTGTGTGGTCAGGACAACCAGACACAAGAAGAAACAGAGAGAGGTTGTTGTGGGGCAGCACGTATAGTGCGGGAAATAAGTTGGCGCGTGCCATATAATCTGACGACAGCACAGGTGTGCAAAACTTTGTCCATCCATAGACAGCTCAGTTGACTACTATTAAGGTGATTTTTGGAAGGCTTCACATGCTATATCGTCGTGAGTCATGTATCGCCTGGCGTCTCGTTATCATTCAGCTGTAAATGGAAAACATGGCTATGAGAAGGCGTCTTCGTCGGTCCATTCGCTCCCTGAGATGGTTCGGTTGCCTTCGGCATCTACAGTCATATGGTTGATATGCATAGAAGGAGGAAGGCCCCGAACGCGCTTAACTTGGCTGGTTTGAGCATCTATATAACCATCCTCAGGGCTGAATCGCTTTCCTCTTGCTGCTCTGACTTTAGCATAATATGCGTCGGACGCATCAGCCTCGGGCTCTGATCCATCATCGTACGTCTCCCAGTTTTCTGATCCGGAAATGACAGTTGATGTATTCGAGGTCTGTCTCGGTGGAGGTGCATGTGGATACGCAGACTGAGCATGTCGCTCACTACGCAAAGATGCGTGAGAGGTTTGATGCATGTAAGATCGCCCATAGCTTTGTTGGGAATTCCGATCATCATATACATCCTCCGGTTCAACGGCCCGTACATGTGAACCTGAACCGAGTCCTACGCTTCGATATGGGTTTACTGGCGTCTCTAGCTCTGGAGCCGGTACCAGTTCCCTCATTTTCGGAGGCGGAGCTCTTGTTAGGGGATGACCTGGTCTTAATGCGCCTTGGGTTCGAGTCTCCGGTCGTGGTCTTTCGGGGGAATTATTGCCATGCTTGAGATTCGACAGGGGCACGCGCGCCGGAATTCTGGAGGGACTAGTTTTTAGATCTTTAAGCGCTTGACTGGGCGCCACACCTTTCCTCACGGTGCCTGTAAGGTTTGCTGTTGGTGTCTTGGACCTGGCGATTGTTCCAGCTCTGCTTGCAGTGCTATTCGCCCGGCTGGGAGGTACTCCTCTAGGTCCTGCTGGGGTCTTTGCTCTGGGCCCGGGAACTGCCTTAGGCTCCTCGGGCTCCAGAACATCTAGATACCGTTCGCCATGAACAAGGAATGGACGGCCGTATTCGTCTTCCCACTTTGCTAATAGCTTGGCCAGTTCTGCTGAGACTTTGGGTAATTCTTTTGTGATTCGCTTTCTCATTTTCTCCTCACGAAGCAATTTCCCGGGGTCTCTCCTTTCTCCCTTCTGACCACGCATCATGAGACGTGACGCATCCTGGCTTGATGCAGCCAGTTCATCGCGATCATGGACAAGAGTTCGGTGTCTTTCGATCAATGCCAACGCTGGTGCCCGTTGATCTTTCAAGGCTTCGAGGCGAGATATCTCCCTTTCATGAGCCTCGAGTAGCGCATCACTGTAGACATCAGAGAAAGCTGGCGTGAACTCCAGCATCTCGTCATCGGAGAAATATAGAGCGTCCCAAAGTTCCTGTAACTTAAAACGGGCATCTTCGACAAATAGGTGCAAGTTCTGTCGCTTGAGTTCACTCAACCTCGTTAGCTCATCTTCGAATTCGTTGATCTGCCGAACGCCGCAGCCACGGTTTCTGTTAAGGAACGATTTACGCTCGGACTCCTCGACACCAAGTTTCTCCCAAAGTGCATCAACGGCCATCTTAAGGTCCTTGAGGCGTTTCTCACGAGATTTTTTGTCATCGGCCAATTTGTCTCTCCTGATCCGTAGCCTAGAGAGGTCCTCTTCGTGTAAACCGAGTTGTTCTGGAGCATCTCGATAATACTTTACGATGGCACTGTCAGTTTGAGCTTGCGGCGTCCCAAGTTCGGCCCAGAGTTGGATAATGTTTTCACACAGTGCCTTTACTGTCCCTACTCGACGCGTATATTCTTCGTATACTCGAGTGAACTCGTCGTCGAGTTTGTCGACATACGCAGGCGAAAGATCAAACGTTGGTGGTAGAGACTGTTTTGGTCCTGTGGGTGGCAGGGCGACCTTGATGAAAGTGGGCTCAAGGTGGGAAGAGTATGATTCTAATGCTTGAACGAGCTCTGCAAGGACGAGGTTAGTATAGTAGTAGGCCCATGCAGAATCCGCACCATGCGCAATTGTGACGGGAATAGTAACATAGGTGACTTACTTTTGACTTGCTCGAACCGCTCTCGATGCAATTTAGCTATTTGCATATGCTTCTCTTTCAATACTTTCAGGCATTGCGTGAGAGGATAGGTGATTTGCAGGTCGTCATCCCCCTGGTTCCGCTGTGTTTTGGTATCATCAAGTGAAGTTTCCATTTGCCGGATTAGGGTGATGATGCTTTCCGCCTCGTCCACCAATTCCCTTTTCTCTGCCGTGACGAGCTTAACCTGGTTATTCAATGTTTCTGAGAGAGCTGTGAAGAGCTAAGCCATTACTTTGGTTAGCTTCGCTAGATGTAGTAGTGTCGCAGTGGGCTGGTGGCTTCTCACCTCTGCTTCTCGGTTGTCGCGATCATGACTGGGGACACCAATCTCGTCAAACAAGCCATGCAACTGACCAATGATGCTGTTGACCTGCTGGGAAAGATAGCTGGCATCCATGATGGGCAGATTGGGTATGCGAGGCGCGCACGGGCGGCGGTTGGACTTTGCGGGTGTTTTTGTTATGCGGGTCGCCTGGGATGGTGTGTGATATTCGTTGGATCCTGTAGTAGACTCGAATCACGGTCGCATGCCACTCGTCATGCTGTTAGCTTCCCAGTGCCTCTGCAAGTACACGCCCTCGGTGAACGAAAGAGGCGATCTCTCAAGGTGTAGGAAGAAACAAAAAAAAAAAGTGAAGGGAGACGCGCTCGTAGTTAGATAGCCGAAGAAAGCGAGAGTGTGGTACGAGGCATTGCAGGCCAAAACACTACAACTAGTAATGGATGTGAAAGCGATGCATTCGCATAATACATGTAGTAGTAGTAGTAGTAGTAGTAGTAGCAGCTAGGCACAATGACAATGACGAAAATAGTAGCAATGAAACCACTTGATTGTGTCTTGGGGACACCAGTGGCAGAAACGAAGGGGGGTGTATTGAACGTCTAAATGGAGAAATGGAGGGGGCACGCAGACAAGAAAAACATAAGGTGACGATGGGATTGGACTGAATTGGAGATCAACAACAAGATCGCACGCAGCAGCAGCAGCAGCGTTATGCACAGCATCGCAGTAGTAGGTACCTAGGTACGGTCGCTGCAGTGGTAGTAGGTCTCTCTAGGAGTAGGTACGGGTACCTAATCGCCCGCCCGCGCCGTGGCTCCCTGCACATGCAGCAGCCCACATATGCTGTATCCACGGCAACCGTGCTGTTTCAGATCACTGACTCTACCTAACTTTACCTAGCCTACAGTGGTACCTAGCCCGGCCCTACCTTAGGCCCTACTAGGTACATTTGGCAGGTAACGTAGAGGTACCCACTACTTCGTTACTGAGCCCCACCAAGCGCCCATTGGATTCAAATCCATCGAGGCCTATCGCTCAATGCCAGCGCGTCCAATCGAAACCATTCCCTGCTTCTCAAAAGAGCACAATGGCTCATGCGAATTACATGTACATATCACATTCACCTTACCAACGATTAAAGAATAATGTACCAAAACAGGCAACGCGTCCGAATCCTCTGAACTCTGCTCTGAACTACAATTCTACTTAGGGTACAGCATGGTTCCATCACACAATTCCCACATTGTCCAAAAATCTTCACACGGGCCTTTCCTGCTCTCTTTGGAGTCATAGGTATGTTATGCATCATGGCATAGGTACCTAGATATGCAGAATTTGGGAATGCCGATTTCCCTTTTAATTCCAATTTAAATATCTCTGCATGGTTTTGGACGTTTCCCGCCACATCGTAAGTTCGTGGTCAGATGCTTCCACGACCTGCTCTCTGATCAGTGATAGTAGTACATAGTACCGGGTATCCTAGTCTAGACTTCGACAACTATTGTAACTAAATAAAGTGCATACATGAATACGAATCTATATAAGTTCGCACATCTAGGTAGTACTTTATCGCCCACGATAACCCTGAAATGCCTTGCTGGATAGTGAATAAGTTCATTAACGGTGATCTACCTCGTGTGCCAGGAAGGACCCATATGACCACCTAAATCGCAGGTTGCCCACTGACAGGAAAATTCACTTTGATCTCCGCCTTTCGTCGGTAGAAAGGTACATAGCCCATCTACGTACTACGTAGGTGCGTCAATCATGAAAGCATATATCAGCATCGTGGATACCAAATCATCAACACTAATAGGCAGCGATTAAGAAGGTACAATTCGAAGATAAAGTGTAACTCGCATAAAACAATGGTGAACTGGATCTGTTTTTAAGAAAATTACATATAAACCATCAATTGATTCAATCTGCTAAATCCAGACGATGCCTTGGCCCCCAACTGTAGGCTTGTTCTTTCACGTAGTCCGAGTCGTATGGTGGGCGCATGAACGCTACCGCATCTCTGTCTAGTCTATGACCCGTCCCCGAATGTTTGATACGCTCTTATCGTTCGTCTCTGTCTTCTTTAGCGTCTTGCCCATCTGAATTTCACCTAGAAACCCCGCAGGGCGTCCGCCTGGTGGTGGCGCGGGCAAACCCCCAATGGCAGGCGGTGGTGGTGGAGGGGGAGGAGCCATTCCCGGGATGGGCGGTGGAGGGGGCGGAGCCACGCCTGGCATAAACGATGCATCGGTACCTGGCATGGGGGGAGGCGGTGGAGGAGCCGATGGACTTGCTTCTGGTAAGGGTGGAGGTGGAGGAGCGGCCAATGTTTCTGTTAAGCCTCCGCTTGGTGGAGGAGGGCTAAACGGCGGCGATTGAACAGCTGGTGAGGCTCCTCTGGACTTTTCACCGGCAGCCGACAAAGGTCGAGGAGGACCCATGGATCCAAATAACAAAGACGCTAAGTGAGCGGCGCCAGCAGCTGGCCGATCATCGTCAGAGTCGTCTTCAGATTCCTCATCACCCGAGCCCCATTCATCATCTGTTTCGGGTCGCTTCCGGGACACATTGCTAGTCGGCTGTGGGCCCAAGGCGGCTGCGGGAGCAGCTTGCGTCATCTGATGGAAAGGATTGGTTGATGCCTTAGGTTGCGATGGGGGTGCGGGAGCCGATGTGGCAGGTGTAGGTGCAGGTGCAGGTGCCGGCGGTGTCGCTGATGATTCTGATGATTGTGACATCATACGGAAATAGGGGTTGCGGCTCTCGGTGTCCGTTGAAGAGCTTGTGACGGCGGACGGAGGCGATACGACGGGTGGTGCGGGCGCGGGAGGTGGTGTTGCCTTACGTTCAAGCTCTTGACTTCCTAGCTGGCTGCCACCATGTGTTGGCGTAGATGCCTGTGGTGTGATTTGCTGGGGACCATCATCATCATCGGATGACGATTCTTCATCCATGGCTTCAAGCTGCCGTTGGAGTTCAAGTTCTCTTTGGCGTGCTGCTTCGATCTCAGCTCTCTGAGCAGCTAATTTGGCCTCCTTCTCCTTCGCCTCAGCCATAGCGGCCTTCTTCCTCTTCCTTTCCTCTTCTTTCTTGAGCTTGCCTTGTCGGACTTGTTCTTCTAGAGCTTTCAGACGAGCAGCAGACGCCTCTTGCTCCTTTCTCAATTCAGCTTCTTGCTGTTTTGCTTCATCCCTGGCGATCGGGTTAATGCCTACTTCAGAAAATCAAAGTTGATAAACTTACTCCATTTGTTGTGTAGCGCGTTGCTGTTCTTCGTGCTCCTTGGCGAGGCGCTCCTCCTCCGCCTTCCGTACTGTTTCTTCTTCAGCCTTCTTGCTAATCTCGTCATTCTTGGCACCCTTTCTGGCAGGTGGCGGGGGAGGTTTCTTGCCCTCTGGTTTGGCGACAGGTGGAGGGACGCCTTGTTCCTCGGCGATTCTTGCCTGGCGTTCTGCTTCACGACGAGAATCTTCTTCTTCCGCCTGGCGAAGCTTCGCTGCTCTCTCTGCTCTTTCTCGCTCTATTCTTTGAGCTGCTGTCTCGCCAGGTTTTGACGGCGCTTTGATGCCAAGCGCAGCGAGGCGCTCGGCCATACGCTGCTCCGCCTGTTGCTTAATGAAAGCAGCTCTTTCTTCGGGCGTTTTATAAGCCGAATACGAACCTCCGCTAAGTCCCGGAGATTGAGAAACAGGGGGAGAAGAAGTATGACCCGCTGATAATGGACTTTCAAGGCGCACTGGAGGTGCTTCCGCTCGCACAGGTTCAGAAGTCGCAGAACGTCCGCCTTTCCTATCTTGAGCCCTGATGCGTGCAGCTCGGCTAGAGCGCTGCAAGTCGAATATGAAGTCACGAACTTCGTCCTCAACGCCAAGCGCGTCCTCCCAACGTCGTTTCTCGTGCTCGTTGGCAGAAGTCTGCCCGCCCTCCTTTAAATTATCCTCGATCCCTTGGGCGAATTCTCGAACACTATCTTCGACGTCCCGCACCATTCTTTCGTTGTTCTCTTTCTCAGTCCTAGCTTTAATGCTCTCTTCTTCCAGGCGCTTGGGTGCGTCAAGGTCATCTTCACCAACCTCTACCTTTTTCCCTGTTAGTGCAGCGGTTCGTTGTTGCATCATAGCCTTTGCTCTGGCCTTCAAGCGATCAGACTCAGTTATCGAACCGCCGGGCCCAGTGCCAACGATGGTGGATGCGCTGCTAGGATGAGCTTTGGCATCTCGCAAACGGAAAAGCTCAAGCCTTGCATCAGCTATATCTTTCTCCGTTTTCCGAACTTGAGAGGCCAGTTCTGGAATCTTATCAGTGAGGTTTTGCAACTGCCTTTTGAGAGCCCGCCTCTCAGCATCTGAGTCGCCACTAATAAGAGCAGCGTCTGGGTGAGCATCAATATCGTCTTGTATACGGCGAATACGACGATATAACTCTTCTGCTTCTCGCCGATCACGTCGATCGAGAATATCATCCTCTTCCGCTGCAGCTTCATCTTTGAAGTCCATGGCATCAAGTAAAACCTGCTTTTCACGTATTTTCTTTTTAAGTTGATCGAGGGAAAGGTCTTCGTTTGAAGCAACAGATGCAGGTGAGTTTGGACGAGGCGAGGCGTTTCCAACTCTGCGCCGAGCGCTAGATTTGTATCCCACATCATCGTCATTGTTTCTGAAGACTGTACCGTCTTTTCTACCGGCATGAAGACCAGTATTACCACCTTTGAAAGAGTGGCTTTTCATATAGCTGACACCTGTCTTTTGTGGAAGGAGAGAAGCTCCTGATGATTTGCGGTAGTCAGATTCTTGATTCAACATAGATCTGATAGTGCCTAGAGACTCTGTTATTTTCCTTGTTGATGGCGGCACAAGCTCTGGGGGTAGAGTGTTCGGAATAGGGTAGCCATTCAGCTTTCGATATATTAGATGCATAGCCACGGCAAACTCGTCTAGGTCAAGACGGCCCTTGTTACCATTGTCTGAGAGTGTCCATATACGTTCAAGGTCAGCCTTATCTAGACCACTTTGACCCATTATCTCAATGGCTTGATCCCCACCGATAAACCCTTTACCGAGACCATCCCAAGCTCGGAATAACTGATCATACCGGGTCTTCTCGTCCTTAGTGATTGCCCAAGGGATAACAGCATTACCAGACAGACCAGCGGTAGTATAACTCTGTTGCTCGCGGCCGGCTTGAGGCATCATTCGAGCCTGCAGTGCATCGATATTAGGTAGCCCCGATGCAGGGGTATTAACCAAACCCCACTGGCCAGGCCGGCCAGTTGGTTGGGCATTCAAGGGAGCCGCGGGTGCTGGAGATAAGCCTCCCGCGAAACCAGTAGGCATTGGAGGCATTGGTGGTCGAGGGCCGCTGTATCCGGTAGGCTGGGGATTGCTCATCCCAGCAGGGAAACCGGTCTGCTGGGGTTGCATGCCCATTTGCTGGCTAGGAAACCCTGTCATTTGTGCTTGCAATAACTGAGAATTCGATGCTTGAGGCTGTGGATGTTGTATTGTGGGAGGGGTAGCCGCGTTTTGTCGTGTGAAGTCTGGCGCATTAGTTATGCCTCCAGATGCAGCCTCCTCCGCTACACTAAAGTTAATAATATCTACCATGCTCGAAACCTCATTCTTGATATTTTCCGGCAGACTACTAGGCAATGGCTTGCCTACAAGCTTGAGATTGCAAAGGTACATAGCAAGCGCAAATTCGGGGAAATGAAGCTCGCCCGCACGAGTCGTATCAGACAGCGTCCTGTCGGACACATTAGTTGAGAAATCTCACAGGTTGATTTTCATGACTTACCAAATATGAGACAAAGAGTCCCCGTCAAGCCGTGACCTTAATAGAAGGTCACGGGCCTTATCACCAGATATGGTTGTATTGTTTTCTCCCACTGCCGACTTGAACAATGTCTCGAACTTTGTTTGATCTTGTGCAGTGATGAAGGACAGTCTAATGTTAGGTATTTTGTTCGAGGTCTTCTGAGATTTCGCCGCAGCTGCTGACTGCGCATCAGTTGCCCCGCTAGTTCGAAACGATGCAGCCATTGCGGTGAAGCCTGTGGGCTGAGGTTTGATAGAAGGCGCGGCCGTCGTCGCGGGAGGAGGCGGTTGACTCGGGGATAAGAACGAGCTCTGGGGTGTTTGCTGTTGCTGTTGTTGCTGGCTATACTGCTGCTGGAAATGCTGGGGGATCTGGGGTACGGGCGGTGCGCCGGTTTGGAAATTCTGTTGTTGAGGCGCCTGTCCAGGAAAGCCGGTGTACTGAGGTTGAAGCCCCTGAGACTGCGACGGCACACCTTGGGCGCCCGGAAAACCCGTGTACTGCTGGGTTAAGGGTGGCTGGCCATATCCTGTCTGCTGCGATGCGAAAGCAGTGGGTTGCTGTCCCAGCTGCTGCGGTGCCTGTTGACCAAAGGGTGTGCCATATTGATGCTGGGAGCCTGGACGCGGCACATTGTTGGCTCCAAGATAGGAATTGGAATTGGAATACATGTCGGTATCAGAATCTTGTCATTGAGACTACTATACGACAGGGCTAGGTTGTATGAAAAGAGAGATTTTGAGCGCTGAGAGAACGACCTAGTCCCATCAGTTGATGAAAGACGGACACAGGAGGATAGAGAGAAGGGTGCACGTTCGGCGTGTTGGATGACGAAGCTTGATTGACGATGGCACGAATTGTCTAGGCCCGGAGTGCCTAGGTACCTGTTGAGTACGTACCTACCTACTGTATGGCCTGGCCCGTTTCAGCTGGTACTGTACATGTAATTGGTCTAATCTAAGACAGAGCGGGTCGCCACTGCCTATCAGGTTGCTGCATTTGAAGTACTGGCTATGTGGGCTGGGGCTTGGTCATCTCAAGCTGCTCCAGTGCTACTGAAATAGCTACCTCCTGGATGTCTGTGGATGTATTAACAGAATAACATCACCGCCAATGGACACCTCTGATAGTATATGGCATATATATATATATATATATATACGGACGAAGGTGAGGATCTAGTCTAGATACTCACCTCAAGCGACGTCTTCTGTCAATGCTGTTTGCCTGAATAGAGGAAATCATCCAGTCAATGAAGATGGCACTTCTATTTGTTATATCCGATTTCTTCTTTCTCTCCCTTATTCGCTTCCTGAATTTCTCTGATGAGACAGAGTCCGTATTCATATTAATCTAGTCTTAGCTGACGCCTTTTTTCCCACTCCGTAAATCATTTCCATTATCTGGACAAGCTTCCAATGCCACAGGGATTCCTCCAGGTTTATCTATGCTTTATTGCGATAACACATTGCATTGCGACGAGGCTCAATTTTACCACGAGAAACTCGTTCAAGAGTTGATAAGTGGTATAAATAGAGATCAAGGATTTAGGTCAAACAGGTTCGTATAGAATATCCACTAACCTGATTCCCAACTCGAGTAACTGGCTTACTGAGCAGCAGAGGTTGGGAACAGGTCTGCGTTTTTGGCAGCCCACGCCTTAAAGTCAACCTTTTTTGCAGCGGCATCGAAGGCTCCTTTGAGGCCGTATTGCGTCGGAACTCCCTCAATACGGTGAGTTGAGTTGATGTTCTTAACTAGCACGATTTGCCAACAGGTGGCACTGCCTTGACGGGATGCAATGGTGGCAGAGGCCAGGAAATATTCCCAAATCTAGAACACCATGGTTAGTATACAGGTGAAAGTCAAATTGAGATTTTGAGCACACATACGCGGAACCAGCGCTTTCCGTACTTCGCCTCAACTTTGTCGCGGTTGCCCATCCAGTTGCGATACCAGCGCCACAGGGTTGCCGAGTAGTGTACACCAATCGTGTCGAGACTCTTAACCTCAAATCCAGCGCCTTCGAGCTTATCAATAACGAAACCAACGGGAGTAGATGCATCGGCGCCAGGGAAGACATATTTATTCATAAACAAGCCCCAGATCAGATCTTCGTATTGCCAAGATTTGCGCAGACCAGCAATTTGAAGGAAGAAGATACCGTCGTCATCGAGCATGTCGTGAACTTGTTTGAAAAAGGCACCAAGCTTGCGAACACCTACATGCTCAGCCATCTCTAGACAAGTTATCTTTTTATATCCACCCTCGGGGACGGGAGTATCTCGGTAGTCCATACAGAGGACCTTGCTTTGTTCTTCACGGACACCAACGTCACGGAGAGCCTTGTTGCCCCAAGCCGTCTGGTTTCGACCGAGCGTAATGCCGGTGGCGTGCGCACCGTAATTGACGCTGGCGAATCGAGCAAGAGTGCCCCAACCACAGCCAAGATCGAGAAGCGTGTCACCTTTCTTTAGTTCGATCTTTTCGCAGACGATGGCCAATTTGTTATCCTGGAGCTGCTCAAGGGACTCCTCGGTATTGATGTCGCCAATAACCCCAGAAGTGTAGATCATCCGAGGTCCCAGGAACCAACCGTAGAAGTCGTCGCCACGATCATAGTGACCACGGACTTGCTCCTCATCTTATCGAAATTAGCGCCGTTAGCACGACGGAGGTATGAGTTTCTCACCTTGGCCTCGAGAGTGCATGATAACCTCGGGAATCATGCCAAAGACAAAATATTTGCAAAGACTAATGGTAAAACGGAAGCTTGCCCAGTCGTGTCGATACTCTAAGACTTCAAGAACATCGCCATTGAACTCAACATCTCCATCGAAGTACATTTCATAGAAAGTTTCAATGGGAATTTTGTTTTTCCCATGGTATTTGGCCTGATCAGAGGGCTTTTTGAAGGTGAGGTAGTGCTCCACAGATCTGCCAGGGTACTTGGCTTTCTCGTTCTTTCTGGGACTGATGGCTGAGACGGTCAACCAGAACGAGCCTAGAATGGGAATGAAGAGAAGGACGCCAAAGAAAATCGACGTCTTCAGCCCGCCTCCGACCTTCCAGGAGAACCATACCGGAACTCCAATTAGCAAGGAAAATAGCAGCGTATTCGAAAAAGTGTCTGAGCCGGCGGAATCGGCTGGAAGGGGGGCATTTTTGATTGCTGGGTACTATTGGACAAACTCGTCAGTCCAATATTTTCAGAATAGTGCAAGAAGAGGAGACAAGGCCCTGCATACCGACGTAGTCTTCACACCACACTCTTCAACTTTCTCAAATGTGGGCGTCGGGGCCTTGGGAGTCTCGATGAACTCGAACTCGGACTCGCTACCGTTGACACTCTGAGGTTTCGACATGGTGACGACGTGGTGAGGCCAAATCTCGGTGGTCCAGAATCACGACTTCTATATGCCACTCTCAATGGGAGAGGGAAAAGAGAAGAGAGAGAAAGAAAGAGGGCGGGGGATGAAGGACGTTGTGTATCTGGTAGAGCTGCTACCTATCACTAGGTAGTAGACCGCTTCACACTGACGGTGCGCTTTCGATTTGGAGTTCGATTTCCATTGGCCCTTCTGCACAGTAGGTGGGGTTGGCGAGGGTCTGCCCCTGGCTTAGCCTGGACAGCCCTCGACAGCCTCTAAAAAGCAACTTGTTAGGGTCTGCCTCTGCCCTATGCCCAGGGCAGCACTGCCAGGGCAGACCAGGGGTCGCTTTCGGCACTTACAAGTTACAATGTACATCTCTCACACAGGGGTCGTGGTTGTGCATTCTCAATACCTACACTTTCTCTTCTCATTTTTGGTTCGATTCCTCATAGTAGCAAATCCCGCATCAATATGAAAGAAAATCGCTGGAACGGAGTTGCGGTACCGAATCACCTATTGTACGTAGCTGCATACATATAGGTATGTAATCAGTGCTGTCGGTCAAACTTACATAAGAGGCCACCTAGGTTGGCCAAAGGTGATGCCTGGCTTGGCCAAAAGCTTCCCCGAAATGGTAGAAGGTTGGATCTTATCAGCCGGCTATCGGGGGCTATAGATTAACTAGGTACTTGTGATTATATTGTAGAGTTTAGGTGAATGATAACTTTGGCCAACCTAGGTGACCTCCTACATAGATAGTAGGTAGGGCTTTGGAGATCATCACGGTGATTAACTCGATGTTATAGATTTTTCAAAGTCTGTTATCCTGCAGATAGTCACATTGCCACCCTTAGATTACAACGTGTCTTTTTTATCAACTCGAATTTTTGCTACGCATAGCTTTGGACAATAGCAAATCATACTCGCTGTCATAAACCGTCTTCAGCATCGTCAGCAGTTATCCAATACCTACCGGTACCTCCATAGGTACCCACTTAAACTTCCAAAGCCTGCGAAGCCCATACAGCGTAACCTCCTTATGCACTTGCGCGTAACATACCATCATCACTGAAATCTCCTACTGTGTACACTTGGAACTGGCTTTATTCTCCAGAAATACATCCCATACTACAGAATATTGCGGCATGTTCCTTTCATATATAAATTAGGCCCTACAGTATATTTAGTGATGCTCTACAAACGTGGACGTAACTGCTCGTGTGAATATAAGGATTTCAAAATTGTGAGAATGTAGTTCGCAGTTACTCAGTACAATTGACATCGTTGGATGTCGGTCCTGTCAACGACGACCTCGATCGTGAAGATCGCGATGGCGCGCTCTTTGTGGGTACTCGTAACCGTGGTCTCGTCGCTCACGTTCGCGCTCAGTCTTGTAGCTCTCCCGGTAACGTCCATTCCGTTCTTGCTTCTCCTTCTCCCTTGCTCGCTTGTACTCGTCAAGCCGTGGTCGTCGTTCACGATGCCCATGACGTTTAGCCAGCTCTGCCTTCTTGATTTCCTCATCTTCCTTGGAGCCAAGGCCCATCAGATGTGGCCGTCGTTGGACTTCCTTGGGCTTGGAGCCGAACTCTTCTCCTTTCCATCCCATGCCTCGTAGCATTGCGGCGCCAAACTCTCCTTCGGGGATCTCGCTATATTCTTCTATTGTGGAGACTTCTGCTGCCTCCATAATTCTTTTTTGATATGCATCTTGTTCAGAGAACTGAGGCCTACTATTGGTGGCGGAGTCATTGATGACAAGATTTCGTGTGGGCTTTCGCTTTCCTAGCAGAGCATCCATCGCATCTTTCTCAGCATCCTCTGGGGATTCCGTTAGTATTGGTGGTTTATTTGATGAACTTTTCACTTGTTCCTCGGGCGCCTTCTCTGCAGTTGAGGAATCCTCTAGGGACTCCTTCACTGACTGTTTGGTAATGTTCAATCCCCATTTGACATCCTTATCCTGGTCAGCTGGTGCTATCTCCAGACTATGATTCTCCGTAGATAAGGATTGGATAGTAGGAGGGTTTTTTCTTATGGATTTCATCTCGGCTTTCCAGTCTCGGTTCTTCTGGCTCCTAATTACATATTCGTCTTTTTTCCTTTTGTCTGAATGCACATCGCTACTTCTCGACGAGGTATCAGCGTTGAATGTTGTGACAGCTTCAAGTTTGCCCAAGATATCATCCTCATCACCCGAATCTGACTCGTGGTGCAACGCATTGGGTCGTTGACGCTTGCCCAGAGTGGAAGAAAGCTGTGCTTGTCCGCGTCTAATTGCAGCAGTACTCGAAGGTTTGGGTGCTACAGAGGATGAAGCCCCGAACTTGATGGCTATACGAGGTGCCTGTTGTTGGGGCGCGCTCTCGGACATTTCAGCAGTTTGGAATTCGAGTAGGGCGAAGGCAATGTTGTATCCAAAATGTAGGTAGGCAGAGGTGTAGAAATATCTAGGCACTCTATTGTAATATGTAGGTACAATGTCGAGATGGCAAAGTGGCTGTGCTTAAATTTTGTGGCTGGCCACTTACACTACCGACATTAGGTACCTAGTAGGTACCTACATACCTAGATACCTATATCCGTGTACCTATGTAGGTCCTCACATGTAGGTATACTTTGTTACGAAGTGTCAGTGGTACCTACTTGCAAGTACCGACACAGGCAGTTTATATCCCAACGCTCCCAAAGTTTCTTACTCCAATGTCCTCATATTTTCCTACTTGCGTTTCCCATATCTTCACTTCGTCGCAGGGCCTCCACTAAATTCACTACGCAGGTCATGGAGATGAACAAGCGTCAGTCGACCTTTCGACCAAGGCCAGAGGTAATCACAGTATCTACATAATAGGCACCTCGGTATGTAAAGGTAGGTATTCAGTACATAGGGAAGATTGGGGGTCAGTAGGTATTTAAAAGGAACCCTGCGAGAAGCTGTAGGGTGTCACTATCTTTGCTATATTCTGTTGCTGTAAGTACTAAGCCGCTTTCCTCCCACATTCCCACCAGTCTGGAGTATTAATGCCTGCCCTAGGTATTCCGAACCTACTCGGAGCGACTTGACAAAGGCCGACTGGCCTTTGACACTGCCTGATTGTTCGACATAAACCGTTACTTAGCAAGGCTAGTAGGAGCCGTCCTCTAGCACAGGTCCATAGCACAAATCCGGGGATGTCTTAATAGGTACCGCCTTCATTCAGACAAGCTACGCAATACAGACAATATATCAGACAACAAACATGGCCGGCATTCGTAGGGGAGAAAGGCTACGTCTAGAGGCTATGCCACTTCACATCAGGGTAAAATAATAATGCCGGAAAGTAGGAAGAGTGTGAAGTGCGAGTTAAGTTGAGTATAGGATGACAGCAATTTCCTTCTGTGAGAGAAAGGCAGATGGAACCCCTCCCCTCCGCTGGTAGGCGTACTAACAGTGCCTCCCGATCTATCTACCCTAGGTAGGTAGGTAGGTATTGAAATGGCTTGAACCCCCCTCAATCCACTCAGCCCGCCACCATCTTTCAGTGTACCAACCCCTGGACAATGCGCTATCTACGGTCTGCTTTAGAGGACAGACAACCCGAAGCCTGGGCCAGATAACTCCATAGGTAGTGAAGTGCATCTGTAAAAAATTCATACATCCCATCAGTCTCAACCTACGCGATTCTTCAATCAATCAACACAACATAACGCCGGCATCTCCATCACCTGGAACGGGTCTAGTCATCTCAGGGTGACTTATTGAGTTCTAGGCCACATCCGTTTTGATGCAAAACGGATGTTGTCGCTGTCTATGCTATGACTGAGGTTGTGCCCGCCGACCGCACCAGGCTTCTGCAATCAAAGCGGGCAGAATGCAGGTAAGGTGTTTTTCACGCGATAGAGCTTGTCTTTCCGATTCGAATGATACCATTTATGGCGTGCTGACCCTTTCTAGTGCAATTGCACGGTCGCGCAAAAGGAAGCTCTGCATCCTCTATGAGGTGACGGTTAGCCCCGACGCCCTCCCCAGGCGCAGCTTCAACCATGTCGACGCGTATGAATGTACGCCAGCCGAGAAACAGTTCCTCGATGGTTGCGACATCCTGCAGTATGTGCCCTTAACATTAATCTGCATTTTTATGGGATTTCTTGTACTACACCATGCCTCAGCATACATTGCGAATTGAGCTTCTAAGTGCTAACACTCCCCTTCCAGGGGACGCACCCTCAACGAGTTGAACATCCCTACACGGCCTAGGGTAACTGCTCTCTATGCTCAGTATTTTCCTTCCCAGAATGCGCCCAGTGTTCCAAACGAGATTATTACAAGCGCGAAGCGGCCTATTAGCATTCCTCCTAGCAGTGGTGTTCAGCAGTCAGCTCTCTCTCCAACAAATCTATCAACACCACCATCGTTGCCAATAGCTAATGAGGCACAACCGAGACCGATTCCCCGGGCAGTCGCCGCCTCTGGATCAACAAAACCCTTGCATCAAGCCAGCTTCACTAACCTGCCTAACAATGTTCGCATCACAGGGCCAGTTACGCCGAATGTCGCGTCGACCCCGACGGCTGGGAGCGCGGTCGACAAAAAGCTGCAGGCACAAGCAACACCGTTCAAAGTTGCGCTCACAATGCAAGATGGAATCTCTCAACCCAACAGGTCAATACCGAAGAGCATCACATTGCCGACTAGCACACCGAATCCTTCGCTACAATCCGACGGCTCTTTTCGACCGTCTCCAGTGTTGCAGTCCATGCAAGACCCACCGAGGGTAAAGCAACATCCAGACCAACCACCAATTCCATCTATGCCTACTCAAGCAGATGTATCGGTACCTAATGGCACAGTCCCCGGCGCATCTCTTCAACCTCAGCCTTCTCCCGAGATCCGTCAGCGTTCATTGTCGCCCGCTTCGACACCAACCGCACCCATCACAACTATCCCCAACATATCAACTACTGCAAACTCGAGTGACAATCGTAGGATACACACAGGGGTAGAGAATGGCATTGCCAGCAAAGAACGAAATGGGCGCACATCCGAAGGCCACTTATTAACTAATACCCAACCAGCCCAATCAGAAATTCATTCAGCTCATCCTACTGGGTCGCAAAGCATTGGCGCGCAAGTTGAAGCCCAGTTAGTACGCGATTCAGCTGGTAATCCAGCTGCTAGCCCTATGAATCGCTCTATCTCGGCGGTCGAAGACAAGGGTGCTCAGGTACAATCAATACCGCCCTTCCCGCCTGATACCCATCCTGTTGTTCTCAGGATAGGCCAGGATATATCAGGGATACCTAAGGCTGAACCCTCAGATAATCCCCCTAGTGGCCCACAAAAAGTCGAGGTTGGATTGGGACACATGCCGCAGCGGCAAGAGAACGCCGCCGACGACAAGGCTTTCGGACATAAGGAAATCGCTGGTGTAGATGATGGCGCAGAAAATAATATCGACGATCGTACAAGGGGAGAGCAGATTGGTTCTTCGAATATGCAACAGCCTACGCCTGCTGCATCAACGTCTATTCCCACGCCAGTAGAGACCCAGCCCCGTCCGCAAGATGTTGTTGGTGTGACAGATGTTGCACTTCAAAAGCCAGTCGCTGAGATCTTGGGAGAACGACCGCAACCTATATCAGATTTGCTATCTCCAGATGATTCTCAAGTCACTCACTCTATGCCTATAACTCCGACTTCCCAGTCTTCTAAGGCGCACCCCCAGAGTCTGATCAATAAAAGGAAGATGAGGGAGAAGAGTAGACTTGCGACTGTGGTGTTTGGTAAACAAGTTCCTCAAGCTTCGAAATTCTCCCAGTCTTTAGTGCAGGGTCGTGCGAAACCTGATCAACTTCCGAGCGATGACTATTATACCACTCTATTTGTAAATGGATTTGCGGCCGGACCTAGCTGGATGAAGCCACTTGATCAATTGTTGCACCAGGCACACAAGACCGTTTCAACACCTGATTCCTATACACATATCCTAGACAATCAAGCTTGTCGAATTCTGCGCCGAGTGTATCAACTACAGCACACTGATAAATGGTCTCTGCGACAACCTAAGCGCTGCCCAGAGCCAACACGGCAGGTTTGTCACTGGGATATAATGTTACAAGAAATGAAATGGATGCGAACCGATTTTCGAGAAGAACGTAAGTGGAAGATGGCAGCTGCAAGTAACATGGCGCACGCCTGCGCGGAATGGGTCGCTGCTTCGGATGAAGAGAGAAGGGCACTTCAAGTAAATGCGGTAATTCCGCGTCGAGTGACAAAGCATGCTGATGATACCTTGATGACTGACGCTCCATCGTCTCAATGCCCGGAAAATCATCCGACTCCTGACCTTATTCCTTCTGGGGGTACTGATTCGCCATTGGAACCCGACGATGAGTTGGATGATGGTTTCTCAAACACGATAGCGCCATCTGCTATTTTCGCACTTCAGGACGATGACATAGTCTTCTCTTTACAGCCGTCTGCTGCGACTGATCGGTTGCTAGAGGAGCTTCCTATGTATGGGGCTCCTCTGAAAGTACCCAAATCTGATTTGATCGCCCCAGAATACGATCCAGACGCCTCATGGAAGAGGCCTGCACTTCCGTTGAGTAGGTTCGTTGAAGGTCAAATGGAATTGACATCAAATGAGCCCCCAAAGAAAAGGAGCCGTTTTCAGCATGCCCAAGAAGATGCGGACGATATAAAGCCCCCCCAACTGCTGCCGGAAAACCCTGGGGTTGCGCTTTTCCGCCCAGAGAACAAGACCATCAAAGACAGGCTTCATGCAGGCCATCAGTTCCGCCCCCCTAGCGATAATATGCCCTTTCAGGCCTTTTACGAATCACGCAGCTCCTCCCAATGGACCCAAGCCGAAGACGATGAGTTGAAAAGCTTAGTGCGAGAGTATTCTTACAATTGGAGCCTAATATTTGGCATCTTGTCGGCCAAGTCCATGTATGTGTCAGGTGCAGACCGTCGTACTCCTTGGGAATGCTTTGAGCGCTGGGTTATGCTTGAAGGTCTCCCTAATGACATGCAAAAAACCCAATATTTCAAGTTGTGGCAAAGTAGGATTGAGCAAGCTCAACAACACATACGCCAACAAAACCTCGCAGTGGCACAGCAGCAGCAAGCACAGCAACAACAGGCACAACAGCAAGGCCAAGGACAACAATCACAGCAGACACAACCTCCTTCGCAAGCAACTCCAAATGGCCCCAGTACACCTCTTCCCCGCCGTCGCCACTCCTTGCCCGTGAAAGTAGAACGACGGCGTAATCAGAAGCACCTCACCATGATTGATGCTATGAGAAAGCTAGCCAAGAAGCGAGAAACTGCAGCTCAAAAACAACAGCAAGCTGCTCAGTTGGCTGCTGCGAGAAAACCAGCCGACGTCGCTCAACCCAAAGCACCAACGAAGACACCGAGAGAGTACAGTATCATGCGATGGGAGCGGGATCAAGCGATGGCCGAAAGATTGGCGGAAAGGATGGCTCAGCAGCAACGCCACGAGGCACAGCGCAGAGTACGAGCCGGCACCAACGCTCCTCCAATTAAGGCTAACGTCCCGTCACAGGCCGTGATTCAAAGAGCTCAGCAAAATCAACACAATCATATGACTGCGACTACTCAGCCTGCAGGTCAACTTCCACAGGCTGCACAGCAGATGGCTGCCTCACATCCCCATGCTGGAATGACGCGAATGAATAACTCGAACCACACTGTTGCTAATGGCCAGCCCCGTCCTCGCATGCCCATACCTATGGTCTCGACCCCAACCGGAAATGAACACCAAAATCATCTACCTGGAGCTCTCGTCCCTCCGCAAATGAATGGCTCTCCACAAATACAGATGCCTGTCGTCAATGGACAAGCACAAATGTCCATGCCCGGTACGGCGCATAACATGCACATGTTACTCCAAGCTCGGCGAATTTCAGAGCAACAACGGCAGATGAGGCAGCACCAACAACAACAACATCAGCAGCAGCCTCAGCAGCAGCACCACCACCACCAGCAACAGCAGCAACAACCTCAGCAGGCTCAACCTCATCCTCAGCAGCACGTACACCCACATCCGCAACAACAGTCACTGGCACAGCAACAAGCGCAGCAACACGCAAGTCAGCAAGCAAACCCACCTCTACAAAATTCGCCCCCAGCTATGCGTGCTGCTGCTATTAACGGCATAAATCAGAAGAATTATCTAAATAACGCTCAAGTGCAAGCTATGATGGCGTCGTTCAATGCGACGAACGGATCAGGTTTATCAACCCCTCCAACAACTGGGTTCAACGTCACCCCCGGACAGTCGGGATCACCACGGCCAAACCTCATTATACCCCCGCAACAGCATCAAACTTATCTCTCGCAGCTTCAGCAAATAGAAAGCCAAATACGATCAAGCCATCCGGAGACGCCACAGGACCGGATAAGAGAAATGGCAAAAACGTACCTGCAGAATCGACATAATAGCATCGCACAATCTGCGATAAATGCCGCCGCCGGCAGCCCAGGGCAAGCGGCCGCTGCTAATGGCCCGCATCAGTATGCTCAACTCCTTCGGGCCCAACAACAGCAACAGGCGGCGGCAGCAGCGGCTCAGGCTCAGGCTCAGGCACAGGCTCAAATCCAAGCACAAGCACAACAGGGACCGATCCCTCAACCGAATGCTCAACATCACCGAAACTCAAGTGGCAGCGCAACACCTACCCCATCAAGTATAAAGCCGTAGTGAACCCTAACGCCGGAAGCTCTTTTACAATAATAAACTGGCGCCAGGCATAGTGTTATCGATTTTATTCATTCATGTAGCATATAATGGAGATTGGCGTTGTGTCTTGCCCTGGTTTGAGTAGACTCATGGCAATATGCGCCACGATTGGAGATAATCATCCCGATCCACCCTGGCTTGCCACTGCAGGTTCAAGTAACGTGAGACGACGATACGTTAATAGAAAGAAAGTTAATATGAAGTCTATGTACTCATCAACATTGCTTATTAAACATTCTGAAGTGCTGTGACTGTTGTATAGATGTAACCGTGAACATGCCTACCTACATGTACTTAGGTACATTCATAGAGAGCAAGCCTTAGGTGAGGTGTTGAATAAAACAACATGTGCTAATCGATAAGGAGGATCCAGTTTATTTTTTGCTTTACGCTGCTGAACAGGCGCTCCCAGTCCTTCAACTCAACATGATGTGCCAACCTACTTTAACTTCGCTTGTCGTTGCGAGCACTAAATTCTAATAGGCAGCATGGGTAAACGCAAGAGGGCCCTCGCCTCGGATGGCAGCAACGTCAAGGAGGGCACTCTCACCAAAAGGACCAAGCCTTCAGATGATGCGCCTTCCATAGCACCTATAATCATTCAGATCATAACCGGTTCCTACGATCGCGTTCTTCATGGTTTGACGGCCACGATCTCTCCCGACGACCAGGTCGAGTTCGCCGATACCTTCCTTTTCAACGCCCACAGCTCGGCGATACGATGCTTAGCAGTCTCCCCCCCTTCAGTCCCAGAGCCTGGGAAGATCCAGAAGGTCATGTTGGCGTCGGGCAGCAGTGACGAGAGAATCAATGTCTACCATATTTCCGCGCATCCTCCCAGACGAAAAACCAAAGATCTCCTATCATCCATCGCCCCACGAAAAATCCTTGAGAACCCTAAAAATCGTGAACTCGGCACTTTACTACACCATTCATCTACGATCACCAGTCTCTCCTTCCCCACCAGATCCAAGCTCATATCAGCATCAGAAGATTCGTCGATAGCTGTAACACGAACACGTGACTGGTCTTTACTATCTACCATCAAGGTACCAAAACCCAAACCACAGGGACGACCAAGCGGCGACACGGCGGCATTGGATGGGACACCCGCTGGTGTTAACGACTTTGCTGTTCACCCTAGCATGAAGCTCATGATCAGTGTGAGTAGGGGGGAGAAGTGTATGCGTCTTTGGAATCTGATGACAGCTAAGAAGGCTGGTGTTCTAAACTTTACCCGGGACATGCTACAGCAAGCCGGTGAAACCAAACATTCACCAGGCGAAGGTAGGAAGGTTGTCTGGGGTGCGACTGAAGAGGGTGATGAGTTCTGCGTGGGATTCGACCGAGATCTCATCGTATTTGGTATGGACAGTACACCCAGATGCAGAGTAATGCCAGAACCCAGGAGAAAAATACACGAGTTTTGCTATGTATCAACGGACTCGAAAACCGAATCTTCACTGCTCGCCGTCTCCACAGAGGATGGAAAAATTTTGTTTTTCTCGACAAGCAGCAAGGATTTGTCAGCAGAAGCGCCACATATGGACAAAGAGGCCGGGAAGCTACCAGTAGCCAAGCTTATAGCGCAAGTTGGCGGGAAAGAAGTCGGTGTTACTGGCCGAATTAAAGATTTCTCTATATGCAAAGTAGCAAGCCAGCAAGGCGATAGCTTCCTCATCGCTGCGGGCAGCAGCGATGGCAAGATCCGGCTCTTTATGCTACCAGCTAAGGATCTCACAGACGCAAGAAGCATGAAGTCTGCCAAACAAATTGGCAGGCTTTTGGGAACTTATGAAACACAAAACCGCATTACGTGTTTGAGTGCATTTGTCATGATAACCCGCGAAGAAGGGGCAGAGGACAGTGATGAGTTCGATGACGAGGAATTAGATAATATTGAAGATGACGATGACGAGGAAAGCGGCGAGAATGAGGATAGTGAGGGTGAAGATGAGGACGAGGAATGATAAGGAAAGCCAGATAAGGATCACATGGATGAAGTATAGTTATTTTGGTTCCTGGTCCGTGTTAGATGACTCGTAGATTCAGGTACACAAACCAATGGTCACAGTACAATGCATTGTAAACCTTCACATTCGGCTTAAAGATCTACTTCATCTTTATCCAATATACATAGAACAAACGATCAACGATGCTTAGCAGGCCGATGTACGAAGTATGCAGGATCCGGTATCTTTAGCTCAGCCTAGGTAGTTGGGGAAAGTAGTTGGTGGAGCTTTGGAGGAGTGCCCGTAGCCTAGATTTACAGCTGAAGAACTAAGAAATTTGTTGACACCGACGATGTGGTTCTTCCATGCATTGCTGACGCGCAACGGCCACATACCGTCTAGACCTTGGACGGTTGCTGGCATGAGCAGCCAATGACGGACCAGAGCAATCTCAGATTGTACACTATTTACACGCTACTATGTGGCCTTAATATCTAGAGTGTGATGTCGGCCAGACTGAGCTTCTCCTCATTGCTTTAATTAGTTGCTGACCTGCATGTCCTGGTAGTTGGTTGCCTCGGGAGATCTCGACCTCGTCTATTTGTCTATCAAGCGCATTTTGGTAGTGTTTCGCTTATGTCAATCAGCATTATCGTTCCTATTTCCCAGCGCGAGGCGACAGCTCATACAGCAGATAGGATACCTAGGACAGGACAGGATAGGATACAGGGGGGGAGACGCCCAGGACAAAGCAACCTTCTCTGAGAAGCCAAACAAAACATACCAGGTACGCGCATACGAAGTAAGGAGGTATTGAAAGTTGCATTACCGTACCTACTCCATGGGAACATGGAGTGTGGGGTAATAACAAATCAGAGAGCGGGACAGCGAAGCTGCATCTGCATGGCTGGCCTCATCTCGTAGATGGCCGTTTCTAACCACATCTGTCCGACCAGATCCGACCAATGTGAATCTCGTCAAGCTTATCCAGGCGAGCCAGGTAGCCCGCAGGAACCATTATTGCGGTCGTGGGTGTACACGTGCGCATCTGAATCATCGCTTTCCCCGCCTCGCCCCGCGAGAGGCACTGGAGTTCAGAATCGAATCCCAGCATGATCTCGATCCTAGCGCTTGGAGACAGACCACCTGAGCATCCAGGTAAGGACAAGTTGCATTGACAAGTCACTCGCCAGGGTATGTTCGACAGGCTCGACAGGGCTCTGCACGACATTAATGTGCCATAAAGCAGCAGACAGTGCTGTACGTCACTTGCCATGATCGGTTCTCCATTGGTTTGCGCGAACCCCAGATTCTGCTAAAGGATCGATAACCCTGGGCGCTCTCCAACGACGTGATACTTTGTAATGCGAAACATAGGTACTGTAACATACGGTACACACATACCTAATGCACTGCAGAGTTTGACTACCGGTACCGTATTTTCCGACTGAACCTGGCATAAGTAAATCACGGTTTGAAACAAGACATGCTCCTTTGAGACACACATACAATAATCAATCAGCTCTAAGCCTGCGCATCCTTCCCACCGCCGCACGGAGTTGTGCAATTTGCACATCTCGACCAGAGCTCAACTCTCGGGGACACAGCGCTTGATGCCGAAGGGTATCTATCCATGCTAAGTGCATTTGACGGCCCGGACTCCACCGTGAGCGTCGATCTCGGGAGCAGAACTGTCCGCCGGCCGCTACGTTTTCACCTACTAGCAGAGGACTACAGTAGGTTTGCATGCGTGCGTACTATGTACGTACCGTAGTAGGTTCCTGACCATCACATTTTGTACATGTTCGCGGTCGAGATGGCATTACGGAGTCTCGGCTGGTTAACCACCCAATTGCAAAGCCCCCGGAAGGAACTCCACAGGTGTGCAAGGTCGGTTCCAGAGTTGAAGGGCCGCGTCGACAGGGTCACAGCCCTGTTGCGCACACATGAGCCAAGGCGCCAATCACTGCGCCAGACCGAGGCTGGCATTGTTAACAAGTACCTACTAGGTATATCAACGCCACATGTAGTGTACTATAGCTAGGTACCTCTGCCTACCGGCGTCTACCGGTTCGCAACAATGGTCAGAAAGTCCAGACACTGACACCACCTACAGACCACAGTTACTTATGTACTACCTAGTAGGTCGGTGGTCCCGTGGGTAGGTACATTACATACCTGCCTCAGTAAGGTACATACTTATGTAGGCACATAAGTAGGCTCAGGTATGCGGAGGATCGGACACTCGGGTCTTCCTAGGTACCTTTCCCCTCTCTTTTCAAGGTTCCTCCCTAGGTACTCTATGTGAGACCCACTGTACGTAGCCTAGGTATACAGTCTCCCACAGTGGTCCTTGGCAGACCCCGAGACTTAGACTCCTACAACTTCACCCACAATACAGATCAATTGAGCCCACACTACCATCACACTCTAGGTACGGTAGGTAGGTAGCTAAGTAATAAGTCTGCGATTTGATTTCCAATACCCTGTTGCCAAAGTCGTCATTGCGGCGCAAGGACCTATTACATCGCCTACATTACTTACATTCTTTAGGTTCTGATCTGCATGCCTATCCCCGCCTGCAGGTGTCTCGTACTCTGGAACATCGGTCCTACCCTGTCTTTAGCTGCGCAGATTACGGCCATACTTATGTGCTGCTCCTATCCATTGCTGACCATTGCCTTCCTCAATTTTCCTGGATATATTGACGAGACAGCATTGCAACTAAACACTCGATCTGCTCCCCTTCCTCTTACTCCTTCTTGCTCGGAATCGTAACCTAGCCCTCCTGTGTATTGCTCGGTTATGCCTAAGCCTTGAAATCGTATCTTTCGATCTGTTGATAGATTACTCAAGTACTCATCGTCGAATTCTCTCCTACCTCCCTTGTACAACATCGAATACCCGTCCCTGTCCTATCTAAAACCAGCAACTGCCTTTCATAGGTTCCGATTCACCTATCAGTACCACTTTCAAGACGTCAATTGCGCCTTGAACTCTAGCAGCCATGACTGATACACCTAACGGACCACCATTATTGCGGCCTGTCCCAATACGACCCTTCAACATCAACCCTAGATCGCCAACGCCGCCAGCGGACGACTCATTGTCTCAGACTCCTCTTAGTGGTTCGTCACTGAACCTGGACTGGCTAAATATCAAATTGCTCAATTCGAGGAATCGCTTCCGATCCGAGTCGTCGACCAGTCTGAGCCGCGTTCAGTCTGTCAAGAATCTCACTTCGTCAACATTGATGGGTATATATGAGCCAACAACCTATGACAATGGTAGGTACACACCTGGCAACGAGCTACAAACACCTTGGGGAACAGGTGCAGAGACGCCTGCCCGGATCTTGAGTATGGATGAGCCTGTCTCCACGATGCAGAAGGACCGCCTATACGCGGCACGAAGACGTTCCTCAGCGCAGCATTCAGCGCCTGCACCACCATTGTCCACCACAACCTCCCTGTTCTACTCCGGTTTGAGAGCATTGCTGTTGTCAGGCCTTGGTGTTCTATACGGAATTGGGGTGTCAACAGTGCGAGGTGATCGTTCAACACCAGCATTTCGCATGGAGCACGTGAAAAATACATCGCGCTACGGCTGGTGCTATATGGCGTTCTGGGGTGCGTGTGGGCTAATCCTGGGTTGTTTATTACCCTATGTCGACGGTTTATGGGAGCGTTCTATGGGAGACGTAGACGACGGGGAAGTTATCGAGACAGAAAGCGACGGCAGCAAGAACTTGCGCCGAAAAACAGACTGGGCGCTGGCTGTTCGGGGCATAGGGATTTTCATCGGAATAGCATATGCGATTGTAAGTTTTTCCTTTAGTTTCCCCCAACTAATGCTGGTACTGTTGGTGAGTATAAACCTGTGAAAATCGTACGATTACTAACTATTTGTTCCGCAGCGCAAACTTCAATGGGACTCGACCCTCCAGCTTTCGCTATGCCTCGCCCTCGTCAATCCTGCTTTGTGGTTCTTGATCGACGGCTCAATACCGGGCTTCATTGTCTCAACCGCCGTTGGAATCACTGGCTCGGCCTTGCTGACCGGTTTTCAACCTGATATGGTACCTGTACCAGCGATGCTCTCTACATCTGCTCATGGTGGACTCTATTCATTACATCCCAATGCTTCAGCTCACTACGCTGGTGCTGAACCAATGTTTGGCGGGTTGGCAAACCAGCAGACCTTTGCGATGGGTATTTGGACTTTGAACGTACTTTTCTGCTGCTGTGTCGTCTTCGGTAACGTTGGCCGATGGCTCGCAATCAACAAGTACGGTTCGGCCCATGTGTCATTAAGCAAGTAGAGTTCGAGGAACGGCCCAGAAAAAGACAGGGCAGAAAAGAACAAAGAAAAGCAAAGTAAACAGATGCCAGAAAGGCTCGGCTTTCAGCTTTGGATGTATTCACATATCATGACTTATGAGCGCGCCACTTTATTTTGGGATAGTTAGCACGGTTTTCATTTGGTTTGGTTAGGGGGCTTGAAAATTGGCAGCGGGTGACTTGGAAATATTCGATGGCATCGGCACTGGAACGGAGTGGGTTATTCACCTGTTTACTATGTGTACATATAACATGGGTAGTTCTGACAAACCTGGTGGTGCTCTCAATGGCATCTACACCTTCTTTCCCATTACATGTTTTCATATTTCACCAACATAACCACAATTGTTATCGCCTTGACAAATATTGATATCTGCGTATTCCCTCCAGATTGAATTTCGCCACATTAAATAGGCCGGCCGTCTTTTCGTCTTGGATCTGTGCAAGGCAAGTAACTGACTCTAGCATCCATGCCACTTAGGCTAGGTGGCAGCGAACAGCATGCTATCAAAAAACAGAGAGAAAGCAAGTTCAAGATACTAGGGTTGGGATTTAGCTTACTCTCAACACAGAGACTACTCACCATTGTTTACACTTCTCGAACGATACTCGACTGATATTCGATTTACATTAGCGTAGGTACAGTACGTGTGCGGCGCGCCTAGCTGCATAAAGCTTTAGATCTAGCGAGGCGGATTCGTCGTCTTTGAAGTTCCAGAGTGCACTTGTACTCTGTTGTGGGAAATTCTCTGCTATTACAACAATAGATTGTAGATGGCCATATCCAGCCCAAATCCTTTGGTTACCTTTGATTTCATCTCGCAGTCTTCAGATGGGTTCCGACCAGCGTAAGTATCTATAGTATATCATCACACGATTGAGCCCCGTATTCTCAATGATATCGTCCACTGATTTGGTCCCTCTAGGCCAAAGTCCTCACAATCTAGACGGACCCCTGCCCTGAACCCTTGTGGAGAAGAGTCAAGCCGTCCGACGTCACCTACATTTGACGGAGGCTCCATCTGACCTCCATCTGACCCCCAGCTGCAACACCTGTTGTCCCATCTCGCCCATGTCCCACAGGCGTCATACCGACCTTGTCGATCTAGATTAAGCAGGTAGCACCTCGTGCAAGTCGTCGCGTCGCCCAATATGTACGATAAGTACCGAGAGATCACCCATCCTGCTACCTGGTGCCTATGCATGTACCTACCTGTCTTATGTCCATAATGTACGTACGGGTCATATGGTACCGTCAGGATGTAGTCGGTCGGTTAGTTAGTGTCGTATCGTGTAGGAGTACATGGCAGGTTGGTGGTTCCACTGCGCGCCACTCCCTTCTCCATCATAGATACAGACAGGCCAAGCAAAGTAGGTAAGTACCCTGACGATGTGATATGTATGATGACTCCTACATCTTTCCATGTCTCTGCTGCACTGCTCCTTTCTCCCTTTAACAATGCAAATATCCATGATCTGGGCTCAAGGCGGGTATCACTTCTAGGAGGCGCCTCAACTTCACCTTGCTCTACTCTATCAACCTATTATTCACATGAACAATGCTGCGAGCTGTGAGCCATCATACGTGAGACGGGGCTTTACACTATCGGTTGACATCGACTAACTACATAGTTCACCACGGGTATCTGCCTTAAAAGAAACCGCTTACCCATAGCAATTTCCTACCTAGTCACTCACTTGTCTGTATGATTTCGTATTTTCATGTCCTCTATTCAAGCAAATGCGTCACAACAGAGTCCCTCGCCGGAACTACATCCGATATCGCCCTCCCATCGTGAGGATAACACCATCATCTCCAACCCCACCAGCATAGAGCGGCCTGATACTTCAACCGGCGCCCTTCTTGATGCCGTTAAGGACGCTCGGCAGATAGTTCGTTTAATCCAGTGCCAGACATGTCACAAGATCCTACAGAACCCCATAACACTACCATGTGGTCATAGTATCTGTAGGACTTGCCTTCCTGAAACCCGGCCGCGGGCCAATATCTCCTATCCAGCAACAGAGAGCCGGCTCCATGGTTTTGATTGTCCATTTACAGACTGTGGCAAGGAACACGCCGCTGCTGATTGTGCTCTTGATGTTACGCTGAATAAAGTCCTCGCCACCGTCACAGCAACCGTCGCGACGTATCGGTCTGCTACTCAGCTACCTGAGTGTTCTATCCACATTACCGTCTGTGATCAGTGGAATGTCGCTGGAATACCCTCGCTGGAGGACAAGCAGCCCGAGTCGAGGGTTTTGAGCGGCGGCCGAATCATTGCAGCATACACATTGGCAGAGCTTGGCAAGCTGGATTACAGCAATGAAGTGTCATATTCACCCGTGGGCGCTAAAGGCGACGAGACAAATCTACATGACGCTGAATTCTTCCTAAATATGAAGGAGGTGGTGAAGGCCGAGATGGACTGTCAGGTTTGCTATGCTCTCTTCCTGGACCCGATGACCACGACATGCGGGCACACATATTGCCGGACATGCATCCACCGAATTTTGGACCACTCAAATTTATGTCCGATATGTAGACGCGCCATTTCCATCCACGCTCCAGCCAGCCCACGCACTGCCCCCTCGAATAGACGCCTTGTATCAATGATCAATGGCTTCTGGGCGGACCTCGTCGCACTTCGGATTCAAGCCTATAGGCTGGAGCAGCAAGCGAACCATGAAGGGTTCGACGTTCCTATTTTCGTCTGCACACTCTCATTCCCATTCATGCCGCTTTTTCTCCACGTATTTGAGCCACGATATAGGCTTATGATCCGGCGAGCCGTTGAAGGTGACCGGACGTTTGGCATGGTGCTGGGAAGGTCTGGGGAACCTGGCTTTACGGAGCTTGGTGTTCTTTTGCGAATAGTGAACATTGAGTTCTTCCCCGATGGCCGTTGTCTACTGGAGACAGTGGGTGTTTCAAGATTCAGAATTGCACGACACGGTTTTTTGGATGGCTATGTCGTTGCCAGCATTGAGAAAGTTGATGATATCAGCTTAGCCGAGGAAGAAACGCTCGAAGCATCTGAACTCAGCCGCGAAGATGACATTACCGTTCTGGAATTTCGTCACCCAGAATTAGAACGGTCAGAAACGGAACCCTCTTCGACAGATCAGACCCCTTCTAACCCTCTTCGAGAAGTTGACCCGGACATAATGTCGACTAGGGATTTGGTAAACTTTGGTGCCGAGTTTGTGAGGAGAATGCAGGGTGAGAGTGTACACTGGTTAACGGCTCGGATTCTGGCTATATATGGCGAATGTCCGGACGATCCTGCTGTCTTCCCCTGGTGGTTCGCATGTGTTTTCCCTGTGAGCGATGCAGAAAAGTACAGACTATTAGGAACTTCAAGCGTACGCGAGCGCCTCAAAATCTCTTACCGATGGATTGTGGAATGGGAAACCAGTAGAGTCAGTACATTTTCAATTCGTTCTAATATACTGCCTATGTCGCACTAAGTGCCCAGACACGAGACAAACTCTACTCCTATATCTCACCCCTAAAGAAGTCATGCTAACTTATGCGATTAGTGGTTAGTATATTGATCTCCCTTAATATGTGAATCTTTTCACCCTTATTCGAATCTTCCTTCTCTTCCTGCTTAAAATTCAACCCTCACTTTTCTCATCCCCTTTCAGACGCTTTTTAGCGTCTCAATGCACTCAAGACCCTTAGCTCCACACGCTGAACATCACATACAGAAGGGACATGTGTTGACGGAATTATCACGTTTTGCAGGCGACTCTCCAACTGTCTAGTCATCTGATAGACTTCGACGGCTATAGTAATAATCTTGAACCTGGCGAGACGATATATCACGACGGTTACGGTATCGCATAAGCATGGATGAATTTTCTGGTTAGATATATATTCAAGTGATTCTTCCCATGGAGTTCGGATAGTGTTTTTGATTGTCGTCGTCATAGTCATTGTCAGGAGCATGCATTTCAGCTATCATACAAGTGATACCATCATGGCGATTGCTTTTCCTTGTCTTATAGATACTATTCCACTACCGTCAACATATAGAATAGGGGAAATGCCAATGTAAATGTCACTGATTATTCTTTTCTACCGTAATGTCGGATTAAGTACATAGCCATAATGTTAGCAAACAATTGCGATCTTGAAATTTTGATTGCTTGGTACTGATGATACAAGGCTTTGCGAAATAACCATTAATCCGCTTTTACCAAACTGCCTCGTAAGCTCGCCCACCGGGTCCTGGAGTACTTTTCATTGCCACTGAACAAGAGACAGGATAATGGATCGAACTGCGCAGGTTGAAAATGCCTTCTCCAAGCTTTTCCTTTGCACGAAACTTATAGCGCAACCTAACATAGGAAAGCTAATTGCACAGCTCTAATTTTTATGACAAAAAGGGTTATCAAGCAGAAAAGTCTACGCAGCTACGTAAATCGCAGAGCGACGATATTTAGTGCGCATAGTCACCACGAAACCGGACTAACTAATATCAATTAATTTTATTTGTAGGAACCATGAATTATTGGGTATCGTATTGCGGTCTATAACGAACATAGTCCATCCTTGCATCCCCTGATGTGTTTATACCGATAGCTGGCGACCATCAACAATAGATGGGCTGCTAGTTGAGTTATTTCATGTTTGTCCATGAGACTTCTAGTGATCTCCCTATGATGAGTTTGCATCATCGTCGTTGGTTTCATCTTTCATCGCAGTGTCCTCATCAGTCGACGTTGCTTCATGAACGCCATTGGGAAATTCGTATATGAACTCTTCCAGTGCTTTGTAAGCAGTTTCCAGATCATCATTTATGATCACTCGGTCGTACAAGCTACTAGAACCTGACTGCTCAATTTCTTCTTGAGAAGCCTTAAGCTTCTGCTGAACTTCCTCTTCTGACAGACCTTCAATCTTCCTCAGACGGGCTTCTAATACCTCTGGACTGGGCGGGGATATGAAGACAATCCTGGCAGAGAACCCGTTGTCTTTAGCTATTTGCGTGCCCTTTATAATTTGTTTAGTCTCATGGTGCAACATATGTAAGGGAGGGCGAGTTTACCTCTTGGTCAAGTTGAATAAGAGCGACCTTCTCAAATGCTTCTGGAGCATTGACGAGCTTCTGACTTGTACCGTATTGAACTTCATTGTCATTGCTGGACTCGAGGAAATAGTCACCATCTAGCATGGTGTTAAAAGTCTTCATGTCGACAAAATGGAAATCTTGACCATTGACTTCGCCATCCCTTGCGGCTCGGGTCGTGTGTCGTACAATCTTGTTGAAGATCCCCTTTTGTCTTTCTAGCAGTAAGGATGTGAGCGTTGATTTACCGACACCGCTTGCTCCAGACAGTATAATTGGCGTTGTGTTTTTAGGGCGCTTCCCCTGGTCAGCCCTGTCTTCTCCTTCTTGTTGCTCTTCTTCAGCAACTGATTCTTGGAAAATCACATCAACGTTTTTCCAATCATCAATTTTATCGAACGCGGCAAGCCTGGATCGCCTGGCAATTCTCAAGGCCCTCCATGTTTTACTCGCCTTTGACTCGAGAAGTTGCGTCTTTTCTTTCTCGCTGTTCGCAAAATCGAGATCAAGATCATCACTGGCGATCTTATTTTTAAACTCTGCCAGATCAGGAAGCCGCCATTTCGCCGGATCTTTCAGTCTTTCTAAAGATTGGTTGTCGTCCCTCTCATCCATAAAGGCAAGGGAAAGCGAATTCATGCCCGCCTTGGGCCTTCTGCTGGTCGCGAGACGTTTGGCGCCCGCTTTTGCCTCGTTAAACTCAACAGGAGAAACTGAGGGCCTTTCAATCGGAGGACAATTCTCAACTTTCCATCGAACCCACCCCTTATCTCTCGATATGACACTTTCAACTACCCTGAAAAAAAAGAACCCATCCGAGTCTGCCTGAATGTAACTTGTGATACGGTCTTTCATCTTTTTGGCCCAAATTTCCTGTCAGAAAGATTAGTTGACGCTAAAGAAAACTTCTGGTGTGTTACCAACATTGTCTTCTCCTAGATTTTTATCTGCGTAGACAACCGATCTGTTTTGCTGGACGTTTGCGATTTTCGCCCTAGCCTGGGGTGTGAGAGACAACAGAAAATCTAATATTATGAAGGCTTGAATGAGAATGTGACGTCGAAAATACAGATCACTAATCTGAGGGGTAGGACAAAGTTAGTGCTGGTAACTACTACTGTAATTGCGAACATGATTTTACCTCTAGTTCAAATAGTTCTCTGCTGGTAAGATATTTTGGGTTGTTGTTAGTACTACGCAAATCTTCGTTCGCCTCCGCCGCTTTCCTTTTCTGAGGTATTAACTTATGTTCGTCAGGCCCTTTCCCACTTTTCTGTATCTTCTCAACCGACTCGAATGCAGTCATAGTAGCTTCTATACCGCTCTTGAATTTGGCGAGCTCAGACTGGTCAAAAAGGGTGGTAGGTTGACTAAAGAAGTGCTGTAGTGACCAAAAGATAGGGTAGAGTGAGTCTGTGTCCAAGATTTTATCCGAGTCAGGCTTGATTTTAGCCTCGAAGGAGACGGCTTTTGTTGCAGATTTGACGTCTTTACCATCGCTTTTTGGGTGGCCGCTTTCGGGATCGATATCCATTTTGTCTGGAACTGGCGAATCCGAAGCGGCAGGAGGTTCCTCGAAAGCCGTCACATTTTCTACGTGGTATTCGCCACGTAAGTTAACCGAGCTTCGATCGCCGGGAGGGATACTCTGGAACATAAAGATATACACTCGTCCACAGAAGGCGGCATCTTCAGCACGCGACAATCTTCGTAATAAGTCATTGCAGGATCTTAGGATGACCAGTGACTTCTGCTTGAGATTCTTGGCTGTTATCCGTTCCCGTCTAGACTCGAGAAAGTCGAAAACTTTGCGACAACCATCAACAGTTTGGCTGTCAAGGAGCTCTTCTACAAGCCAGAAAAGAAGGGCTGGGTCGCATTGCTCGTTATCGGATAAAATTGAAAGGAGGTCAAAAAGATTCCATACTCGGACAAACCCAGGGGAGTCGATAGATGTGCTAGCCTAAAAAGTTTCCCACTTTAGCCATCTATAGCACTCAAGCACAACGGTGTAGGTAGGACTTACGATCATTGAGCTAAAGATTCTCCGCGCAGCGGTCTCGACGGTGGCGTATAACCTGACTTTCTCTGAGTCTTTGCTTTCAGAAGTAGAGTCTGGCGCTAAACTAGGGAATATGGCCGGTAGGCGAACAACGAAAGACTCGAAGTTGGACTTTGTGAGAGGTGGCTCAATAGTGGCAGCGGGTTTGATTATTTGCGCATGAGTCAAGGCGTCCTTGAGGAGATCGGTCATAGCCGACGCCTGAGGCACCTCGTCCTCAGCGAGCGTAGTTATAGACATGGCGGTTGTCTAAAAGAGGTGCACTTTTACGACGCGTACGACAGATGTGCTCTTTCAGCCTCGATTGGCAATTCTCAGGCGGATGACGCTTTCCGTCAAGATCGAGGGTGGTGTAGATTTTTCGTAGCAAGCAAGAGAAGAGAGGGCGAGGATGGGACAGGCTAAAAGGATATACATCTCGTACTTGTTCGTAACTGTTGGAGGTTTATACGCCCTTAGCCTACGGTGGCACGCCTTTGTCTAGGTATCGTGATCATGTTGCGAAGACGTAGCACAGGTATAGTGCTACGTCGTCCAGGGTACTAGAATACCTAACCTACCTACCTAGGTAGGTACATAGTGTGGCTATTAGGCACTGTAGGTTACAGCGCATATGCCCCCCGTAGAGCGGGTGGGCACTTATTTAGTGCGGTGGGCAGTATGTATAGATACTCCCGATTACAGTGCGAAGTTACATGTCTCTCCAATTAGCGCTGTTAGCAATACGCGACGAGGCTGAAAATAAGTAATACACGGTTCCCTGACACGCCACGAAATCTCTAGCCTATTTACTTAGGTAGGATATAATGCATACATATTGCTTTGTTGAATGACGTCCTACTCCCATGCGCCAGCAACATCACACCCTTCACAACCCAATTCGCCATCCTGGCCTGGAGTTGCTCAGATCGCATTCGCATGTAAATTGTCGGTGACTGGCTGTCAATAACTGTATATAAGTCTTGTCATCATGCCGACTGCGAAACGTCTGAAAAGCTCTGCGAGGACCAAGGCTCTCGACAAACCACCGGCGAGGCCCACGGTTGCAGACTTGGAGGGTGAGTCCGAGTTCGCCCAGCTAGCCAAACAACATTGGCTAAAGACGTCGAAGAGAGCCGCCAAGGTCAAGGTCAAGAATGACGTCTTGAAAAAGGACTTATGGGATGTGCTAGAGAAGGATGCTTTCGCCTACAGGTCCTTGCTTATCCTTGAGGGACTACAAACTCTGGAAAGGTAATAATACTATCTCGATCGCCGTCGCCGTCACCTTGTTTTCACCTGTCTACGTACCCGCTGACACTATTCAGTTATCTCTGGCCTGGATATTCCGAGGATTCATCAAACTTTCATGTTCTCCTAATCGTGCTATTGACAAATGTCAAGGCTAGAGAGAGACTCGAGACTTGGACCATATTCGAAGACCGACCGGCTGAGTTCTCGAGCCTTTTTAGCCGCATCTTGTCTATGAGCCTTGATCACACCCTGTCCTTGACTATCCGAACACATCTACTCAACTTTACCATCTTCGCCTTCCAAAGCCTCGATTGGACCAGCGTAAGGAAGGAGTGTGCGCCGCTCGTCTCCATAGCCATCTGGCACAATCTCTCCTCCGACGCGAAACGCGAGACCGAGTTGGCCCAAAACACCCAGCTCAAGAAGTCGTGGAAAGCTGCGGGTAAACGGTACGAATCCGCCGATGATGCTACGAAAGCTAGGTTGCGTTTCGAAAGAGCTTGGCTATACACCCTATTATTAGACTTCTTACGGTTACTCTATGACGAGAAAAAGGCACAAGACAAAGTTCTGTACTGTGAGCGTTTCGTGGAGTTCATTTCAGATCTGCTGAGCCAGCTCCCTACGCGACGATACGTTAATACCCTGCTGCAAGACCTACACATCTTGCCGGCTCTCAAACTATCCCCTATGTTCAACGATGAGGCCAATGCGTTACTTCGTGATCAATTTTCTTTGCTGAGTCATTATGTGTATTTTTCTATTGACGACCAGACGGGAGCACAACACAGCCGGACCGAAGCCTACGACCGGCACTGTGCCAAACTCGGGGGCTTACAGCGAGTTGCATTGCGGCATTTCAAGAAAAAACTCACTGTTTTAGCCCTCTCAAACTATGCCTCCATTGACAAGAGGAGTGAACTTGAGAATCTGCTTGAGACTTTAACAGATGATGAGCTTATCGAGCTTCTATCGCTCCTCAAATTGCGAACAGCCTATCCGGAATCAGCTACTATAGTTCTTGATAGGCAGTTTCTGATGGAGGTGATGTTGTCAACGTTCGAGAAGCGTAAGACATTCCAGGAAACCGCCCTGGATCTAAATATACTTCCTACTGAGGACAATTTATTCGATCAGAGTCTTTTAAGGACGGATAGTTATGATGCCTCGCGGCCACTTGCACTCCCTAAACTAAAACTTCAATATCTTTCCGTAGGTGACTTCCTCTGGAGAGCTCTAGTTCTATACAGGTGCGAATCGTTCTATGGAATAAGAAAAGACATCAGTGATGTCCTGCGACGACTAAGGCCAGAAGTAAAGCGCTCAGGCGAGACCGGGTTTGCTGGTTCGTCAAGAATGGCCTTACCTATTTCCCGACCTTCCATATTAGAAGTGGTCCCTCCTCTAGTGGGGGATGATAAGCCCTCAGTTGTTCGAGCAGAAATCTCGCTCGACTATCGTCGATTAGGCGACCGCATCAGACGAGAGTGGGATTCTCTTCGGCCTGATGATGTTGTGTTCCTTATTGCAGTAGATGCCACAACACAGACAGCTGCCACAAATGGTGATGCCAACAGCATGGCTGAGGCGAGGAAGCTTGGGCTTATTTCGGTTCGCACAGCTGAAGTTGCCCAAATTCTAGATGACAAAGGAAACTTGATAAGAGATCCTTCTGCCTACTTTAGTAGCTCGAACAGGTCTCCGGTCCGGAGAATGCAGTTACGGCTAGACGCAAAAACGTACAAGGACGATGCCAAGCAGGTTTTGAAAGGCAAACCTGATGTGTACGAGCGCATCAACCTAGTTGTTCGCCGAAGCGGAAGAGAGAATAATTTCAAACCCGTCCTTGAATCCATTCGTACGCTGACGCTCTCCGAGGTTCCGTTGGCATCATGGTTACATGAAAACTTCCTCGGCTATGGAGATCCTGCAGGTGCTACCTACAAACATTTGCCAAATCGAGTCACCAAGATTGATTTTCGGGACACATTCCTCGATTGGCAGCATCTTGTCGCCAGTCTTCCTGGGAAGACCATCGAACCTGGCTTCGAAGTGAGCAGTAGCTTTGGCCCCCCTTATGTTCTTGAATCAATAGAGAAGGCACACGATGAGGTGCCTCCGAAAGGATCCAAGAAAAGAAGAAGGGATACGGAGCCCGCCATGCTTGCTGAAATAGAGACCTACAAGGTTTCCACATACAAGCCACCAAATCTGGGACCATATCCTATTGACGCTCCCAAGCTTAATACAGTCCGCTTTACAGCAGCACAAATTGAAGCAATCATATCTGGCACTCAACCGGGTTTAACAGTCATTGTTGGGCCACCAGGGACAGGAAAAACCGACGTGGCGACACAGATAATTAACAACATTTATCATAATTTCCCTGAACAACGGACGCTTTTGATCGCGCACTCGAACCAGGCACTGAATCAGCTATTTGCTAAGATCGTGGCCTTGGACATCGATGAGCGTCATCTTCTACGACTCGGCCATGGCGAGGAAGAACTTGATACTGAAGGGAATTTCAGTAAACATGGGCGGGTAGAATCTTTCTTAGAGATTAGGGACAGGTACTTACAGGAAGTAAATCGCCTAGCGGCGAGCCTAGGCGCCCCAGGTGCTCATGGGAACTCTGCAGAGACGGCTGGCTACTTCAACTCCGTTTACGTACAACCGGCTTGGAAGAAATTCACAGAAATCATCAACGACAAAAGCTCGTCGGCCGCAGATATCATCCAAGCATTCCCATTCCACAACTTCTTCTCTAATGCACCGCAGGGACTGTTCCCTGCTGAGGATGATAGGGCGGCAGTTGTAGACGTTGTCGAAGGCTGCTATCGACACATATCCAAAATATTCTCTGAACTGGAAGACGTTCAGCCTTTTGAGATTTTGCGGCGAGATCGCGATAAGGCCAATTACCTCTTGACGAATGAAGCTCGTATCATCGCCATGACGTCGACCCACGCTGCCATGCGACGATCCGAGATAGCGTCTCTCGGATTCCATTACGACAATGTCGTGATGGAAGAAGCAGCACAAATTACTGAGATCGAGAATTTTATTCCTCTGGCTATGCAGAAGCCCAAAGATGGGCAAATGGCACTCCAAAGAGTTGTCCTCTGCGGCGATCACTATCAAAACTCGCCGGTTATTCAAAGCCTCGCCTTTAGGCATTATGCCAACCTTGAACAGTCGCTATTTTCTCGTCTTGTTCGTTTGGGCATACCAGTCATCACTCTTGATCAACAAGGTCGTGCACGGCCTTCCATCGCGGCACTATACCAGTGGAGATATCCGAATCTTGGAAACTTGCCTCACGTTGAAACCCTCCAAGAGTTCCAGACCGCTAACGCCGGATTCAAGTATGAATACCAGTTCATTAATGTACCTGACTATAAAGGGCACGGGGAGGTCGAGCCGACACCTCACTTCATCCAGAATCTAGGCGAGGCCGAGTATGCTGTTGCACTATATCAGTATATGCGGCTGCTTGGCTATCCGGCGTCGAAGATCAGCATCTTGACTACGTATGCCGGTCAACGAGCATTGGTCAAGGATATTCTGGCCTTCCGATGCGAGAATGAGGCCATTTTTGGCATGCCTAAAATCGTTACTACGGTTGATAAATACCAGGGCGAACAAAATGATTGTAGGCTGATACACTGTCCCAGTTGAAAATGTAACATACTGACAATGTCTAGATGTCATCCTCTCACTCACGCGTACGTCTAGAGTTGGTTATCTCCGAGATATAAGGCGTTTGACTGTGGCACTCTCTCGCGCCCGTCTCGGCTTGTACATTGTTGGTCGGAGAGAAGTATTTGAGGCATGCTATGAGCTACGGTCCGCATTTGATCTACTACTCCAACGTCCGGACAAGCTAGTGTTATCGACAGGCGAGATGTGGCCGTCAAGTCGTACCTTGGCCGACGAGCAAGGGATGGCGGCGCCCAACGAAGCTGTCATGGAAGGCGTAGAGCACCTGGGTCAATTTGTTTATGAGATGACTGTCTCGAAAGTTAAACAGCTACGTATTGAGCAAGGCCTCCCGGAACAAGAGGTTGGCGAGGCGCAACTGCTACAGCCGATCCGTGAGGAAGATGAGGTACAATACGTAGATGCTGCAAGCGACGAAGAAGACGAGGAGCAGGAAGACCCCCCGGAATCAGAAGAAAACGCTAAAGAATGAATTTTGCGTTTTTCGACTTCTGAAACCCTTGAACGTCTTCGTCTTCAATACCTCTATTAACCTAATGTAACTATCACATGTTTATGTAACTCGAAGAGTGCCGGAGGCTACAAAACTGAGGGTCTACGACCAAATTCACCTGGTGCTCTATGTGCTTCCGTAATTAGCAGAGCTCCCTGTTCGTCTCAACAAGTTATCACATCAAGTGTCTCGTGCAATTCTTGTGTATGTGCCAGGACTGACCGATTACATGCATACGTTAATTGTAATATGAACCCGCCGAGCCGCTGCAAGTATACATGATGCGAAATACTCAACCGCAACTTTATCTAGTCTTGGACACGACTGGGGCCAGTTCAACTCCATCTCGACCGATAATAGCAGCTGACCCTAGTGTCGACGAAGAACCGCGCGTGGAATATCCTGCGACCCGAAGGCAAAGTATGCTGGCCCATTAATATATATAAAGAATTGATCTGAGGGCATTGTGCATGCCCAAATTATTTTAGTCACATGCAAGACATCTGCAGTACCAGAGGTAGACACCTAACCCTACCGAAGGAGAGGCGCGTCTTCTCTTCCTCGGTGCCACGGTAGAGATTACCCCAAGTAGCTAGGTTTGTAGGTATCCCGATTTTTTTTTTCCTGTTCTCTCTCTCTCTCTGTCTCGCCTCGCTCCCGCGTACATACTCCATCCAGTGATACCTCTCTGCAAGATCATATGATATAGATGGACAACACTATTAAACTCCGACCCATTATATTTGCCGACCTTTTGTGACTACACTGATTTCGTAGGCTGGGTGGCACGGAGAAGAGGTAGCCCGTTGAGGCTTGAGTCATCCGCGCGGACAGGATTCACACGTACTACGGGGGTTAGGTTGTCATACCCAAATGCGTATGTGACCAATAACTGCGCCATAGCCAAGCGTACAGTACAATTAGTCAGGATGTGTTGTCCGTTATGCCATGGAGATAGCCGAGTTGACGAGGGCAAATAAAAAGTATGTAGGTTATGACTACGCAACACCCGGATGAGGTACCTACAGTAGGTAGCTAGATACTAGCTGAGGCTAGATATAGGGTTTCTATGGATCCTCTCTTCTCTCTTTCGCTTATGATTGCGGATTTGGGCTCTCTTGTTTGCGCGTTGAAGTTTTCTCTTCCCTTTGTTTGCTCCCCTCCTGGTTGGTGGACAAGCTGAACCACGGCGTCCTTTAGCTCGGGGGTTGCATCTTCCAAACCAACTACCTACCTACTTAATGTAGATAGCAATACCAAGCATAGGTTCGATTCCAACATAGTATCCTAGACACCGCGTGCACGCATGCATACATACACGTGTAGATCAAGAAAACGTTGGTCAGCACTGCTACTACGTGTACTCAGTACTACCAGAACTTACATTAGGTACTTATATACTTAGGTAGGTAGTAAGTAGTATACACACCATGTATACTTGGTAGATTACAGTAGGTATTACAGTAGCTATGCGAGAAGAAGTTGTGCACGTGAGAGTAAATACCAAACTGTTTCTACTCCGGGATGCCTTTATGAGTCCTCCCAATTGCATGTGAAAGACAGCGACATGGTTTGAAGGCACCCTTGCCAGGTAACTCTACCACTTTATACATATATATAAGTACATAGAGCACTGGCTGGTGAGACAAACGTGCGCATGCAAACCCCTTATTGTTTTCTAGGTCTATCATAGGTAGGTATCAACCAACGCCAGCAAATGCCCTGAACTGCCCTGGCATCTTGTTGGATCAAAGCAAGCTACCAGCTGTACCCGGTGCCGTTACGGGTTGTTTGCTTGGTTTCCAGCATTTTGTGACTACGCATGCCAGGTAAATTTCTTCTACCAAGTTCAGACAATTCATTGCAAAAGCTTATGTTCTTGTCCAACGGGTAGGCTGCCTATTTTCCTTTGATACTGTTTTAGTCAAACATGGTAATGGAAAGGTACTAGGTATGTTAAGAGGTATCCATGGTTTTAACTCCTACTACCATTACAACACCTAAAACCTAAAACAGGCAATCGTGAAAGTTTGCACACCTAGGTAGGTACTTGACAACATCAATGAAGCGTATATCAAAACCTGAAGCTGCTGCCTCTACATTAGTGATCTTGCTTGAATGGTCTTGCTTGAATGAGCATGTATTTCAGTAGATGCCTTTCGCTGCATTTGTTTCATCGCTGTACTTAGCTACCCACCTATTCATTGGTTCCATTGTGGGATGGGTGCCCAAACGCCCATTACCTGCCCAGCAGCCGGAAGACCAAGATGGAATCAGAGGGGCTACGAGAAGGCCCAGCAGGTAGTAGGCAGGGGACATCTTCTAGGTACTACCTACCTACGGTACATTCAACATGGCAGTCAACATCATGATGTCTGGACATATTGTGCTTGGCGGCTGTACTTGGCTCACACAATGCCATCTCGAGTATCCGAGGTACCTACTTATGTACACTCTGACTATAGGCAGTACGCGTACCTACCTAAACTGGATTTGCGCAGCACTGTATCTACTATGAAGCGCTTACTGTAAAGTACGCAGTGCAGTGCCTCCAGGCTTATAAGAAAGGTTATCTCTGTATCTTGGCTTGGGTACGTAAGTGGTAGGTTTTGTGGTAGCTGCGCATAGTGAGTTTGAATACCTGCTTCAAAAGCCATTCCAAGTGATGAGTGCTAGAATCGGACTTCATTGAGCAGCAAACGTGTATCATCACATTAAATTATCGTTATTGTCGTTATTGTCGCTGTTGCAAATGTACCCACTTCCGAGCCAGACAGCTGGGCTGAGTTGAATAGATAGCACCTACCTACAGTACCTATATATGTAGTTAGCGCCCATTAAGATGAGGTACATGCTCTAGTACCAACTATGTACCTGGGTACTACCTCTATTACATACCTAGGTACATGTAGTAAGTACCTACGCATCAACCAACACAGTGCAACAATGTAGGTGGGTAGTGGGTGGCCACAGCGCAACAACACCTAGGTACCTACCTACCTACCTACCTACCTGTACTGTATTCAATATGTACGCAACACCTTTAAACCGCCTGTGACATGTGCCTGTCTACATATGTATCTAGGTACCTACCTACATATAATGATACGCCTACACAGAAAGCACCCGGTAGACCACAACCCCAGTGAGGCGGCACCCCCCCCCCCCCATCAGTCTTAACCCCTTCAAAAAAATTTCCCCGTCACTAATTTTTTTTCCCACCCTTTCACCACCCACACAGACTGATCGTTTTGATCATCAACATTACGGCCTGGAAGACATCACGTCACAGAGGTCGTATTTGGTAACTATTGTTGCCTCTGGATCCCCCTTTTCTTAGGACGGACATCATCCTCATCTTCATCTCTCTGTATTCATTTACAGAGAAACCCTCCCCGCTCATCTGTTGAGACAAGACCTAGCGGCCGACGTACTACGCCCTGCGCACGCGTCGGACTTCTTTATCTCTCCCCTACTCGGCGGCCACTCCTCCCCCTGGCGATTAGAATCTGCTAGCAGAATCCTACGTTCTTCGTAGGTATCCTACTGCGCTCACTGCCTTGGTGTATCCGCGCAAACTGATTACACTTTCATTCTTTTGCCACGACGAGCAACCAGCCATCGGCCGAATATTGCCTTGTGTTCTCCCTTTTTTGCCATCACGACTCAAGTCTTCGTCGCGAAAATCCCGATCGGAGAAACGGTGTTCGCTTCAGTACTCGACTATTTCAATCTGTCCGATTCCATTCTTTAGACTTCGGGACTGCATTTTTTTTTTTTTTTCGCACATTCGAATTTGATATTCGAGTCTGCACATTACGGCCTTCCCTTTTCCCATCTTGGCCCGGAAACAATTTATCCCGCAAACTCCAAGTGAGAACGAGACAACAAGAACTACTCCAGCTATCATCACTGAGCTACCCGACACTCAAACCACTGTTACTTATGACTTCTAAGGATAGCCAACAGCCCGCAACCCCTGCGTCCAACAACACCGTGGCTCCCGCTGCTACGTCCTACGCTTCGGCTGCTGGCGCAGTAAAGAAGCCGTCGTCGACGCCCGTTGTTGCGACTGGGTCGAACCCGCCTATTGTTGCTGCTGGCTCATCTGCACACCCCTCGAACCATGCAAAGTCGTCGTCCACATTGCCTGTGAACGGCCGACTGAACATAATGCCCGCACTTCCTACCGTCGCTCACGGCACCAATGGCCAATCCGATCATAGCCGTAAAACCTCTGTTACAATCGGAACTAATGGGCCTAATACCTACTCTACAAATGGTGCTTCCGCTGGTGCCAAATCTGGAATTCAGTTTGGATATGACTCCCCAGCTGCTTCGCACAGCACTCCACAGCTCCCCTCTGCACACGTTGCTATTCCTACTACTAATCGTGTCGTGGAACCACGAGCTTCTCCCACTCCGATCCCTCTGCCCTCGGCCAGTGGTGGCAGACCTCCATCTGGCGCTGCGACATCGAATTCCACTTTAGCCTTTGGCAGTTTCGAAGACCCTCAGCCGCATCACAGAAACCCTTCGGCCAGCCAAGACCCCAGCGCTCTTGGACCTCAGCACACTCCGCACATTCGACGCGACTCTAATGTTAGCGACATCAGCAGCAACCACGCCGGACCTCAAGCTGGAGGAATGAACCGCGGTAACTACCATAATCGTGGCAATCGGGGCCACAACAATGGGTACAGTAACGCCCCGGGATATCATCCTTTCCCCCGTACCCAACAAGGTAGTCAAGGACGTGGAATGTCTCAAAATTATCCCAATAACGGTCGTCAACACGCCTTCGGCGGACCTCCGCCTCAGCAGAACCGCAGCCCAGCTATGTCTCATGCAGTTCCACAAATGCCGAATATGCCTGCTGCTAGCCCACAATTTTACAACTACCCTGCAGCAGGCCCTAACCAGGTACATCAACAAATATTCCCTTCTCCCAATCCACATTGCTTTGAGCGCACACAACCCAAACAGAAAAAGAAGGGACTCCGTCGTGATAGCGAGAAGTGCTCGCAGCTCTACCGACGAACAGAGCCCTTGAGGCATGATTCTGATTCCAGACCTAGGCGCTGTAGTCGGCGACTTGATTCGCGGTTTAGTATCATTGATGAGCGACAACGAGCTGGCCAATTCCCACTTGACAGGGTTGATAGTTCATCGACTCCTGATTCACAAATCGTTTCATTGCCTCAGAATTTCCCTATCAACCCCCCGATGGCTCAAGTAATGGGTCACATAGATCTGTCTCCCGAGAGTGGGAATTTTGATCGGTTACTGACCAGAGTGAAACAGGGTTTCTATGGACAGCCATTCACCCCTGGGAATATGCATATGCAATCAATGGCTACAATGGGTACAATGAATATGGGTTATCCTGCATATCCAGGAATGCATAGCGGGACCTCTCCTCAAATACCATATCAACAACCTTTTGTACCACCCCAGTATCCTACTCACCAGCCAATGTCACGTAGTAATTCTCAGTTATCGGAACAAAGACCTGCTTCGAGTACTGGTCAGAGCCAAGTCCCAGTTCCACAAGGTACGCCTCAACAACAGGCTGCTCAGGTGAAGCCCGCCGCGGCGCAAGCTTCTCCTTATGTTCGTCCTACGAAGAGAAGTGCTGCGATCACTATCAAAAACGAAGCCGGTGAAGAAATTGATTTTAAGAACCTGAAGCCCCCAGCTTCGCCAGCTTCGACTAGTCATCAGTCGAGAACCCCGCCAGTCATATCATCCACCCCTACGCCGCCTCCGAAGTCGTCAACACCTAAGTCCTTTATGTCGGCACACGGTCGAACGGATAGCACCTCTAATTCAAAGTCTATCGAGGAAAAGCGTAACGAGTTTAAAGAAAAGGTTCAGCAGACTGCCACTGGTGACAAAGATAAGGAAGAAGATGTGACTAAGGCCTCAACTGAGAAGACTTCATCAGAACTACAGCCGATGGGGACGACTGCTCAGAACGAGAACAAGGCAGTCGAAAGTACAAAGGACATGGATGAGAAGAAATCAGAAGAAGTTACAAAACAGGTCGATGATGTCCCAACACCTGCCCCTAATACCTCGGATGAGCAGAGTGAAGAAGATTTGGAAGCAATAATACGCGAGATGGAAGAGGCTGATGCGAAGCGTGAGAAAGAGGAAGAGGAGCGCCGTGTCAAAAGGCAAGCCGAGGTTGCCGAGAAGAAGAAAGCTGAGGAGGAGGCTCGAATTGCTAACGCTGCTGAAAATGACCGAAAGTTGCGTGAGCAAGAAAGAGAAATGGAGCGGCTTGAAGAAGAAAAGGAGCGTAAACGTGCTGCTGCTCAAGATGCCTCCACTGAAAGTGCTGCTGAACTCCTGAGGAAGAGGGCAGATCCTACAGACGTCAACGCCAAGGAACCAACTTCTTCGCCCAGCGAGGCGGGCGGGAAGTCAGTTAGTCTCAGCCTGAATGACAAACCAGTCTCTACTTCTGGTGCAAAGGGCAGCCCGAGCGGTCGCGCTCCCAAACCACAAGCCCTTAACCTTGCTACGCTCAGTAGCCTAGCTGTTGAGCCTCCTCAACCTAGCGCTGCCTTACAATCACTGAAATCGGCTAGGGTTCTATCGGTGTTAAATTCTGATATCTATCCGGCGGGCATCAAGTCGCCGAATCCAGCTCTGAATGCTGCTGTCGCCAAGAAGGGTACTTCATTCAAGTACGACTCTGCTTTCTTGCTGCAGTTCAAATCGGTCTTTACAGAGCAACCATCCCTAGATTTTCACCAGCAAGTCAAGAACCTCATTGGCGATGGTGATGGCGGCCGATCTGCTTCTCGGTCAGGCGGCGGTTCTAGAGGACCTCCTAGAAGTAGCGCCTCTGGTTTCCCCATGGGCACTTTCGGTACCGGCGTAGTGTCACAACTTCCACCAGGCACCACTTCCTCACAGCGGTTTGAGATAAGCAATAAGTCGATGGCTGGACGGCCCGGTAGTGGAATCCAGCTTGGAAGCTTCTCCCGACCAGGAAGCGCGTTCGCTGGTGGCAATTCAATGAGCAGTCGAACCCCATCCTCTAATATGGGTAGCATGGCCCACTCTTCTCGGCAAACTAGTCGACGCAATGCAAGCAAGCCCAATACGCTTAATGCCAAAGCGGAAGCCCAGGCAGCTAAGAATATGCCTCTGACCCAAGGCATGAAGATTGACCAACTTTTAACTAGCGCAACTGGCTGGAAGCCTCCTAGTGTTGGTAAGCCGACTACATCCAGTAACCTGGCTGGCCAACCTAGCCTAATGGATCCTGCCATGGTACAACGAAAAGTTAAGGCTGCTCTCAACAAGATGACACCAGAGAATTTTGATCGCATCTCAGATCAGATTCTGGAAATTGCTGCGCAGTCAAAAGAGGAGACTGATGGTAGAACACTTCGTCAAGTGATTCAGCTTACTTTCGAGAAAGCGACCGATGAGGCTCACTGGGCTTCAATGTACGCTAAATTCTGCAAGAAGATGTTGGAGACAATGAGCCCAGATATCCGAGACGAAGGTATCAAAGACAGAAATGGCAACGTGGTCAGTGGAGGCGCTCTGTTTAGAAAGTATCTTCTCAACCGATGCCAAGAAGAGTTCGAGCGTGGTTGGAAGCTTCAGCTTCCTGAGCCTAAAGAAGGCGAAGACCAAAAGGCCGCAGCGGCAGTCTTGCTATCTGACGAGTATTATCAAGCCGCTGCTGCAAAGAGGAGAGGCCTGGGTCTGGTACAGTTTATTGGCGAGTTGTACAAACTTGGCATGTTGACGGAACGTATTATGCACGAATGTGTAAGAAAGTTAGTCGACTACCAAGGCATTCCTGATGAAGCCGAGGTAGAGTCCCTCTGCAAGCTACTGAGGACCATTGGTGGCAACCTCGACGCTGCTGAGAAGGGCAAGCCCATGATGGATGCGTACTTCCAACGCATTCAGTCCATGATAGAGCTTACTGGGCTGCCTAGTCGTTTACAATTCATGCTCATGGATGTCGTCGACCTACGAAGGGCCAACTGGGTTTCAAAAGAAGCCAATAAAGGCCCCAAGACCCTCGAGGAGGTTCGAGCCGAAGCTGAAGCGATTGCCGCTCAGAAGGCTGCCGAGAGTGCTCGAAGCAACCAAAGAGGCGGCGGTGGTGGTCGTGCGCAGCTTGGTCGCGGGGACGCGCGACACCTCCCGGGTGGCTTTCCTCAACCCGCACAAAACCAAGTTGGTATGGACGATCTTAGGCGTCTCAAGGGTGGTGCTAGTCGCCCATCAAGTACCAATCTTACACTTGGCCCAATGTCAATGCTGAATTCGCGCAGCAACAGCGGTCGGCGCCTTGGTCCTGGTGGCTCTCTAAGCCGTGGTGCGGATGATTCAGGCGCTTCTTCAAGGACCGGTACCCCCCCAGTCAGAGAAACGCCAACTAGTACCAATTCGTTTGGGTGAGTCTTTCACTTCAGAGCTCCTGTGTATACACATGAACTAACACCCATGTTTCTAGTCTATTGGCCAACATGGATTCGGACCATCCAGGTTCGCCTCCGTCAACTGCAGCGTCCCCCGCCTTGGCTAAGGCCACGCCCGAGTCATCAACAGCTGCCGAGAAAGAGGGCAACTGAATGCATTGCCCTTCCTGCAATAGATATATGTTGTATGCGTGGTACCATCTCTATGCATAGAATCCAACCACGGTTTTGCGTTGCATTTACGGGGACTGCAAAAAGGTGACTTAAAAGTTCTAGGCTTCTTTCATCATTATGATACCTCGAGTCGTTTAGATCATTACTTCAGCTAAAGGCTGTCCGTCATATTTCTGGTAATATTTTTCAATTCCCCGATTCATTTTCCCACAGCCTAATAGGCTCTAGCGGCTGCAACTGTTTGGCTTGCCGCCGCAACCAAGGTCTTTCGTATCCCACTTGGAGGGGGGGTTTTACAGGGGCAACTTCGCGCGCCATCATTGAGATGAATCACTGGGCTAGCCACAAGAATATTGGAAGCTTGCTGTAAAGGTCAATTGACGAATGGAAATTAAGGGGGATCAAGCTATGGGAAGACTTCGACTTCAATGGGGCAGAAGATGCGCACAACTTGGGACTTGAAATGCATTCAGCTTTACATCACTCTGGACTCTGGGCGTTTGACTTCACTCAGGGGTTTACAGCTTGGTGCATACGTGGTTTGAAAGGGAGGCACTCTGTTCAAGTGTTGACGAGTATCATGGACGCCGCGGGTTGGTCGATTGAGCAGTGAGAATGCCACGGCAGGTCAGGCCCGGACTGCTCATTGGGTGGGGGCGTCGGTGATGCAAAGCGCATCGATGGTTGAGAGAAGGCGATCAGGACTTTTGCTCTCACTTTTGCTGTAAACCACTTGTTCCTAGACAATCAGCCAGTGGCAGACAGTTCGCGAGAATTTCAAACTATTGATTCACACTGGGCATGTCTCAACTATGAGAACTACAGATAGAAGTTGATGGTCATGGAATTGCGATCTCAGATGTATGCATATAGTTGAATTATGCCCACCACGAAGTTATGGGCATTGTGAACGTATGTACCTAGCTGTAGTGACAGTGAAATTTACTCAACACCCATATGTACTGAAATATATCTCTATAAACCTATGCTACGCGCATAATTGAGGAAATACTGCATTCGATGAGGACTTTCGCTCTGTATAAAACAATACATAGACAGCAGGATCTAAAGAACTTGGTCGATTACAGGATGCTTTTGTCTTGATATCAGTACTCAGAAGCTATCCCTATTTGGCAGAAAGCTAGTGATTTCGTCATACGATGATTTACTTTAAGCACATTATGAATCAGTGACCAGAATATTTGTATTTAATCCTGATAGGCGTACTGATGGGATGACAGGTGAAGTGCTCAGCTCCTATGGCTACACTCTTCGTATGTCTTGAAAAGATCTCGATGGTAAGTGAAATGACTTGCATATGTAAACTTATTAATCGCGCATTTCTAGTCCGTTAATCTGGGGAAATACAGACATCAATAATCAGAACACCGCCTAGCCATCCATTTGCTCAGAAACGCCGCCAGTATGAGAAACACCGCTACCGCATGTACTCAATCAAGTATGAAGAGACCCATGACCATTATGCCATGAGACTAAGCGAGCATCCAGGAGCATATACCTGCATCATAATCACAACCAAGTTCAACAATAATGCTGCTGTCAACCAAGATGATATTTCTATGCTTAACACAACCAATACTTCAAGCAGCAACAAACCCGAGCTTTGAGAACAAGGTATCCATCGCCACCCACTGGCGACCGCATTTATCAATGTACTTGTCAACCACACTTTTGATAGTTGTGAAGCGGATGCGGTTGTGTTCGGCGAGGGTCTTGATGCGCTCTTGCTCTGCGGCGCTTAGAGCACCAGCATTTCCTTCGCCGCCGAGGCCGGTTGCGCCCGACTGGGCTTTCGAACGAGCCTTTTCGACGTCCCAAAGGGAAGCATAGTAGACTAGCTGGTTGTATATGTCACGCTCCGAGTATTCGTAGCGCATGCGACCTAAACAGCCCGTTGCGAGGCCCTTGGGTCCCATACACCGGGTGCCATAGACGGATAGCTGACGAGTGCGGTTTCCACATAATTCATCATTGCACACAAGCCAGCCTTCATAATAGCGCGACGTCTGTACACGTATCGCATGTTCCACCTGTGCGACGACGCTGAGGTTTGGGATAATGGAAGAGCATGACGGGCAAGAGACGCCCTGCGCTGTCACAGTTGCGGCTTTACTAGTCTCCGAATTAAGAGTAGCAGGGAGCAGACCCTCAAACGATGATATAATCTTGCACTTCCGGCAACGTAGAGAGAGTGGTACGCAATCACGGAAGCGAATTTCGTCAGGAATTTGGGACTCCAATGGATGTATCTCCATGTCATTGGAGCCAGATTGGCTCGAAGAGTTGTTGGCATAGCGCCGCACATCCAGGCCAAGCTGCTCGGCTAGTTGCGATGTAGATGTGCCAGTGATATTGGCACACAGGCGTTCAACAGGAGGGAAAATTTGCTTCCCAATATACCACTCGACATCGACCTTAAGGTCGGAGTCTTTCTTAGTGACATCTTGAGGTGTGTAGGCACGCTTGGCAACAGGTTCTGAGCTGGTCTTGCTGTCTCCCGTGACTACATACGAGATGACATCGCCACGGCGGATTTGTTTACCTCTTGCGATTTCGCGCAGAGCGACCTGCACCTGGGGCATGGAGTCTGCATTAGGATACTCCTTTGGCGCCTTGCCGAGTTGTGTGTATATAATGTACTTTTGAACGGGAATTGCATGCTCGCGCATTTTCCCGGATATATCCCGTAGGTATTCGTGTATCCGTTGGACGGCTACTTCAGTCTCGTCGCCTGAAAGTATTTCGTTCAGTATCCGGGATGAGATCTCTTTCGATAGACCACAGTACTCTCTGCGCTTCATGTCCAGACCTTTGACCTCCATCGTTTCGATGAATTTGCCACCAGGCGCTTCGACGAGATTGATGGCAGCATACTTTTTCTTGGCCTGCAGAAGAATTCTGCGGAAGACGTTATCAATGTCAATCTCAAGGAGGCGGTACCGTTCGTTGACCGCTTTCTTGAAATCATTGCCTACTTTCAACGCATCCGCAACTGACTCCACATTGGCATTGATCATGACAGAGTCTGTATCACCATAAATAACCTGTAGCGACTTAAACTCTGCGAGCTCCTTGGTACTGCGGAGAATCTCGCGACCCTTGAAGGTAGTGAGCACAGCCAGGGGTCGCGCATAGAATCGCGATTTAGTATATCCCAGACAGCCGTACATGGAATTTGCAGTGAGTTTTAGTGCAAGTTGTTTGATATCCCACGTGGCAAGCTGTTCCGGAGTGGCACCTTTATCTTTCATAAGCGATTTGACTTGTCGCCGGCGACTGACAAGAGTTGCAATAAGCTTGGGTAATATGCCTTGTTCTTGTTCAGTTGGCACTTCCGGTACGCCATCCTCGTCCTCTGACTGTCACGAATATTAGTACAGCCTATGGATGTATGTACAGGATAAAACTTACCAGATCAGTCCGCTCCACAGTTGTAAAGCAGATATTGAACTCTTGGATGATGGACGGATATAGGGAGTTGAAATCCATGACTAACACAAACTTGTCATACAATCCCTTCTCTGGCTCGAAAACCAAGCCACCTTTGTACTTATCCTTCTTTTTAGTAGCAGCACTATCGTCTTCATCTGCCTCGTCCTCGACTTTTGGGCGCCCTTTATAGAATTGCTTGTCAGGGCATATATACTTGTTGCGGTGAAATTCATGTAGCAGAATGTACTCGTTGCGCTCGGCTCGTGTTCCTGTGAGCGTTCGAGCCCATGAGTTTCCGGCCAAATTTGTCAAGACTTTCGTGAGAGGCAGTATTTGTGTCCTGAGTGCCAGCGCGGTAATGAAATACGTATCCGCCTCCATATGAGTGATATAATCCATTAGTCCGTTTTTCTCCGCGGCCCAAGTCTTCAAGGCTGCCTCATTATCTATATCCCTACGACGTGTTTGGTCACCTAGATATAGGTTGCACATCTCAGTGAGACTCCAGGACTGGCACTTATACATGACTGATTTGCCCGCATCGTTGGCAAGATCACATAGGAGGCGGCCGGCCATGACTTGACGCTCTGCAAAAACGTTACCGCCGGGCTTTCCAATGGATGCTGGCCATTGAGTCCTACGGAGCCGCCCGAGACGTGCCCATTGCGGAGATTTTTTCTCGTGCAGTCTGTTCAGTAAAATACTGTAATCGACACCTTCAAGCTGGTGTCCGAGTAGAACATCAGGATCGACAACTTCAACTTGCGCGAGGAAGAATGACAATAATTCTGCTTCTGTCTTCATTAATTTGATCAAGCCGTTCCGCCTGCCCTGCGCCAGCTTATCAAACCCGAGAGGAAAAGAGGTCCCATTTGGCCGTATTACAGTAAAAGTCCGAGATGGAAGCTGGTCGGCAGGCGTGGTATCGCTGAGTAGGACATTTTCATAAATACGAGCACTAATTGAAAGAATCTCTGCCTTGTTGTCCTTAGCATTGAAGGTTGTTCGCATTGCTAGACTCATCAGCGAAAGGGGGGGGGCGTCTAGGTTATCCGAGTCGTTCAATGGCGAGACTGTATCCGGACTACTGACAGAGACTTCGAGTTTAGCGTATGAGCTGTTCTTCAAAGTGCCAAAATCAGCGTCTCGGATTTTGAGCCAGCATGGGCCCATAATGTTCTTCCACAGCACAAACTGCTCGAATAAGGCAGTGTTGGTGCCAAATACGTGAGAAAATGTCTCGCCCGTTATCTCGGCAGCAATCTGCGATTCTGTTTTGATTTAGAGTTAGTACGCATCCATTAGCTGTTATCAAAGGGCACAACTTACTAGTATACGGATACAAGAGCTTAAGATACTGAGTTTCCCGAGGAATTCCAGGTAGCTCAAACGCGTATTTTCTGTTGCAAGCTTTGATTTTATGCATACTGACATTCATCTTAGTCATAATATCATCAACTTCGGAATAGATATCCATCATTTCGACTTCCTCGCTCGTGTCTTGTCCATCCCGTTGGCGATATTTTCGAGGTAAAAAGTACAGTTTTCTGAGTATGTTGTCAATTTTGACGAAACAGCTTGCATAAGCGCCAGTTTTCTTGTTTTGTACTTTGCCAAACAAACAAAGGGATCCATTGATTTCGGTATAGTCAGTCCAAAACATATTGAGACTGCCATCTTCTTCGATAGCGTCCTTGTAGTCCATTTTACCGACAGTTCGGGTCGGAGGAGCTGAGCTGCCAACAATATTCAATTTGTCAGTCAGTTGGTTCCAAGAGGATGAATCAACATCGGCTTCCGGGGCTTTAGAAGGCGAAGAGCTGGCGGGCGTAGGATAAGGATCAGGTTTAATCAGCTTTTTAAAAGTTCGAGAGGCAGATAAGTTAACATTCGTTGAGTTTATTGCACCGGCATGCGCTACTTCCATCATCTCTTCATCCTCATCTTCATCTGCCGAGGCGGCCTTAACCTGGGCTTTGCGAGCAACCGCTTTTGAAATGGGAGATGAGGGGGTTGGCAGCGCATCGCTCATGACCTCGTCGTCAGCTTTTGGTGGTATATCGTCGTCTATTGGGGGGAGAAAGTCGTCATCGCAGGGATTCTGAGCGCGGGGTGTAGGGGACGGATGCTCTGGACTGAGCCTGACCCTTTTGGTTACTGGCTGCCGATGTTCACGGACGGGAGACAAGGCGCGAACACGACGTCTCTCAGGCGACCTGTTCCTTTTAGCGAGTCGGAGCGCTGGGGCTGGGACATTTGCGTCGACCTCGCCAAGTAGGTTTGAGAGGAATTTATCGTCGTCCTCGGTTTTGATTGCCTAGAACGCAGTGTTAGCAAATCATCCTCATGATGGTGACAAGGTACGGATTGCTTATATACCTTGGGTTTAGGCTGAAGGGCTGTCTGCCCTTTCATGAAATATTCGCTGATGTCACGATCGTCGGCATCTCTCTTCGCCTTGTCTTCTTCTCGTTTCCGTTTGTCTAAAGTACGAGTAAATAGAGAATCACGGTATGTAGGGGAAATGCGGGAGTTTCTTACCAGACTTACGGTCTCTACGCCCCACGGCTGCGTCGTCTTCACTATCAGAACTGTAGGTTTGAATTCGATCCCAATCCTCGCGGCCATCATCGGCGTAGCCCTCGCCATTGTCGTCAACAACAAAGTCGTCTTGATTGAGACGTTCTCTGACAATCTTCTTGTATTCGTTCTCGTCGACCTCCTCGTATAAAGCCTGCCCCTCAGAGACTTCGTATGTGTCATAGGCTTTCTTACCAGAGGCGCGCAAAGCTCGCAGCTCGGCAAGCTTGGATCGTCTGCTGGCAGCTTTCGACATGGTCTTCAGAAAGCTGATCTCAAAGCGGCGATTTCGTACAGAGCGATGGTCTCATTCATTGAGGAGTAGAAAGAAACACGAATGAGCAGTGTAAATAAGAGCGGGACGGTCGAGAAATGGGTGGTGAACCAATTGCTCCAACGACAGTTGCCTCTTGGGGAAGGAATTGTTAATTAACACAAAGCGGGGACGCGTCGCGGGTCGGTCTCGAGCACGCGTCTCGCGAAACCCGGCCTGTAGCACTTTAGCCCCCTGACTCTTGGAATAATACAGTACACAAACGCGCTTCATTACTACCTAGGTAGGTAAGTCATAGGTACTTAGATAGGTTATCCATCCATTCCTGTCCAGTGGAGATAGCCGATTAGCGCGAGACTGCACTTTAAAGCATTTTTCACATACCTACATACAGTATGATAGGTACTCTACCTAGGTACCTAGCGTTGCCTTATACATACCTACTTACTTACAAGTTAGTAGTGCACATTAGTACCTATCAAGTACTTATAACAGTGGGCGCTTAGACCAGAGGTGTAGTCGCCACTAAGTAAGTAGGTATGTACCGGTACCTAGGTAGGTAACTACCCTAACCTACCTACATATGTGCCTACCTAGGTAGTTTTAGGTACCTATGTAGGTAGATAGATGGTACTCCATTACAAGATATAATTCAGTAACTGAGGACTCCACAAAAATTTCCGAGCGCAAGAGATAAAAGTTCAGTGCGCTTCCCATAGTAGCATTTGATCGCATATACCATTTGAAGAAGTCGTCATGTTTACCTGTAGAGAATGTTTGAGAAGGGCATTCAACTCTTCATCTAGAGCAGGTATCCCCAAGAATCTGAGTGCAAGCCACTCCAGCTTGCCGCCTCTCAGCGCCACGACCAAAGCCTCTCGACCGAACAAAAAATATTCGACTGTCGCCACAGCTCAGGAACTCACCGCAGATGAAACAAGATCAGATGTAGCCCACGATCCAACCAGAAAAGATCATGGCGATAACAAGCCGTCTGTTCTTGGTCGCTCAGCGAAGTGGGCTGCTCGTAAGGAACTCGAGTATCTGAACGATGCATTACATATTGCAAATCGGGTCGCGGCTGCCTTGAACAAGGACGACTTTGAAGTCGCTGCTCAGATCACGAGGCAGGCAAGCAAAGACAAGAACGTTATTGTTAGCTGGAACCATCTCATCGACTACCAGCTCCGGAACGGCCGGATACACGCCGCTATGAAGCTTTATAATGAAGTCAGTCTCTTCGCACAAGCTGTCGCATGGCCCGGCTGACCAAGAATATAACAGATGAAGAAACGCGCTCATCAACCAAACGCCCAAACTTTCACTATTATCTTTAGGGGATGCGCAAAGTCGGAACATCCTAAATTAGCCGTCGGAGAGGCTGTCAGGTTATACCAGAACATGCTGTCGGTAGGGCGATTAAAGCCAAATACTATACATCTAAATGCAGTCCTACAAGTTTGCGCCAAAGCCGAGGACCTTGATTCTATGTTCGGTATATTGAGTTCTTCCAACGACGCTCTCCGGAGTCCCAATAATCTTACCTACACGACAATTCTAAACGCTATGCGCAAGACAGCCGAAAGACCACTTGCCAGCGACGATCCTGCCCGGGGCCTGGCAGAAACAGATATCGAAAATAATAAGCGGGACACCATTCAACGTGCCAAATCCATCTGGGAAGAAGTCGTCTCACGGTGGAGAGCTGGTTCACTCATCATTGATGAGGAATTGGTTTGTGCAATGGGGCGGATCCTACTCATGGGAGACTATACCGATGCTGATTATATTGAGAGCTTGATTGAACAGACCATGATGATTCCAAGAGTTGAAAACAAAGGCTTATCTAAGCCACAGGGAACCGAGAGCAGTACAATGGCACGCAATAAGCAAGCCAGCAAAGCTCCTGGCGCTCCTGCAATCACTCACGCGTTACCTGGGAACAACTCATTGTCGATGATCCTTGAAGCTCTGGAGAAGACCCGCAGATCGGCCAAAGCAGTAAAGTACTGGAATGTGTTCACTCGAGAACACAATGTTGTTCCAGACGTCGATAACTGGACTTGCATACTGAAGGTTTACAATGTTGGAAAAAATAGTGGCAGGGCTTCTGTAGCGCTGAACTATATGCCCGGACATATGTTAACACAGAAGCATGTACGACTCGCTATGAAGGCCTGCCTTCGTGACAATCTCAACAAGTTAGCATTCGAAAATGCAACAGCTGTTTTGAGGACAATGGGAGAAAAGCTTGAGCTCCCTGATATACAGACGCTCCGAACTTACCTGCAGGTTGCCCACGCATCTAAGCGGTCGTTTGACATCGAGGCCAAAGATGATCATGCGGGCGCAATGGATTCGTGGGCTCGAATTCTGTACGCAGCCCTTGAACATCTTTCCAGGCCATACCAAGCTCTTGTAGAGGGGTATTTCACCAAGCAAAAAAGTGTTAGCGATGCCAAGTCATTGGAGCGATTGCAGAATTCCCAGGCTGAAGTAGTGGCCTTAGCACGAAAAATGTCTGCTGCCTGTGGTATTCTCACTCATGAGCACACGACCTCTTTTACGAAAGCTCAGCTCGCCAAGATGGAATTGATGTTTTCCGACCTTACAAGGTTTATGAACCGATATTATGAGAAACGTCGTGGCAAGCCAGCAGGAGAACAGGAGGTTGTTAAGGACAAAAAGCCCAAACAACAAGACAACAGTCAGCACAGCAAACCCAGGCGATTGGAAGACACTGATGATAGAAGTGTCGAGCACAAATCTGCAGACAGTCTGATAAGTGTTAGATATACATAGACGAGACTAGATACCCATGAACGCAAGACATGTCCCATCTCCTCGTTCAATAATTCCTTCCCAAAGTCCACAGATACCCGTAGAAGGTAGGACGCTAGACCTATGGTTCCTGGCTCCTTATTGCATAAATTCCGAGGTAGTAGGCACTGAACACTATCAAGAAAGAACGATGATGTCGGCTTTGACATTACCTTGGTCAGGCGCTCTCATTGAGCAGGCTCATTGTGCATTGAGGTCGCCCAATATATTGTCCACTGTCTTCCATATCATCAGTTCCAACCTCACGCTTCAGCAGCACCGGATATTTTGTCTTGGGTTTCAGCACATACCCTAGGAGAACTCATTCTTAGTGGGCCCAACCGTATATTTCTGTGGAATTGCTCTATATATCACGTCCATTCACTTATTTTATCATTTCACAGCCATGCTGTCCTTTCGTAGTCGGACGGGCCGCAGCCATAGTGGTTCACTAGATTCCCATGCATCTCTTCCCCCTGCTGCCACCATTTCATCCTTCCGCCGCATTCGCCGCAAGCCAATGCATTCCAGCATTAACAAAAACTCATTGCGAGGCCGGCTTAAGGGCATTACGGAGAATTTCACCGGGAAACGTCGCTCAAAACGTAAGGGAGCTCAGATGCCCTATAAGCTTGACCCATGGTACACATTGGAACCCAATGACGACCTCTTACGCCCGGTATCTACAAATATCCAGCACGTCGAGATGGCAGGGCAGACCTGGCCGGCGATACGAAAAAGTATCAGTTCCATGGCCTCGTCTCTTCGGACTAATCATAACTCTGTAGGCCTAAGCAGTCCTGAGGGTCCATCTCATCAGTCTTCAACCCGACAATCGAAAATCAGCTTTAGAGCTTCTCAGAGACACGCTAGACGTTGGGTCACGATGACAACTCGCGCGCCACCTGTGGCATTTAGACAGCCTACTAGCCGTGCCAGGCGTTCTAGCTTCAGTACAATATCTGAAATAGTTTCCAGGCAACAATACGAATCGGTCCCTCAGTTACCCAAGTTAGCAGAGTCTAGTAATTTTCTGGATTCTTTAAGTAGGACTGGCCTATTTCGACTGTTTACGCCTCCCTCTGAGTTCAACCTAGCTGGTAAGTACGGTTTTCTTCTTCCCTCTCTTTGCGTCTATATTCCATATAGTATCGTATAGTTTCTATGTGCCGCAGTGGCCGAACTCACACTGAACTTTGATATGTGCTAACACAAGGCGTAAGGAGGGATTAAGGTTCATAATGTCACAGCGTTAAATGGGGAGTCCGCTGCTGGCTACGCCCGTCCTTCCGTTTATCGGCTGCCTTTGCGCTTGAAAAACTCCGATTTGCTATACCAGAAAGCAATAAGTCAAGCTGTGGGAAACAAAATTAGGGGGCGAGGTGATAGTTCCCAAGTAAGACCTCCGGAAAATAGATCATCACGAATACATCACGAGAACAAGCCCCCTCACCAGCAACATCGCTTAACACCCGGAGAAGACAAACATCAGACGCCATTCTGCTCTAGACATCCAGTCGAGTGGTTAGACCGTATATTAGAAACCTCGTACGCCACGCGAAACCCCATATCGCCAAAACTGTGTGTCTCCAAAGAAACTATGGCGTTCCTCTGCAGAAACAAGACCTGCTTCTTTGTCGAATTTCCACGGGATCGTAACGCCCCCGAGCCTCTTCGATGCTATCCCGGCTTTAAAGCAGCTCTTGAGGACATATGCGATCGGTTCGGAGACTTCTATGCGCCATTCGCAGCTTACAACGCCGTAACTCGAATGATCACTCTCTATGCGCCTGAGACACCACGCCCGAAGAACAAGTTCATCGACAACGACACTGCATTATTCGACCTCGAACGCGCGCGCTCAGCTGTAAGTTTATAGGCAATATTGTTATTTCCTTTCCTTCCCCCTCTTAACTTCCTAAGAGTCTGCGAGAACCAGAAACGCTCTCGCACTATGGCGATTGCGAACGGAACTTTGGCAAGAGACCTAGAGATGACAGGGGAAGCAGCATTTACTGATCTTGAACGTTACAGTGGGTCAAACCAAGTGCGACCTACTCATGGTCCAGCCGCACAACTACGAAGAGCACCTCGCATGATACCTCAGAGGACCTGACTGAAAGCTCGGATCAAAGTCGGGCCAGTACCGAGGAGACAGCAGCAACAGACATTGAAGACTACTGCAAAGAAGAAAACGAGGAGAAAAGGAAAGGCCTTGACAAGATAGGAACTGAGGCACCTCCCAAACCATCTTTTATGGTGGATAATGGCAAGGACGAGGAAGATGTTGTTGACGAGGAAATGGCATCACGACTGAATTTTATGGGTTGATTGGTTTTGTGATCTTGGTACCAACATCGCCACCTTGGAGATTCAGGACTTATATTACGGTGATGAAAAAGCATTACCTGCGCCGTATTACGGGGTTGGATTGCATTGTTATCGTCACGGACATCACTAGAAGATTGTTTTTGATCCACGGTTGATGGGGCAGGGATAGAGGTTCATGAGAGAAACTGAGGAACGGACAGTATTTGTCACTGCACAGTTTTATCCAGGCATTGCTTCAAAAGAATAGTAAAGGGTCTCGTGCTCTTCCTCTTGCTTCTGTGTATTACTTCGGTAGTTTTGGTTATCGGATAATTGCGGGGACTTCCTTGCTGCAAAGACGCCTTTGCAATATCTTCCAGTGAACACATGCATCTATATTCCAGAAACTGGCTCTCAAAGCTGGTTTGTACAATTATTGAGATGCCAAAAACGAAATCAAATAACTCGCTGCGAACGACCTCCAAGGCTACCCTTCAACTGCTAATCATGACCGCGTAGGCCTTTCCCACGTCGCTACAGAACCAGCAATCGAGGATACAATAACCTAAGCGACTTCTAAGTATAGAATTTCCTCGATGAAAGAAGTGGGCGTAAATGGGTGTGGTCTTGCATATCAAAGATATATATCCATTGATGATATTGCGAAATTATGTACCTAGCTAGACAAGATGTCTAAACCAATGACGCAGGCGTGGCATACACCAAGTTGCCAAGCCACTTTATGCGTAGCGGCTCGGAATCTCCAATGAAATCAGTCAAGTGCCCCTTCTGGTAGGCGCATTATCGATAGAAAGCTCCGATAAGCGCCGCTCTCAGGACGTGAGGCCGTCATATTGTTACCGATATCAACGCTACAAAGTACGATTCAGCAACAGAACGACCAGGAGCGTTCTGCTGTTCCCGTCCTATACCTATCAAATCATCGTCACATCCACAATGTCCTCCATACCAACACAAGTTGCCGAAGTGATCCAGACGGCGCATATTAAGCGCGAGCCCTCGCCCCGACACGACCTGAACCCATCCACAGCAGCCTCGACAAGGGAACCCGCATACCTTCCTTCTACTTCGCCGGGACAGCGACACGAGGCTGAATCAGACGACAGCATAGATGCCGATGAAGAAGATGAGATCCCGCTTAGTGTATTAGTGCGACCGCGCGGAGCCGAGCGCCGTCGGCGCTCGCCTTCGTTCCCGCCGATGCCTGACCTCCGCTTCGAACAGAGTTATCTGCACAGCATTGCCGGCGCCGAGACATGGGGACGAGTTGCGTGGATCACGGTACGGGATCAGGTATGTCTATAGCTATGACCATATTTTCCCCTTCACACCCCCCTAGTTGCGTGGGGCAAGTTCCCGGTTGGTTTCATATTCCAGAGCCGTTACCAGGAGCTAGAGGAGGCGATGCCTTCAAGCGGACAGTTTCCATGGCTGATTGACTGGTTGCATGATGTATGGACTGACGGATTCCCATTTCTACATCGTTTGCAGATTATGATGCCCCTCGCCCAAGGTGTTCTCTATAACCTCGCTATAGTCGGCTGGCAACACTGGAATCAAAACGCGCAGATGAGCGGGAGCTCGGTTGGCGCCCGTCTTCGGCGCTGGTGGTACGGCGTGAATAACTGGCCCCTTCCGGAGAGGGCAAAGGCATGGGAAGGGCGTCGGGAAATCAGGATAAACGGTTCATGGAGATCATGACGTCTCTAGGTTTAGAATAAGCACAAAGTGTGCCCGGGAAACAAGCTGGCTATTCCCTCCTGAAGCCGACACTGCAGAGAGTTTAAGTCGACAGAAGGGAAAGACAAGATGCTCCAGAGACATCCAGTTTTAAGAGACCACATGCCTATAGTCAATTGGCAGGTTGATATTCGATCATCGCTTGATCGGCTGACCTCATGATGCATACGTAATATTCCGCTACATTACAGAACTTAGCAGTGAAGCAAATTGATCAATTCTCGTTCGGCAGTCAAGCTGATGCTTGATGCCTCGATGATCTCGCGATCTCGGTCATAAACACCCTCCAAGCATTACGCCTCAGCCATGGACGCAATTTTTGTAGCTCTATCGAAAGCAGACACAACTCTCTACAGACCTGTCTATCTTGCTCGTGACACTACCCACGAGACAAGGTACAAGATATCTAACACTTCACCGTGATAGCACAGACCAAGGTGAATTGAGATGTTCTTATCGTCAGAACATATCTTGTGTAGCGAATCGATAAATAATGACATGGTTCATGACACTCCCAACCATCCAACAAGCATTCCCGTCAAAAAAGCTGGAATGCTACTTGGCAAGAATGTCAACCGATTGGCGCAACGACTGCTGCTGCGTCTTCTCTGGGCTTTCCCTAATAGCTAGAGAGGTCGACTGTAGAGTGTTCAACGCCGGGGTTTCTGGAGGGTGTTGAATGCTGTTTCCCAGATTGTGGGTGTCCGGCTCAGGAGTTGCTTGACTTTGAGCTGTGGCAACGTCGATACTCTCTTCGCTCTTTTCAACGCGTGGACTATCTTTAGAGCCGATTTTCGCTTCTGAGTCACAAGTGTCTAGCTGCTGTCTTTTCTTATCTCCGCCGTCATAACGGAAAGCATCCAAGTCCAAGGTTGTTCCAGTAGCTTTCGGCGAATATTTTAGTTTGACCACCATACTGCCCTTACTACCTTCGTCGAGGTCGTCGTCAACCATAGCTTCATCGTCATCAAAGTCGTCGTCTTCTTCGTCGCTTTCTACATCTGGAATATGGTCGTCTTCTTCATCATCCCCTAGGTCGGGCTCACTGTCGTCTTCGTCATCATCTAACTCATCGTTGTTTCTTTTGCTTTTAGAGGCAGTCCAACCATTTGTACCATGATTCACAGCTGCTGATCTTCTTGGTCTCCCACTAGGGCCTACTAACGGCTCTTTCAACTGCAGATCTTCAGTTTCATGTGTCGGGCTTGTTGTTACTATGTTGTTTAGTGCATCTACTGTCATACGGGATGGCGCCTTGATCTGCCTTCCACTAGCTGTTGTAACTGGACCTGCTGGCTCAGCTGGAGTATGAGTACCCGTATTCCGTGCCGACCTCCGGTTAGTTGAGTCGGAGTAGAAGTCCTCGTCATCTGAGTATGTGTATTTCATTCGTTTCCCACGTGTTCGGCCCTCGTACATCGAGAATCCCGGCTCGGGTCGCTTGAACTGCTCTTTACGCATGAGGCGATATTCGCGTCGCTTGCGCTTCTCCTCTGTAGCCTCGAATCTGGGGATAGCCGCCTGCATCTTCTGGGCGAGCTTCCTTGCCTTCGGCCCACCATCCAGGCTCTGTAATTTATCGCTTAATACGTTGAGTTCTTCAATACTGCCGGCTACACTCCACCAGGTCCTATTGTACCCAGCAGGGTTGCTTTCACGGTATACGCGAAAGTGTGTGTCATCAAGACCCTCAACAAGGAAGTATCTACGCCTATCGCTATCAGCCCCCCAAGGTTGCACAGAGAGGGGTTGGTTGAGGTCGTCTTCGTGTCGATTTTGTTTGTATGACTGGTTGATGATTCCTTTGACGACTTCGGACGATGATAATGTCCAGAGCACGAGGGTTCGCAGAAGAGTCAACTGCCATATAGACTATGTTAGTTTATGCTTGGATTGAGCATTTAGGACTTTGTAAATGGAGGACATACACGTTCAGTGGGATTCATTGTCGTAAAAGTCTGGCCGCCAGAGAGTGGGCTCTTGTCCTCCCAATCTCTCGCCCATTGGTTCTTGTGGGAAGAAATAGCATCCTCGAGCGCGCGATTGTAGTGTCCGGGCCTATGGTCATTATACAGTCAGCATCTTTGCAAACGAACCGTAACGAGCTAACCGGCGTGAGCCATACTTGACATCTTGCTTGCGATTCAGCAGAAGGCCTAGAACTGCACATAGAAAATGTTCCACGCGTTCTCCAGGTATTGACTCAGTAACATCGCGCTCGAGTTCTTGTGGCCCGAAATTGGCTAGGGATTTCGGGAGTGCCTCGTTAAACCGACTGCGGAACATAACAATAAACTAGAAGAGAATAAGCTCGGGGAAACGCGACTTTTCGCGTTTTCCACGCGAAGAACACAGAATCTCTTACGGCAATATCAGGATTGTCAGCTAGGACATAGTCATGAGGCGGCGAAGGTGATCTTTTTCGCGGAGGAGGTGAGGGTGTCTGGTCAGGCTCTACGGCAGGTTTGGTGCCTTGAGGCAACTTGTGGAAGAACTTTAGGATACCCTTCTCGCGCTTCAGTTGGACCTCGCCGTCATCCTCAGATGGTGCCGAGGAGAGGGAAGACAACGAAGAAAGCTCGCTCGAGTCGTCATCAGCCATGATGCACGATTGCAGGACCTCCGGAGGCAGGCGTGAGCGGGCGGATCAAACGTAAAGCACCACGGGCGATAAAAAAAAACGACAATGAACTAGGTAGGTAGTCAAGTTGGCAGATGGATGGGATGAACGCGCTGGATGGTGGATGTGGATGCGTGGGTGCTGGAATGTGGAGGTCGAGAAGGTGAGAGGTCAAGAGCTCACAAATTTGGAACCCACGCTAAAATTCACCCAAAAGCTTGAGCCGCACCTCAACAAGGACAGGGTACGGCAGATCTGATAGGCCAGCCTATTTTCTCTAATTAGGTAGGATATCTGAAGGTAACTTGCAACACGAGGACATGGCAGCCCTCTCCTTCTCTCTATGCCCGTGCCTTTAGAATCCCATCCTTTGTGTCCCTCCATCCTTCGTCCTTCGTCCTTCGTCCTTCGTCCTTTGCCATCCACGCTTCACCCTTCCCCCTTCACTAAATCACAGCCGCAGGTAACCTAGCGTCTTCAGCCATCACATTCCCTAACAATTCACGCCCGCAGCAATGAGCATAGCATCAAATATAGAGCGACCCAAAACAGACCCCCTCCTTGACGATATAGCTGCTGCTCACACGTAGCCTCCTGACGTTGTACAGCATCCCGTTCTTGGTGAGCTGGCCCATTCCGTCCTTAGGCCGCTTAGGTAGCCACAATGAGGAGCATTGCTGCTACTGTTAGGCAATCCAGGCCAATTGACCCGCTGCAGGTTATGGTGGTTGGGTGGCATCATTAGCCCTGCGTACCCAGACGTTGTCATCAGCATAGCGAGCCCCAACACCAAGGGCACCTAGCTGCATCAAGCAGTCAAGATATATCAATGCCAAAAATACCTGGTTGCTGGCCTTACCTCGGCTTTGTGAAGATTGTCTCCGCAACACATGTTCTGAAGTCATCGACTGCTTTTGGGATGATTTTACCCTGAGAACCAAAAACCCACAGCTTAAGGACATCAACATGCATTTGGCTGATGGGGTTAAGATTACCCCGAATCTCCAACTTGAGGCTATCGTCAATGCCCTATTCCCGCATTTAAGGACTTGGCCAGGAATGCCACATTTTGCAGACAGGAATGGGTTTGAAGACATAATGTTGAGCGACCCACACTGTCAAAGAGCTGCTTCGCCAACCTTGCGTGTGGCATTCAAGCATGTGTGGCTCTCAGGGCAGCGGCGAATTTCTTAGCTGCCAATCGTCACCGTCTGAAGCAGATCATAGCTGTAGCTAGCCAACTTTCCCGTGAGGCGCGAAAATGGCCATTGTGCGCCTCAAGGGCGGATTTCTCGAGATGTTTGGTTCTCAAATGCGCACAATTTGTTTGTTACCCACTATTGGCGTGATATTAGCTGCTGAGATGACTCCCTTGCGTGAAATGTCATTGCTAAGTGAATTACACGTGGCCAACCGCAACGACCAAAACGACTTCCTTCTGAGCGTGCAAGCCCATTCTCAGTTGATGCGCTTCAGCAGCCTTGGGAAGAGGTAATTTGTTACTTTGATTCGATCCTGAGCGGCCTCTGTGTTTTAGCTGCACAGTCGTGCCGTATATTGTAATCGTGTTATGCGACGGGCGCGTTGATCATCTCTGCTTTTACCCACCACTCTGCAACCAACATGTCAAACCATCTCAACCAAGGCCAACTGAGGCAATGCATGGCCACATCGTCAGAAATGGACTTAGCGGATGGCGGATTGCAAGATACAGGTCGTGTGCCACCAGCACGAGGGAGCATCAGCTCGACATTATCACCGTAATGACAATCATGGACTTGCTTACTTTACGCAGCCAGGGGTTTTGCGTCTCGAATATGGCAGTGCAATGTGCAGGCAGGAATGATTGGCGATACTGATTTACAGATGTGCGGTTCGTCTCATGTGCCGTGGAAGTCTTGGTGTCTGAGCGTGTGGTGTGGTGTGGCTGGCGCACTGAAGCATCTGGTTGAGCCCCTACCGCCACCCGTCAAAGTCAGATGCCACCTGTCAGCGCTGGATCCCAAGTCAGCACCATATGTGTGATTTTAATGCCATAGGCAGACTGTTTTCCAGTCCGGCCTTGTGTAGTAAACCGATATGCAAAGTAATTATGAATTTTCTTCCGCCATTTCGTCTCATGTTTTTAACTCCTTCCTCTTCTATTCACGCTCTAGGTAGTAAGCAGTCGAGGCAGTCTCCCTTTCTTCCTTCTGGTCTCCGGGGTCCTGTACCTGACTAAATCTCGCCACCTACCTAGGTACTGTCATCTGTGGCTTGGGGACCCCGGATGGATCAGACTTCCAAGTTTGTTTCTAGGTCCTATCTAGTCTACCTAGGTACCTACTGCAAGTGTTGTCTTTGTGGATCGCTGAGTCATCGTCTTTATCCCTATAGGTGCATATACCTACCTAGGTAGTTAGTTATCCCTTAACCTAAACTCTGCCTAAGCCACTAAACCTACCTAAACAGCTGGAAGTCAGAAATCCGCCATTCTGGGCCGAGCCACAATAACCTATGTACCTATCCAACGGCGTAGGCAGTGATACTGGTACCTACAGGTACCCGCTGTAGTGCACGTTAGATTTACAGGAGGGACATACCTGTAGGTAGCCCATTTTTCCTGCTCTCCCAGCCCGCGCAAGGTTTTCCCACGCACAACCCACCTTTCATACCGCCTCGTTCTCAAAACACCCCTTGGATTCGACAACTCCCATACTGCTCACTCATTTCCGAAAGACAAGACCAAGATGAGTGACGCTGCTGCGACTGAGGCCGAGAAAAACGTAAGAGCATATCTTCCCTAGCTGCCCAGAGAATTCCCTCACGCACGCTACAGCAACCCATGCGATGTGATATAATGTAGCCCAGCTCGAGCGATGCCACTCACACTTTCCACGCCCTCACTACCGTCTTCTGCCCCGGTGTTATTGATCTAGTAAGGCTAACACTGGTTGGTGCCAACAGATCGAGATATGGAAGGTTAAGAAGCTGATCAAACGCCTCGAGGCGGCGCGTGGAAATGGAACCAGCATGATTTCGCTAATTATTCGTATGCACTTTACCCCTCCCCCGCCTCATCACCAGTGCTGATTTAATGTCCTTAGCACCCAAGGATCAGATTTCACGAATCTCCAAGATGTTGGCTGAAGAATATGTATGCGACCACTCCAACCTGTATTGCATCATGTCATTGATGTTCTCGTCGCTCCCTCTACGCAGTCGGTTGCCTTCGTGGCTAACAGATCCCCACTCTAGGGTACTGCCTCCAATATCAAATCCCGTGTCAACCGACAGTCCGTCTTGTCCGCCATCACTTCGACTCAGCAGCGACTCAAGCTGTACAACAAGGTGCCTCCTAATGGCCTTGTTGTCTACTGTGGTGAAATTTTGACCTCGGAAGGTAAAGAGCGTAAAGTCAACATTGACTTCGAGCCTTTCAAGCCGATCAACACCTCCTTGTACCTCTGCGACAACAAATTTCATACCGAGGCGCTAGCTGAACTGCTTGAATCTGATCAGAAATTTGGCTTCATCGTCATGGATGGTAACGGCGCTCTGTTCGGTACGCTGAGTGGCAACACTCGCGACGTCGTCCACAAATTCTCTGTGGATCTCCCGAAAAAGCACGGCCGTGGTGGACAGTCTGCTCTTCGTTTCGCTCGTCTGCGAGAGGAGAAGCGACACAACTATGTCCGCAAAGTGGCTGAGCTAGCAGTTCAGAACTTTATCACTGCTGATAAACCCAATGTGGCTGGTCTAATTCTAGCGGGATCTGCTGACTTCAAGAACGACCTAAACGGCTCAGACATGTTCGACAACCGATTACAGTCCAAGGTTATTAAGGTTGTAGACGTATCTTACGGTGGGGAAAACGGCTTCAACCAGGCTATAGAACTGTCCTCTGAGACCCTTGGCAATGTCAAGTTTATCCAGGAGAAGAAGCTCATCGGCAAATACTTCGAAGAAATCAGCCAAGACACGGGCAAAGTTTGCTATGGTATCGAGGACACGCTCAAGGCTCTCGAATTAGGTGCTGTTGAAACACTCATTGTGTTCGAAAACCTCGAATTCACACGATGGGTGCTGAAGGACAGCGGTGGTTCCGAAATTGTCCTTCACCTCACGAAACAGCAGGAATCTGGTGACCGCTCTGTGTTCATGGACAAGGAGACCAGCCAAGAAATGGATGTTGTCTCGCAAGAGTCCTTCCTAGAGTGGATTGCTGAACGCTACAAGGATTTCGGTACGAATCTTGAATTCGTGTCAGACAGGTCAACCGAAGGCAACCAGTTCGTGAAAGGATTCGGCGGTATTGGCGGGATCCTCCGCTACAAAGTAAACTTCGAGCAGTTAGCCGAAGTAGATGACGATGATGACTACTACGACGATTGACAGGTCAGTTCATACTCTAATTTAGAGTCTTTCTATGGGTATCTTGAGATTGAGACTGTTCTATTCACCGTCGACCTGACCCGATAGGGCCGGTTATTTCCACCCCTAAGCTTTCCATTTCCATGCACAAATTCTGTTGAATAATAATTTGGCTGACATAATAACAGTTTGACGAGTCCCTTGTCGGTGACGAGGGACGTTCTCAAGCAGTCATATTTAAGCAGACACCTGCAGAGGAGGCGAAGCGTCCGTTGCAGCTAGAACCCGTCGAACAAGACGCAATCCCGGCGCCAAAAGCAGCGAGCGCATCATATGCCCGCCGACGACTTCAGAAGACGGGACCAGCGAACTCAGAGCACACCGCTCGGCAAGTGGCGACGCCCAGTCCGCTTCGATCCATGATGACGGCTTGAGTTTTACCAGAACGGAATGGAGGTTGGTCTATGCTACGTCACGCACATCAAACTAGTAACTAATTAGTCGTGCAGATGCTACCAATGCGTTCAAGGACTATTCAGATGACGGTGCCGAACTAAACTAAACTACACTCACGTCAGCCTGGGCACAATTTAGTCTTACAGTGCTTTTGAACTCGTAGTTTTCTTTATTGGGCTGATGTCTGGTGTCGTCTGGCGCTTCTGGTCAAGATTGTGTTAACAGTAATACCGTGATGTCCCATGACATCACTTATACCACTCATTAAGGTCAGCTTGCAATATAACAGATTTGGTCGCTCTTTATAATAGGAGCCCCGAAGCTCCTGCATAAGTGATTGGTTGAGAAAAAAGACAACTTGAATAGACCACCTGTAGAGCAATTGTTGTTTTTATACATGTATTTTGAGGCAGTTAAGAAATGAGAGCTAGAAATGAGAGCCCGAATTACCCCACGTGGGTGGATCCGTCTCAGCTCCGAGGGCAGCGCCGAACATCGCTGTGAAATTTCCGTATGCGCGAGCGAGCTGACCAGTTAGTTGAATTACCTTACAACCAGATCCTAATTCATCTCGTGCCGGGAGACTATCCTCTTCCATTTGTCGACCTTATTGCCCCGAAAACATCCATCCCCATCATGGAGACAGATGATCAGGCTGCTCTTGGAGGTGCGAGCCCCAAACCTGTGGTTTGCTTCCTAGGGCCGACATCGTCATATACACATCAGGTATGAAGGTCGCTTTGGTATGGCAAAGCAGCCGATGTCTTCCGGGGTGCAGCTCTTACGCCTCCTCCAGGCAGCTTTTGGGACTAATCTTTATGTGCCATCTGCATAGGCTACGATGCAGGTTTTTCCGGCGGACCAATTCAACTTGATGCCTGTGACAACTATCAAGGGTACGTAGGCGATAAGAGTGTTCTCACGCCTCCCTGCTCGATGGTACCATATTTCTTGCGCGATTGAAACCTGATTAACATATGTTGAAAGATATCTTCGACACAACGCAATCAGGCGGTGCAACCTACGGGGTGGTTCCCTTTGAAAACTCGACCAATGGGTCTGTGGTGTTCACGCTGGACAATTTCGCGGATAGGTCAAATTTGTACGGAGACTTGAATGTCTGCCGAGAAATATATCTAGATGTACACCACTACCTGGTTGGCTACATTGCGCCGCAGCCACCAGCTCCACACCACCCTTCTTCCACCCCCACGTCCGTTGATGCTCACGCCCAAGAGTCGGGGGTGGACGAAGAAGCAGGTGATGGTGGGCAGCGAGACAAGACAAAACGGTCTCAACCCTTACACCCTATTTCGCATGTGCGCCGCGTGTATAGCCATCCGCAGGCCTTCGGGCAGTGCACAGAATTCATGGGGTCCTGGCTCCGCGGCATTGAGACTGTCGACGTGAGCAGCACGAGCCGCGCAGCCGAGCTCGCGCTCGCAGACTCGACGGGCGAGAGCGCAGCTATCAGCTCTGCCGTCGCCGCAGAACAACTAGGTCTCGACGTTCTGGCGCAGAACATCGAGGACCGCGACGACAACACGACGCGGTTCTTCGTGCTTCGGAAAGGAGTCGATGGGGGTGCCGGGGTTTTTGCACCCACTGCATCGAGAAACGCGTCGCCCACCGCCCTAAATACGCAAAGGGATAATGAAGAAGAAGATGATGCTGAACTATTATCTCGTACTAAATCCCTCCTCTCCTTTACCGTGCCGCATCGCAGCCCGGGAGCCCTCGCAGATGTGCTCTCGTGTTTCCGACGAGGCGGTCTGAACTTGACGAGTATTAACAGCCGTCCTAGCCTCGCGGGCGCCGCGGCCTTCGAGTACATATTTTTTGTCGAATTCGAGGGCCACCGCTTCCGGGACCCGAGGGCCCGCGTCGCGCGCGTGTTGGAAGATGTTGCAGCTGTTGCGAGAACGTCGCGGTGGCTGGGTAGTTGGGAGAATATGGCTAAGTAAAGCAAAGCGAGACGTGTGAAGAGAATAAGAGTTAAGGAATGAGAGGGCTCGCTATCTACGATCATGGAGTCTAAGGCAGGGAGGATCTCCACGACAGGGTACCAAACAGAAAGTATCCAAAATGAAAGGAAAAAAAGGAAGCAAAGGTTCAAAATCGAGTTCCTACGTCGAACATGTCCCATGTTTTAGTCACCTCAAAAAGATAAACACATGCCGAAAGTAGAGCCTAAAAGATAAGATATCTATGCCGGGATACGAAATGTTGCTGCAATTAAGATCAGGTGGAAGGGGGGGAAAGGGACACATTTCATATCCATATTAGGAGAGGGAATAGAACTTGTTGGGCCCCAAGAACTAGCAGCAATCAGATGAGCTGAAAACCCTACCTCCTTAACCAGCCCTCAAATTATGGATTCATCCATATGACTTAAAAACGCAAACGATTCTAGCCACTATCTGCTGTTCTCGTTGTCGTTCATCACAGTTAGACAAACAGACAGTGAGTAGTAGAATCATACCTAGACACGGGGCTTGCCCCTACCACGCACCCTTTTTTTCAGCAGCTAGCCTCTCCGAGTTCATTGCGCACTCGCTCGTATTTCATGTTCAAAATCAATAATAACGTACTTAAATAATAATTAAATAGTTCAAGCACGACGAAGTTCATTGATATCTTCTCACTCTTGTCAACTCTATATAGACAGTGAGACATTGTGCAAGGGGTAGACGGGAATGACTATGGACAAGTAGAAGACATGAGTGCGGATTTTCAACACTTCTGATTACTCCATCCTACTCCTGACCTTCCAACCCGCCATTCTAAATTATACTACAATGATACAGAATGCCTAACCCAATTGCTTTGATCCCGGGCTGAGCTTCCGATTGATAATCGCTAGTGTTGTCTAATTAGGAAGAGAAGTAGAAGTTCTCATCCGGTGTGCGGCCGCGTAGGAATTGTGGTTCACTACCTCTGACGTACACATCCTCGAATAGAATTTCGGGCTTGTTCTCAGGAACCGCCATAGCCTCTGCAGCAGCCACCTCATCGTTAACGTGCTTGCGAGCCTCCTTGTCGATACTCTTGAGCTCCTCTTCGTTACAAACGCCCCAGTCCAGAATCTTCTGCTTAAGGCCAGCAATGGGGTCGTTGGTAGATCGCATGCGCTGGATCTCCTCACGGGTTCGGTATGTGGTGCCAGGGTCGGACATGGAGTGACCACCATATCGGTAGGTAACATATTCGAGAACCAGGGGACTGCTTTCAGCGAGGGTCCATTCCTTACCGTACTTGACGGCAGCCTTGACGGCTAGAACGTCCATGCCGTTGACCTTCAGACCAGGAATGTACTGGCCACGCTTGTAGTAGTCGGTGAGCGCCGATGATCGGGCTGCAGCAGTACCCATACCGTACTTGTTGTCTAGACGGATAATTAATTAGTCTTTGATAATGAAAAATTATAACAGCGATTCTACGTACTCTCACAACCGAAGAGTGCAGGCAGACCCCAAAGCTTGGCCATGTTGAAAGCCTCGAAAACTTGACCCTGGTTGCTGGCACCATCACCGTATAGGATAACGGATGCGTTCTTGCGACCCATGTACTTGTGGGCAAAAGCTAGACCAGCACCAACGGGAACCTGAGCACCGACGATACCATTGCCACCGTAGAAACCTTTGGCGAACATGTGCATAGAACCGCCCTTTCCGTAAGCGATACCCTCACGTCGGCCGAGCAGCTCTCCAATGATAGACCGTACAGAGGCACCACGCATCAGAGCGAAGCCGTGGCATCGGTAGGCAGTGATAATGTCGTCTTCTTTTGTCAGGGCGTGTTCAATACCAACGGCGACAGCTTCCTGCCCTGTTGACAAGTGGCAGAAACCGCGGATCTTCTTCTCTTTGTACAAGCGATCGGCGGCCATCTCCATTTGCCTAAGATTCCAACAATCAGCCAATTGGACATCGGAATACAGCGCATGGTTGCTTGTGTGCGCGGCGCATATGGTATCTTACCTTGTCGTCACCATGTTGTAGTACATCTCCTTCAGCTCCTTCTTGGTGACATCCAGGGTGTATGGAGGGGGGTCAAGCTCATAGGTCTCGAAGCTCTCATCACTGAGGGTGACCTGGAAAGGCTGGTCATCGGTATCAGGAACGGCGCCCTTATCGGCGTGTGATGAAGCGGCATTGGTGGTCACGGATCGGAGAGCAGCAACAGTAGACGGTCTGGCGACGGTGGCTCGTGTGCGCGCCAGGGGGGCGGCAGTTCGAGGAACTCGCAGCGCTCGGGAGAACATTGTGACAGTATGAATAATTATGAAAACGAAGAGAACCCCGAAGAGAATAACGGGAGGCGCGGGAGGCAGGAGGGTTAACAAGTTAAGCCTGCGAGGGCGAAGGAAGACGGGTGAAAAAATTATGGAGCTCCGGACGAGAAGTCGCTCAACAATTCTGACCTCCGAAATCTGTCTGCGCTGGACCCTCCAATCTGGCGAGTCTGGTACTTAGCAACGAGGCCCTGTAATCTAGGCCTCCCTTTTTGGGGATGGTCCGACCGACCAGCGGAGCCCCGACGCCCGATACTGGCTACCTATCTACCTACTGCGACTACTGCCTATTGTAACTAACTCAGTGCCTCCTACCTCGCCCTAGGTATACCTATCTACACCGATAAGCAGCTACTGTAGGGCCCTTCTACTACCTACCTAGGCACCTACTTTTATATGCAACCTACTTGCAAAAGAACAAACTCAACAAGCCGCTTCCACCTGCTAGATGTTATTTTCAATAGATAGGTATCTACTAGGTAAGTATCTAATGTCTATCGGCGGGGGCACATTGTTGAGGCTTAGATAGACTACCCAGGTAGATTACAAGTGATTCCACAGCTACAGACGGAACTCTCAGTCTTCCACGGACTTAAACAGGACCAGTGGAATGGAGCGTCTTTCAAAAATATATACACAACGATAAGCATCATACAGTGACATGGTCGTCAAGAAGCTATAAAATCATAACGACAATGTCCTCCATACCTACTTACCATTTATTGTTTGTGTACTTGACAAGCAACCCACTGCATACAACTCAGGTGAAGACCTAGACACGAAACGGCAACAGAATTGTAACACACCTTTATTCGTAAATGACCGGTGTCGTAACTGTAGGCATAACAGGAATCGGTAAACATAGATAAACATATATGGGGGTATTTTTTCCGTAAGCAATCCTAGTCGAAGCAGCCTCTAAAACCAAGGCCACAGGAAAAGTATATCAACCCCTAACCAAACGCGCCCTCGGTACCCTTCCGTATCGCTGTGATCCGCATAACCCGCTCATTCACGGACTGCCCAAATTCAAAGGTGGATAAGGCAAAAAAGATCTCACAGTGTGCGCCGTTCTCTAGCAGTGCCGATATTGCGGCGGGGCATTTGATCCCACCGTAGCCAATTTTCTTGTGCCTGTAACCTGGAAAGCCAACCCATACTTTCGAAAGAAGATCCCATCCCTCCCCCTCCCCCAAAGCTCTAGCTCTGCTGGTCCTGCCGCTGTACTTCAAAAACAAAAAAGACAAGGAGACGCTGCAACTCATGAAAAGAACGATGTGATGGTGCTGTGTGATTTAGACCAGAATCATGACTTCCTCGGGCGTTTTGACCGTTTCTGGGAGCTGCCCCCTTGAGCGTCTTCTTCATAGTCGTCCTCACCACTTTCACTTCCCTCGCGCACGCGAGTCCTATCGTTCCCCTTCTTGATAGATATCAAACACCCTTGCTCCTTGAGCCGTTTCGTGAGCGCAGTGCTTGCCTTCATGCCCGGAAAGTCCTTGGCGTTGTAAACCGTGAAAACGTCGCTCATCACAATGGCCGCCACTGGGGTCCTGTGGCCTGGAGATGAGAACGGGTCCAATACCATAAAGCTGAACTGTAGGCGAAATGAGCCCGGTGTTCGGCATGATAGATCGGGAAAACAGAAGAAGCACCCAAACTCGTCATTCTCGTCGTTGCCAGCGAAGGGCGACGATACCACGGTTCCCATCAATCTCCGCTGCGTACGGTAGTCTTCAGGCATGGACGACAGATCCTGGTCCCCTGCTTCGTTCCAGATAGTACAATGCATGATCGAATAACTATGCGTAAGTCGGTTCTTGATCTCCTCCGGAGAGGCCGTGGGGTCCACCATACTCATTTGAATGATAGGCGGCGGATCAATGACTCGACGGTCTCTTTCACCATAACCACACGATCTTGCGGCAATAGGCTGTTGGCGAATGTTGATACGATACGTAGAAGTCACAGCAGCAGACGTAGGTATTCTTTGTGGTGCTTTCTGGGCAGCCTTGGATGAGTCAGATGTAGCAGAATTCTGATCATTGCTCAATAAACCGGCTATCTTCATCCGCTGCTCAGGAGCACGCGGCTCTGGAAAAGGGGACCATGTCTGGTGAGCGGGACTACTCGCCTGGGATGAGTTGCCCGGGCGAGCATTTGGGGGATGAGTGTCGTGAGAAGGCCTCATCGATTGTGTTTCTGCACAGGATAGTTGTCGAAGTGGAGACTCATGGGCTGTTGGACAACGGCTTGACAGACGAGATGTTGGTGAGGACCTATTTTCTTGAGTAAATTGAGGGGGGCGATGGTAGTCTGACGGGTCCTCGGAACGATCGCTAGCTGTCGAGGACTGGGCGGGTGAAAGCCGAGTTCTCGTATCGACTGGCCCTCTACTGGATGAGCTGAATGTGGAGGCATAACCCTCGGGGCCCAGGATCGGGACTTGCGCAGGCCTGCGACCTGACATTGAAGCCACAGGCGCATATACGTCCCGGTAAAAGGGCTGGTCATGAAATGCACGTTCCCGTCCAGTCGAAGCGGTCTGGCTGCGGTGGGCATCACCGATCAGGCTTGATGGAGGTGGTAGGCGTAACGTTGGCGGGTTCTGATCTTGGGAGTAGTATGAGGTATGTCGTGGAGCATAGAAATTATTGCCCCACGAATCGAAAGGTCTTGTCATGGCGTCCACCATGGTATAACGAGAGCTGGCGCGTGAACGTAGCTCACCACCAACAAGCAATACGGAAAATGGACCACGAGTATGAATAAAGGACAAAAGTCAGCCAACCAAAGCACCGAATTGGTAGCAACGGAATAAGCAGTTGTGAGGATAGATCTGTTCTATATGGGCGTTCCTGATAATTAAATGGTCTGTTTCGCGGCGTCGAGAAGCCGAGGGCACCAAGGCAGATGGAGAGCAGATCAAATAATGTTACTGCCGACACAGACCCGTGGTCACCAGGTGCAAATGACGATTTGGCAGGATGCATGAAACAGCAGCAGGAATTGCCAAAATGCGGCTGACACTAGACGCCTATGGCAGCAGACTTGGGGAATCAATCGCTGCTCAGGACAGCGCCAGCGGCGGCAGTACCAGAGCGGTCTGGCGACTATTGTATCCGGTGTGACGAAAGGCGCAATAACGAAAGTGTCAATCATTGACAACCGTCGAGCTACGCAGATGGAGGAACGGGGAAAGGTTGAACGCCAAAGGCTCTGATCCAAGCTGGGTGTAAACGCCTACATATCATAACTATCTAGTATACCCAGGTAGGGATGAATGGACTCAATGGAGTAGAGCCGAGTCTGAGGAGACCAACCATTGGAAGAAAGGATTGAGACGACCTGGCAGGCCTGGTGCCGTCATTCCATCCCGCTCGCGCGTCAAGGTTGTCGGACGATTTCCGAGGGAATGAAACTGGCAGCTACTAGTATAGCACAGTCCTTGGAGCCGCGGGTTGTAGGTGGCAGTCTGGGTAGGAAGACAACAGCTCGGCGAGTGTAGAAGGATATACCTACATGTCTGTTTGATACACCGATCCAGATGCCGTGTGGGCGCAGGTATTGGCGACAAGCCGGGGGGCGTGGGCATAGGAAAGATCGAGACCTCAGGCATACTGCTACATACAGTAGGGAGAGTAGTACCTCACTACCTTCACACTCATATACCTACCTACCTGGACGATAATCTGTCATATGTCGTCTGTAGTACCAAGTTGGACGCCTACCCGTGGCCGTGGCTGGTGTAGCTATATGACTATGCTGTGTCTCCATAGTACTGTTCTTCTCTCCATACGTACGACGTATCTGTGTGGGAGTTGGTACATACCCGTATACTACCTATGTAGGTAGTGTATGTAGGTAGGATACCTTGCTGCAGGTATCCATGTTATAGCCATGATATAAACGAAACTGAACCTGGAAGTCGAGAACTTAGCTACACAGCAAGGCCGCCGACGAGTGCTTACATGTATGGTTATAAGCAGCACGAGGGCCGTTCCGCACCTCTTGGTCCTCCTTGTCCGCGGGCTCCTTGGCTGTTACACGTATAGGTATCTAGGTTATAGGTACACACAAGGTATACAAGATATACATACTTAGTCAGTACGTTTGCCTATTACCTAAGATACATGGTATCGTCTGGAGGGCTCCTCCAATCATGAGTGTCATATGGCGAAAACACAGGTATGAGACATGCATATGCTGTAAATACTACTCATTGCCGGTACCTCCCAGAAGATGACAGCCCAGAGCGAGCCAACCAGTTCGCGCAGGCTAGTGGTGGGCAGAGGAGAGGAGACGAGAGGGGAGAGGGGAGACAAGATTCAGCAGTTCTCTTTTGAGAGCATGGGCAGAAGCATGGGGTGGCTTCAACCCTGGCGCTAAAGCCATCGGAACATGCCTTCAAGCAGCATGCGGGCCGCCGGATACATGTCTCAGTCCAGGTACTCAGGTATCTATCTCATCTCGCTCATCCCGCTCTCTTGCTCTCTTGCTCTCTCGCTCTGCCTCTTGGTGGTGTCTGCGTAGGCAACGGGATGAACCTACATTACCTACACTACCGTACAGATAGGTAGATATCCAAGTACGAGGCAGTTGCTTTTTTCCAGCTCCGTCATTGGACACCGACAGCTCTGCTGTGATGGCGGCGATATTGTCGATAGACACATACAAATAAAAACAAAGATGTGAGACACTCGGTGTGAAGCCTGGTGTACAGTAGGCATTACGTAGGTTCGACCTGGCCCGCGCCACTTCATCGGCCATCATTGGTCTTGATTGGCCTGGTGGGCTTAGCGGTTAGTGTGCCGTTCGCAGTTACCCATCATCATGGTATCTTCCGAGTATGTGTATAAGTAGGGAGATAGGTAGGTAGGTAGATGCGTGTGTGCGTTTGTGTGCGTTTGTGCGCGCGTGTGTAATCAAGGCTGGGGTACATATATGTGGATGTATCCGATAGGTATTGTACCAGGCTGGACCACCAATCCCGTCCAAGCCGCATCTCCAATCGAACACCCATCCATCGAACGCCAATCGTGGCCCGTACGCATATGCGTACATGAGTGACCTGAGAGTTTATCAGCCGAGATCAGTATTCTGGCTGGCAGTTAACTACCAACAGCCGCTATACGATTCGGTGGTTAGGAACGACAGGGAGCAATTACAATTACAATTACAATTACCTACCTAGATAACATGAGATGCCTGGTACGGTAATTCGTGCCTCGCTCCCATCTGGTGGCATACATACGAAGTAGGGCGTGGCAACCAACGGTTATAGCCGACTTGAGGGGTCTAGCGCTGGATCGGTATCTTGCAAAGGTGCATGGCTACACGGGATTGCCTACACGATTGGCTCGATTCAGGCAGGCCAGGAATTTAACCACAGATTCCAGTGAAAACCGAGTAGTCGGGCCTCGTGCAGTGTAGCACCTCCTACTTCGTAAGGATGATGAGATGGGATAGGATGGGGAAGGATGGGACGGATGGTCGGGTTGTATACCTACACCCCCTCCCGTTGTTCATTGCATCCCATCGCATCTCATTCCGCCTCTCTCCCCTTTCCTGCCCCCTTCCCAAACTTCACTTACAATGTCATTCTTGTGTCTGGGTAGGCACGCCATCGGTAGGTAGCTGTAGGTATGTGACCAGGTACGGTAGGTCTATAGAGGCAGAATAAGCTGCTTGTGTGGCGTACTCCTAGCTACGTCTGGACATGGGACATGCCTAGTTGACGATACCTAAGATAAGTGTTCATCTGAGAGTCAGGACTAGGTACGGTGTACTACACGTATGTGAGTACACTAGATTCGGTAGGTGGGTGATAACGGTCTCTGTCCATTCTCTTGGTCTAGGTACTACGTACGCTACGGCATTTTCCCCTCCTCTCCGCCATCCATCCACCAAATCCCTCCGTCCGGAAATCCCTGTCTCGCCTTGCCCTGCCTGAACCTCGCGCCTCTCGTCGCCCTTGTCCCCGTGCCCTGGAGCCCGGGAATCCTGTTATTGCCTACCTACACAGTGGGCGCCTAGGCAGTTCCAGCGCTACAGGAGCATCATTGGATGATGCAGGGTGTAGGGTGGCCGGCAAGCAGGCAAGACGTTACCTAGTTTCCATGCGGAATAATGCATCCCAAAACCGTTGGATTTTGCCATGTCCTTCCCGCCATCGGCTTCATTGCCTCAGACTGAAATATCCGTGCCGTCTCTGCTCAACCGCATCGGGATCTTGTTGCCCGCCACAAATTACCATGCTCACTGGCGCTCGATGTGTGGCACCCAGCTAATAGCAACCACGAGCACATGGGAGAGGTGTATATCGATCGCCAACAATGGCTGCTGTCGTCATGATTTCAGCCACTTACAGTATTGCAGTTTTATGTGACACGGTCACTGTCCGGCTAGGGTGCGTGCATTAAGCAGGTTAAATGGGCATATTGAGAAGGTGTGAACGAATGCTCCGGTGGCGTTGTGCTCTATCAAAATCGCCTTCCTGCATAGTCTTATGTGGAATGGCATGGCACAACCTCATATCGCCGAGAACCTGCACGGGGTGTATGGCACGCATCTTGGTCTGAAACCTCGCTCATCGCCATCTGCCAACCCTCGAGACCAGGCAACGAGGCTTCTCAAGCTCACATGGCTCTGAGTCTGCGTTCAATCGATTGCTTGCGGGATGGGCGCCAAATGAGCACACTCCATGTCACAGAGTCAGTGTTTACGGCTACCCAGTCATTAAGATGCTTGACAGACCGCCCAACAGTGCAGCCGCCAGCCGTTGATGACCAACAGAAACAACTACGTGGTACTAAGACGCTCTCACGAGCCGAAGGTTCCTGTGTTAAGGTGCTGCCAGTATCGTATGTCAAAATCGTACGTCCTAGGCTTACGCACAATAGAAGGAAACCGAAGCTTGACTCACACTCTCACTTCACAGGCATAGAATCTCCCACAACCCTGCCATTTCAATATTGTGGTACACTGTTCGCCGATAGTTGCATTCGCTAACAAGCCTGCCGCCGTTACATTTTCTGTGGGGTATAACCACTCAGATATGACGGGCGTCTCGCTCTTCTCAGTCCTTGACTGCCTATGGGACTATCAAGTCGAGGCTGTGAAGTGACGAGATTTAGGACCCAAAGCACGTGAAATTCTATGCTGTGAACCATCTGCATGGTGCTTAGTAAATTACACTTCCAGCTATAGCAAACCGGATGCTTGCAGCCCTACTGAGTGATTCCTGACGTGGGATGTTAATTGCCATACCGTCGTCTTGCTTTGCTTCGATAGCTACTCGATAAGTTTGATCTATAAATCATGTTGCAAGGACATGCAACCGAAATCTCAAATCCCCCCATGGCGACTTGGTTTCGATACTCATAAGTATAATACTACACTGCACTACACATGGTATATATGTATACGTAAATCTGGCCGAGTCGGTCAAGGACCGGCCGGGCCAGGTATTAAGGCTAGGTAGTGATCTCGGTAACAAACATCCAGGTGAAAGGCATTGAAGCAATGTAACCCCAAATTCCGGGTTGGATCCAGCACCCCGGAGAAAGTGCATCAATTTGGTCTTCGCCCCCATGCATCGCTTTTCTGTCAGATTATATTCCACTGAAGGCCCACTCATCTGATATTTAGATCGCAATCCATAAGGTCAGACAAGGCGAACGACAGTCTCTGCGTCCCTTACCCGAGAACTAACACTGCGGGTGGCTCGATACGAGCCAACTCAAACCAGGTTCGTGGGCGCTATTGGCACTATTCGGTTCTGGATGAGGCCATTAGTGCGAAATCACGACAGGAAGGCATCCCAAAACCACCCTTTGAGCTACCGATCAAGCATCACGAACAGGATATCTGGAAGCACTCAAGTCGCCATTTGTACACTCCGACAATTTTCGCGAAATCGTCTCGTTATCGTAAGAGTAGATAGTCCCCTTCTAGCGATGCACTAGCAAGAAGACCAGGCTTGACGTTCTGTATAGCTATCCTGAAGCTTAGCCAGACACAAGACAGCTACCAGCTTGTTCTACCGCTCCTGAGCCGGACCTTACTGCCGTTGCTTCACACGAAACGGTCACTGCATCCTCTCCATGTGTTCTAGGAATGGGCGAAAGGCTTACCCGACTTCTACACATTTCGAGCCCTCCTGTACAGCAGCGCGCCAAGACATGCAGAAACATCTGGGGAATAAACGATCACAAAATGCTCTCTTTGTTACCTGTCATGTGCCAGTTTCAGTTGGGATGTATGGCCGAGGGACCCGTCATCTTAAGTCGCAACGAGATTGAAACCGAACATGTTTGGCCGTTTATTGAGTGAATAATGCATACCCAGAAAAGCCTCCTAAGACAGCTCAGACTGGCCTCCGTGTGCCGCCATTCTGGTAGACAAGGGTAATTAATATCCATCAAATTCTCACGAAGATGGTATACCGGGACTTCCACATCACAACCAATCTTTCCTGATTCTAGGTAATTTACGCTATTCTCCACAGGGGTTGTATGTTTCTTACAAAAGGACGGCCTAAGCACCTAGGCAGTTTAGCCCAGGAGTTGGTCCCTGCAGACACCCTGGTACAGCAAGCTTGCACTCCTGATGGCTGCTCCAGTGCTGGTCCTCCGAGTCCTCCTCAGCCCGTTCGTGCTCCATTGTGGCACCAAAACCACCAGTCGCCTGGTTCCGATGATTGTCAGAGCCACTGGAACTTAATCAGGCTAAAAACATTTCTCACCACCTACCTACAGTAGGTAGACAGACCGATGACCGCCGCAAGCTTACTCCTACCTAGGTACGTCCTGGGATAGGTAGGCCTGGGACCATCAGCCAACGACCGCAGTAGGTAGGTAGTCGAGGTAGTCTTCTAGAGGTAGTTCCGGTCTCGTCTATGCATCGTGGGCGCTCTTAGTCCCACATCTTTCTCGCTCCTGGATCAGTTAAGCAGATGGCCACGAGAACAGCATCCTTGCCATAATTCCATACATATAACTATGAATGGAGGAGAACCACTCGCCCATAGCCACTGCCGTTTAGCCAGTAAGTAGTAAGGTTGATCGCGGTTCGTGAGCGCCCCTCTATGTCACTGTCGTGCTGTTAGGCTTTGTGTTATTGGTCCTCGTTCCGCCCAACTCTTGCCTACACAGCACTCTGCGTGGCAGCGAACAACACGTTCTAGCATGTCGAACAATGAGGTAGACGCAACGCTCTCGGGTATAGCACACAGCCCTAGGTATATCCCTATCAGCGATCACATAGACGAACACCATCAGCCTGTTCATCCGAAAGAAAAATTCAACCATACATCGTCGTCATATGAAGACCTACTTATAGCCGCTCCCACTCTGGGTCTCAGGTCGTCGATCTATTCACGGTACACCCTACTTCCACCAGGCACTTAGAAATATCAAAAGATGGTGCTATATGTATTAGTGTTTTGAGAGGTTGTTTGGGGGAGGGGGCCAGAACCCTAGATTGGTTCGTCGCGGACTCATACATACTGGAAGGTTGCAGTTCAGTGTATACCTATACTCAAATACCCGTCTTGATAGCTCTCTTTGAGAGCAATCTGACGAATCAGTCCAAAGATGTGATCCTTTTTTTTTTCTTGTTTTCGATTTCCCCCGGGGTTTCTCACCCCCCACGGTAGTCGCATTAAGCAAGTTGACTCTTCCATAGGCCGTTATAAAAATGCGACAAGATTAGCCGCCACGCATAGCAAGTCGCCTGATTAGTGTAGATGACTGGCTTTACGGCAGTTCATGAGTATAAAACTGAGTCTTATCAGAACTATCGTACTCATTGCTACAAATGAACCTGTGTATGAAGATTGATATTTTATCGAAGTTATGCCGGGATAACCCTAGCGATCTATTGTCACGTTACGCTGTGCTATAATGTGTCTTGCTGCTCCGTCATTGGCGAACAGAAATATATCATACCATCTGTTTTTGTAACATCAATATCGGGCTATTCTCTGTGTTTGCTCTGGTGTCTAATTGTCAACATGATACCCCAACCACGAGCTGAAGCATTCCCAAGACCGGGGAATCGTCTGTCGCTCTGTACGTGATCGGATATAGATATATTAGACTGTAGCAAAAGTCTCTGGCCGATGGCTCCCTTCTCGTATATCGTGTGTAAAGCTTTAATGATACACTGTGCAGAGAGGAGGCTCTGTTGTATATTTTCTTGCAGTCGCTACCTTCGGCAGGCAAGTCATAAGCTCCACATGTTAATTCCATGCTCTTGTTGGAGAAAACCCAATGAACACTTACCTTTACAAGCTTTCCAAGTGATAACATCGAGTTGGTTGTGCGTTATAGAGCGCCATTTTTAAGGGTGAGAAGTGTCGGTAGGTCGACTAACTTATTGATCCCGTGTGGATTTACGTGGTGAGCGGTATGGGGTATGTGGTGACCATATCTTACCTACTCACCAGGACTGCTTCAAGGAAGAGGTCTGGTAGGCATATTTACCTATTTCTTTTGTCAAGAAGTGCGAGGGATATTGTGTAGATATGCTAGTATGTCATGTCTTATGAATCATAACTGTATTTGCCAACCATGCCTCCCTGCGTCATCTCACCAAGGCAAGAAGATTCACGTCCCAGTGTGCCTGTTCATAATTTTACCTGTGGGTAAGCCTAGAACGCTACATTAGTAAGACATATAAGGAATCTTTGAAAAGACGGTATCTCAGAAGATGAGAAACTCTGCACTTGTTTTTCTCATATCCACGCTCATCCATCTATCAACGAGGGGCACAAGCGAACGGCTTGGTAAAGGGGGTTTCTAACCTAAACCGAACCGTGATTTAAGGAATCTGGACATAATAGCCCTCTATATTGTCCGTCGTTGTAAGGCAGAGCGATGCTGGATAATATCCGGGTGGTAATGAGACGCATTGCGTTGCCGCTTCCCGGGTGAAGTGATATATGTCCCACATCATAGCCTCCCGCGCATGGCGTACGTAGATATTCCGAGATGAAGGGCTCAAACAGAGAATTATCTTCTCGGAGTTGTATCAGAGGTTAATTGGGTCACCCCGGGTGTAGGGCTTGATATTGGGACTACATGCATCTTGTCGCGGCATCTTGACTTAGCGTCAGGTGTAGCACAACTAATGACATGCTCTGGAGCAGAATTAACTATAAGTTGCATTTAATATTAGCAAGATCATGCAGCTCCCTTCAATACTGTTGCTAGCCTAGAAGCAGGCTGCCTCATGCATGGGAGCTCGGTGTTTGGCCCATTGCTTGATGGAGGACGGCATATCACGACTGACTACCTACCATTATAAACACTCATTTCAGAATAATATAGACTGTTATTGAACAAGATGGGGCCACATATCGAAACTCGCATATTGGTACAAGAGGACCAAACTTCAATCTAGATAGGCCAGTCTTCAAGTAATCCTAGGATCACCTCTCAACATGTAACACGTATCAAAGATGAAATCTATGTTACATCTAGGCGGAGGTCATTACCCGCGCTCTACTCATTACCTCTATTCAATAGGATAGGATGAGAGATCTTACTTGGAAAAAAACATGTCAACCTCGTCACTTTAAGGATAAGAACTATCTGTGCTAGAATAGAGTCTTTCACTTCCTGAAGACCTGTATCTCACAGCATTATTGGATGAGCGCGGGTTGAAGGGCACGCCCGTTCCAATACAAGACTTGAAATAAGGTGTTGCAATCATGTGTATGAATATGCAGTCAATGTTCAACCAGGCCGTATAATACCGCCATAACCCCTAAGAAGTAAAATTGGAAGTTTGGAGTGACTAGGTATTTATTAGACCTACAAAAGTTGCTCTGATAATATGTATTAAATGTGATTTAGTCTGGCTCAGATACTATTGCACTTCTTGCGCTCAACAGTCATGAAAACAGTCGATAACATTTAAATCACTCGTATATTATACTCAAAAGAACGGAAACTCCTTAATGATGATCTTTCACGAACTCTCAAGCTCTCAAGCTCTGAAGCTGGAAGCTCTTGGTGGGGAACAAGCGGCTACATGACTGGGGTTCACGCGACAACTGAGACTGAAATTTCACACATTGCTGCAGCTCAGCAATGGCAGAAATGATATCATAGTAACTGAGGTTCTCGCTCAGATACATGTACGTAGGAAGCGAAAAGGAATCGTCTTAGCGTCGTGACGAACATGGTAGAGCACGTCGATGTCCCCGGAGCTCCTGTAAAAAAAAAAAAAAAAAAATCTGGGCCTATGATTTCATGATGAATTCATAATCGCGCTGAGAACCGATGACGTCGACAGTAGTTCGAGAGAGCGGCGTGCTATATATTCCACGGATAGTGCGTTCCTCGGAAGGCTATATTTCAATTGCACGCATTATTCCCTGATTCTCTATCATTCAGTTCTCAACTCTTTGTGGTGGCCAAGGAAACAATCGCAGCAGCTACTTCAACGACATCGTAACACGCCATCAAAATGACACCATCAGCAGACGACTTCAGAAAGATTGCTGAGGAGGCTGAGCGGAACCTCAACACCTATGAAAGCAAGACCGGTGCTCACAGAACATCTCCTAACGATGACTCAGGCGTCGAAACTAGAGTTGAAAACCAGTTCCCCGGTAGTTCAGTCAGATACGGTGATGATCTGAGTACCAATGCTGGTTATAACAAGCGAATCCCTCCTGAAGAAGGTGGTGACTTAGATGCTCGCGGCCGGTCAGTTCTCACACCAGTTATCTAATCATTAACGAATCGCCTCTAATTTCAGACAGACAAACACGCGGTGAGCACTTTGAGGGTGTCGGAGGACCCGAGCACAAGTTCGAACAACAAATGAGGGATTACGGCGGCTACAACGAGCTCGACTCGACTAACAAGCGTCGCTATGACATTGGCTCAAACTCCGTTACTGACGACACAAGCGTTGCATACAGTGGAGAGGTCATGGCCGAAGGCAGGAGGGCTGCGCAATCCAATGTTCAAGGCACTGTACCTCGCAAGAACCAATACCCAGGCTCGGAGTATCATACCCCACGCGAGGCTGTTGGTGATATGTCGGCCGAGGGTTACGAAGCGCCTAGCAGCGTGACGGAGGCCTCGCGAGAAAGCGCGCGCTATAATGAATAGATGTCGCACGATGTATGTGAACTTGGTATGCGATATGTATCAATAACTAAAAGAATAACAATTGAAATGCACCATTGAAAGTTATCGCTAATCCACAATGTGAACCATTACTTGTACGAATGAGCTGATCCTAGAAAATGCGTGCACGAGTAGTGAACATCACCAACGGCCTTGCCCTTCATGTTTGCAAGTAATGACGATCTCGCAGACGAAACAGAAACGTTCGCAAACTCGGCGATGAATTGCCACAATAAGTCGAATTGCTCGCTAGACCGGCTTGTTTAGGGCAAAGGCGTTTATGGCCCAATCTAGCCTACGATGCAGAAAGGTCTCGGTCTTAGACTTGACTCAAATAACGATAGAAAAAGCTAAGATACAGGAGAGGTAATCCATGCCTCCATTCATATATCTAGTCTGGACGTGGTTCTAGAGAATAGGGCTGATTGCACGGCGGTGGGAGATATGACCATGGACTCATTGGCGAAGCCAGTGTTGCAGCATCTTGCGAACAATAGCTACTGACGACAACTCAGGACAAGTCCGAAGAGCAATACTATCACTGCATGCCTTCTCATTCTCGTACTTCAAATCCGATTCGGAACTCCCGAAGGACGTGCCGTACGTCGACTCGTAATAATCAGCCAGCTTAATAGTAGGCAGCTTCTCCTCTGCCGCAGAGCCCAGCTCCTCAGCGCGGAGACGCAGGCGTTTCAGCCACTCAGCAAGCTCCACTTCCTCAAAATCCAAACCTGCTTCGCGCAAAGCGGGCAAGAATACATCGTTCCACGAGAAGGCGTGAGAGGGCGTGATGTTATAGAACGCGGTCCCCGGCTCGAGCTTGGCGGCAAGCTGCAGGAGTGTCGCGGCAACAGTGTCCACGGGCATCCATTCACACCGCCCTTCGTACCCATACAGACGAGGGAGCGCCTCGACCTCCGTCGCGCTGCGCACTATTAAGGGCACGTGCTCCTCCTTGTTCCAGATGCCGTGCTCACTGTCCGCCGCTATCTGGCCAACTCGTAGAACGCCGACGGAAAGGCCGCTAGAGCCGGCACGCTCGCAGATACGCTCGCCGACTAATTTAGAGCGGCCGTAACCCGTGGCTGCCGCATGTTCAAGTGACTCAAGTCGAGCCTCAGGCACTTTCGCTGGCTTGGGCATGTTGAAAGCTGTTGATATACTACTAATGAAGACGATGCGGGCTGGAGAATACGTTTCTGAAGCGAGGCCTAGAAGATTTCGTAGCCCGGCGAGTTGCGGTTTGAAACTCTCCAGGGATATGTTGAAGTTTACCGGCCAGGCTGCATGGATGATCAAAGTTGCCGCTTTCCGGATTTCGTCATATTCTTCGGCGCGGAGATCTAACTGAGGAGCTCCAAAGTTGTTTGTCGATAGAGCTGCTAGCTTCTGGGACCGCTTACTGTCGCCCTTGGATAAGGCGAGCCCTCGCGCTTCTAAAGAATTTGATACTCGCCCTAGCGCATCGTCACCTCGTACCAGACAGTATACACGAGACACACTCGGATCATCTAAAAGCTGGCTGAGAACGTGGGCACCTAGGGCACCAGTTGCGCCAGTGAGGACCTTTTCATCATGTCAACCAACCATACACTATGGAGTTTAGCACTCATACTTACGACGACTTCGCCTTTTGGACTCTGAGCTGTGAAATCACTGAACTCTGAGATAAGCTCCTCCATCTTCTCGATCTCGCTCTTTCCCGTCGTTGAGTGGCCATTTTCAAGCTGGTCTCCTGTACGCATTGAATACAACCTCGCTGCTAGATTCGCGACGTTGCCAGCGTCGTAGACGACATTGGTGGGAAGAGAATGACCGTCTAGATCTAGCTCTTGCTGCAACAGCCTTCGCACCTGTGCGGCTCGCAGACTATCAACACCAGCGGCGAAAAAGTCGGTTGCATAATCAGGCACCTGGATGCCTACCCGGTCACGAACAACCTGGAACACATATTCTTCTAGTTCCCCAATATTCAATTTCTTGAGAACGCCGTTTGTTTGTACGTGTTTGTTATATAGCTTCTCAATCACATCCTCGAACTTGCTATTAGATGCCGCGCGAATAATATTGTTCTTGTCCGTTGCTGGATACTCGACATCTGCTGCTAACACTGTGATCATATCACGCGTGATGCGCGCATATTCGTCCATAACCTTGTTAGCAGGCTCGATCAGTGGCCATATTGCATCGATAACCTCGTCGTCAGATAAGTCGGCAGCGGCAGTAGAGCGAAACAGAACTAAGCCGGGCATGAGGCGATCATTGCCTACCATCAGACCATCTCGTACCAAGGGACTCTCGCGAACTGCGCCTTCCATGCCTACTGGCAAAATTTTCTCGCCACTCAGCAGAGTGATCCTGTCATCGTCACGAGCTATGTACTTCCAGGCATTCTCGATTGTCGGATGGGGCGTGTAAAGATCTTTGGAGTGAAACGAGCCCGGAGGGTCATTGGAATTGCTCGTTGAAGGCATCAATGCTGGGTGTGATTTCAAATATACGGCTTCATAGATGCCCTCACCGACCTTCTTGAAGAACATGTGCGGGCGCAGATTCGCGTATGGCCGAATATAGACCCACGAGTCGTCGCCCGGCTCTCGGTATATGGAGTCTCCCATATGACCAACTTCAGTCCTGCAGCACTTATTAGCTGATATAACATGAAACAGGCGAGGACACGAACAGCCCAAGTATCACACCCAGATTCACCCCCTGTTGAACCACTCGATCACCCAGCTCGTCCGGAGTTCGCGCTCCAGCGGATGTCACGAATTTGCAGCGTTTCAACACCTCAATGCCATCCTGCCTCTCTGCCATAAGCTTCAGAACATAAGGGACCGTGTGGCAGATCTCGGGCTGGATTTCTTTCAGGGCCGCAACAAGATGCTCGCTGGTCAAAGGTAGGCTCGCGTTATAGAGGTGCGCCGTTTTTCGCATATACATGGCCTGGAACGACGTAAAAACGCCGTGTAAATGATACCATGGTAAGGCATTGAAGGCCTTGCACCCAGTACCGAAGTAAATGTTATTCAACACGCTACGGTGGGAGAGTGATAGCGGTTTCGGGAGACCTGTTGAGCCTGAAGAGTGGCCGAACAGCGCCAGTTCGGCGTGTTCAGCCTCCATGTCTTGTATGGGCCGTACCACGGGCTCAGAGGGCCCATCAGGGTTGTCAAACTCAGCTCTTGTCGGGATGGGGATGAAATTGAGATGCGAGCGTGCTTTTTTAAGCCCCTCTATTGTTGCATTGATGCGGGCAGTCGACCCGACAAGCAAGGTGTCGCACTCCGTCCGGTCCATGAGGTTAAGACAAGCCAGCTCGCTGAGGCGGATAGAAACGGTCAAGGCCCTACAGCCTAGTCGCCACACGGCGAATAGTGCAACCACGAACGACAGATCCGAAGGAGCGAATAGTCCAACGGTCTTACGAGAGTTCATCTCGAGTCCGGCCTTCATCAATACCCGACATGCCTCGTCCACCATACGATCAAGATCTTTTCCCGTGAAGAGCTCATAGTCAGTTGGTTTGTCCTTGTACCTGGGATAACCCAGGATGGGAACTTGGTGCTCGTCTTTTGCACGCTCACGGATAAGGTCATCGATCATCAACGGCCTGCCATACTGACGGATACGTTCTTCAACAACTTCGGCTGAGATATTTGCCATTGCGGTTATTCTCGCTCAGGAATGAATACAAGATACGCCTCCGAGTTTGTTTATCTTTGCGAGTGCTTGAGGGGGTTTGGTTATCTTCAGAGAGTTTGATTACGTTGACCCCTAGCATATAACAGTTAGTGTTTGCTTATAAAGCTTATAATATTATTTATTTGGTTGGGCTACTGCTTGCGGGTAGCACTAGTGAGCAATCATTTATTCAATATGCTGCGGATTGAAACAACAACAACAAGATGGAGGCAGACGACCACTACTTACAATGTTGTCTCGACTGCGGGAGGCAGCCGCTGGGATTTCGGGGACGTGTCAATCTTGGTATATTGACAGAAATAGGACTTATGAGAGATTGCAGTGAAACTACTGTAGGTGTATACCTATATGGTATCATTTCTCTCCCCAGTGCTCAGCATAAGTAATACCAGGATCCCATAGCCTTTGACAGCTCCCGCCCCCAAGACAGTAGCGAGATGCGCCTCTTTCTATGCTCTCCGTCGTCGCTCGCCTTTCTCCTCTTGGCCCCTCGTCTCTACGTCAAGTCAGCTTCGAGATCCTCATGTGTCATTTCTCCCCCAGTGCTGTATATAGTCTGCAGCGAAGCTAGCACAGTTGCGAGGAAATGAATACACTAAGTAGGCTTTGATTTCACGTGTATTACAGTAATCTGTATATGGTTATTGCTACTCAAAGACAAGGCAGTTACTTTTCGATAGACAGACGTTGAGTGTAAGTAGGTAGTCGAGGTAGTGTAGCATACATACTAAAGTGGTTTGAAGGATCTTGGGGAACTCTATAGGTTGCCTATTATAGGATAGGTGCTGTAACTCGGCTCCAAATTTAGTTTCTGATAGGTCGACAAGGGGTTACGATCCACGTAAAACGAAGCAGGCCAGGTACAGAACTCGACATAGTGTATTTTGTGCAGAGGGCCCATCCGATCATATCTTTTGGTCGACACTATACTGATAAACCCTCCGAAACACTCCACAACAACGGGCCTAATGAACGACAGAAAATGCCCATACGCATTCAATGTGTATCTACAGTACGATACTGTCGGCCAGCGTAAAGCAGGGCAGGGACTGCAGTTCGTGATGTGTAGGGAATGGTCGGATGGTCGTGCATGAAGCCGGAGCCCGCGAGGGAATTTGAACCTGGCTCAGTAGCCTGAAATACCCGGATGTTACCACCATATCTGCACGGGTACCCTACAGTACATCAGCGCCCTCCTATATACTACACTACACTACGGTAGAAAACAAAGACCTTCGGTTCGGGGCTTCAGCAGAGATCCATGGCATACCTCCCCCTACAAGTAGACAATGAAATGCTATGAGCAATCCCTGCAACAGGCCTGCAACAGGAATGCAAACGTGGGCTGATTTTCGGTGGTCAGCAGTGAAGTCATCAGTACTTCATGTCGTATAAAGAACACATATATAATGATAGTATGGCGTCCGCGATTAATATCATGTGTCTACACACGTCGCGCTCCTTATTACAAGTATATGGGCTGGTTCGGGGACTCAAGAGTTGGAGTTGGCTAGGCTGTGATTTGGGTAGGGTAACGTAAGAACAAAGAAGACGGAAGCAAGCAATATGGAGAAACGAGAAGGAGGAATGTGCTGCAGTGTACTGTACTGTAGGAAGGATGGAGGACGCACGACAAACCACCGCTCGCTGCGGCCGAGGTGGTATTCGGGGATCCCTCATATTCAGTATACCTACTCAACACTGCATGTAGGTACATAGAAGAATGGTAATAAACATGCCAAGTCAAGGGGCAGATGAATAAAACGGACCAGCAAGGAATTCCTTCTGCAACCTAGACTGCGTCTGTCTCGTAGAATAACCACTTAAATCGAAACGTTGGAAAGCTTGTTTGCACCCACCCACCTATCTGTAAACCATTGGAGCGCGGCTGAGGCCAGAATTGTCTAGTTGAACATACTACAGTAAGTACATGTATGGCGAAACTTGTGCAATAAAGTGAGTTTAGGCAGAACGCCAACCGACTGAATTGACTGATACATTACATTGAGGCCCCACGTCGTTAGCAGATCTTCATGAGCGGTTTTAGTTCGTTGCCCCTTGTAGGGAGTTGTCAGATCGCAGCATTCGCTAGCCTACAGTAGGTACATGATAGTAGATTGTTGGGGTTCACAGAAACTGGGCGGCTAATGATCTGTCGTTTCATTGCAGCTTTACTGATGTGAGTAAATGGAATCGGTGAATACTAACGCCATCCCACACAAATTTTACATGTGTGTAAGTAATCCCGCAAACCATCGAACGAGCCTAGGGAGGATTTTGTGGCAAAAAGATCATACTATGGTATTACAACCTCCAAACCATGCTGAAACAAGGCCACTATTCTCTGCATTATCACCATTGAATGCATTCAGGCCCCTGACGCTCGGTTGAGTAGAGAGAACCTCTGAAGCCAGCTACACTGTCCCATCGATACGAATCTGCAGTACCCTAAGGCAGATGCTTACTGACGTGAGGCATCAAATTTGTCGTGCTGTGTTGGTGAAGGGCCAAAGTTAAGTTGCAGAATCGTAATTCAAGAAAATCATGATGTATAAATTAGTTAGTTATATATTACTTCCATGTATAACGTACAATCCATCTCAAATTATTGCTTAATCCATATATTATCCACTTTGGCGTCCATAATATTGGCTAATGGGACCTTGTAGATGTACACGGTTGTTTGATGTTGTGACTTGACAGTAATGATTTGTTGTTCCGTCAGTCGAAGATTCGGGGTCAGAGTTGATTGATACGTTGAAATCCTTTTGAACAACTATGTCAGAGTTTGCTACCGGCTCAATTCTGTCAACACTTTGCGAATCAGACCGAGGGTTCGTATTTGACAAAGCAACGGCATTAGAAGTGCCCTGCAGAGTCAATATTTCAGTGCTCGAATTGTCGTGATCATTTTCGCGGTTTCTGCTTGGAAGTTTAACATGGCCCGATCGTGCTCCTCCCTTTGACGAAAGCTTGTAATTTTGTGCTGCTCCTGACCCATCTCGACTATCATATCCAATCCATTTGAAAAGCAGTGGGCGAACGGCAGGGAGATTGGCGCATATGAATCCTACTTCGACCTCGACAGTGCTCCAGAGACCGCCTCCAACGTTCGTAAAGCTGAAGTCGTTTGGATCTATCTGCGTGACTGCGACGATTCGGAAGATACTGGCAATGACCACACTATTTCAATAGTACGTGAGTCTTGATTGAAAAGCAAGGGTTCAGGGGTTGGACTTACAAAGCGCCAAGTAAAAATAAAAAGCTCAGAGACCATTTCCTCCCCCTAGATGCCTGTAGTCCCCATATTATCGGAAGTGGCAGACTGAGCACCGCAATATCCCCAAAGACATTAATGATGGCAGAAGCCAAGTAGAAAGCATTCTGGTTGATACAGCTGCCCTTGGTATCCGGCAACCAGAACTTTTGTACCGGATAGCATTGAAAGGTAAAAGTGAAGAAATTAGAGAGAAAGATTCCAGTAGAGATAAAGGTAACTATCATAGCACCCATCCGAAAACTGGCAGTCCTCTGAAATACTCGCCAATAGAAAAGGAGGATGCCAATCTTGACTGAGAAGACCCCGGTGGCCCATATCAACATGTACACCCAAAGAAGCTGGACACCATAGTTAGTAGGTGGTAGCGTCCAAGGCGGCATCATCATAGACGAACCCTGATAAAAATGACGACGGTAGAAGCCGGTAGATCGGCTTGGTGAACACCAGAACCATATACCAACCCGAGAAAGTCGAATGTCGATGCAGCTATACAAACTGACATCACCCAAAACATCCTAGAGATCGAATAGTCAGTACAGCCTCAATGTCCGTTTTATTCGACATGGCAGTTTGTACCAATAATCATCCCACCATAGTCGCGCGCCCGTCGCGAACCGCGCCCAGATTCGCAATACGAATGATACCGTGGAAAGAATAAGCAGAGATATAACGACGCCAAGCGTCAACTGAATATTATGCTCCTCTGCTGAGGACCTCATCTTGTCGTTCTAGTCGATGCCGAATTGGCCAGAATATCGGCTAACTATTGTCTAGGCGAATGCGAATGGGCGAGTGATCGACGGGGACTGTAGGAGAAGTCCTGACTCCCTTTTGACTTCAGAGTCGAGAACTTTTACATCCGAACATCAACTGATATACATAAAAATGGCATATATGCTTGGATAGGAGTCTGTGGCAGAGATGTCAATAAACTAATGAGTATCTACGGCAATAAGCAGTCTAGACAAAGGCGGACACATAATACGACAGTAGTTTTTGGGGGTACCATGGCTTACCGGGGTCGACTCCTTCTCAGTAACCTTTGCACAGCTGAGCGATGCGTCGGATGCGGTCCGTGTAGAGAATCCCTGATGATCTATAACGCTGCAGGATAGGAAACGACCAATTACATGATAGCTGTGCATATAGTAAAAAGGTGATAATGTACGACAGGCAGTCGACACATCTCACACTAGACTAGGAAGTGATATTCCAAAAAGCGTGGGTGAAGGCGAATCTTCAACCCCCTAATCCGGCGTCCACCTTGCTGGGAGATGCAACAGATTATTACCGAATCTTGACTACAATACCGTAGAACCATATCGCCAGCCCCCAGAAATGACCACTCTGGGTCTAACCCTGCTCATCGTTGGGATTAGTCGTTACATATTGAAGATATCATATAGTTGCTAATTAGTTATTTGCGATAAAGGTGACGACGTATAACGACCGAAAACCAGAAGGATTCCATTTTGGATCATCAAGAGAACAAACCATACCTAGCTACATAATTAGTCACACACTACCTCAGCCCACAAAGCCGTAATACGTCTTATGAGGGCAGCCATAGTCCGCCATTGGAAACGAAAGATTATCGGCGCCCTCAGGCAAACATTACATGTGTTATCTAGCACGACCTCTACCTCTACCCACCCATAGGGCGTCGCATGGTCCACAACAGGTAGGGTGCAAAGTGGTGTGCCAACCCATGTTGAGGCTAGGATTGTGAACCCTTTGAGGCCCACAGAGGAAGGACCCCTTGCTGTCTCCAATATCGACGCGACCTGTCAAGCTCCTACATAAGTACCTAGTAGCCCTGGCTTCGCAACTGCCGGGGTGGGCCGCTCACACATGGGCATCATACGTAGCATGCATACTCAGAAGGCCTGTACAGACTAAACTGCAGCAGTCATCCTTCTGCCACTGCTGCTTGCTCGCTTTCCTAATTTCAACGATGGTTGTGTGGTTCTTTGTTACCTTATGTAAGGTCATGGAATCCTACAGAGCGAGGTTACATGTCCGAATGAGGACGGCATACTATTGGAAATTTCCTTTCAGCAAGTCTCTGCGTCAGACGATAGGATTCCCAGCCGACACAATGATCAATTCTGATTCGCAACACTTGCCTGGAGGCATTTATTTGTATGGTAACGAATGAGAACAAAACCAGCTGTTTGCTTCTTCCCAATGGTAGATGAGACAGGGCGAATCACAAACAATCCGCACTAGTGCGTGAATGAGACAGTGTCGGAAAGTAAGCCCAGGCTTATTATAGTCGAGTGTGGGCAAATTTGCAAAAGTTGTAAGGGGCAAAAGACCTGGGAAATGACAGTGATAGATTAGGATGTCTCATGCGCATTGATATTTACGTAGATGTAGGCCAATAATTTCTGCTGTTATCCGGAAGTGAACATCTCAAAGAGTCTATATATGGTTGCTATTGAATCTAATCTTGCGCACTGAGTGCTAACGAAAAGTGCAAAAGTATAAAAATAATACCAATCTCTAGATTCCGGGATCTAAATCATAGTTTCTGGCATGCGATACCGTGAAATGACTTCTCGAGCTTGCTGTGCTTGGATTTGATATATTTGCGTAATTAAGATGGAGATCCAATGATGAATACCTCATTCTAAAACTTAGAGTCATATCAAAGTCAATTAAAACTTTGTAGAGCGAACTCTATCTCGGTATTTTGAATACAACGACGATGTGGTTTCGATTTGAGGTCGTGTACGGTTTCTTCTATGTATTCAAAGCCCCACCTCCTGGAATAGAAATTCAGCTCACCCTTTCACACCAACACTGGAAATTTGACAAGTGCATAGACGAATAACGTATACAGGCATCTAGCGCAATCCAATCAACTGACTCTATCAGGCGTAGATAATTGCCAGGATCAAAAATTTTGAGTTCTCACCTTTCCTTCATTTCTGAGCGTTTCTTCTTTGCGGGTATGACATCCTAGCTTGGTAATCTGCTACATCCTTACTTGGGTAGATAGGGAGGTGTTAATGATGCTGAATCTCTTTATGAGTTGTATAAATGGCGCGTGGCTTATTTGGCGCGCTGTTATACGCGTAGTTACAAGCTGAACCTGCAGTTCGACTTGCGCTTTGGCGGTGCAAAGGCCAAGACAAGGTATTCATAATCTTCGGAAACACGCAGGCAATATTGGAAATGAGGTCATACAGATTTCGCTTCATAAAACAAATCAATAAAACCTAGGCGGTCAGGGCTGGCTGACCAGTTGTATATTAAGTCAAGTCACGTCACCAAAGTCAAGAAGGAACTAGTTAGTTAAGGACTTTTGCAGCCCTGGTTGATCATTGTATTCTGAATATTATCAAATTCCAAGCCCATTCATCTAGCCTTATTATACGCGCGGTAGCAAGAAAGCACGAGCTCATAAACTCTCTAATTCGATGTTCGGTCTATGTAATTTGGAAGAAGTCTACTCATATATGGGACTTGATGGGAAAATCCGTCTCACCCTCGTCTAGATTGTTCTAACAACGCTTCGTATACCCCATCACGGAACATTTAGAGGTTCCCATTCACCTGCTAACACTGGGAGCCACGATACCAAGTATAAGGTGGTGTAAATGACTCTTGTTGTTGCGCGAACCCTACACGTAACTATCCTGTCCACTACTGATACTTTACACAGAGTGCCTTCGTTGTCCATTCCCTTTGACGCTGTGGGATTTAGAGTAGTGAGAGAAAATCCTCCTAAACTCATGTCTACACTCTAGCAATGTAATCACGATGGTATACTCTTTGCTCGTACCTACCACTCTTCGCAAGCAGAGGAGTTCCTAAAAGTGCATTTTTGTAATACAGCCTAATAGACTAATTTTGACACGTTTTGACCTGAATGTAGACTCTATAAGATGCTTCGTTACTCAGCGAGCTTACCCTCATCTTAGAACTACATATATGAAATTAAGCTTCTGGTATCAACTTCTGGCATGCTCTAAGTCAGACTTTACGAGGGACGCACGAGAGGATGTTACTCGGAAAAACTGATCTGCTTGGCATCCTTTTGACGGGTGGCAGAGCATCAACGTGGCTACGAATGGCCCACCTATAAAGGGTCTTGGATCGACTATGAGTGTGAACAGTTGATTTCAAGGAGCTATCCTGCCGGGGATCACTGAACGTTGTCAGCCGGCGTCAGATATATTATATCCTGACACAAACAGTACCGTAATAAAACATATGAACAAGTTATTGGAGTCGCTAACTCCGTAAACCCCATAGCGTCTCCAGCAACTCAACTCAGCCCCATCACCAAACCCCCAAATGGAAAACAATACAAGTGGAGTCGTGGCTTCAACTACTGCTGCTTGCGCACTCGGAAACAACAGCAAGTCAAAGTTTGAGCAGCGATGTGGAGTTCTCTTGATTCTATCGACGGAATGGGGAAGGCTAGATTTGGTACGTGGCTTCTGACCAACGACCATAAAAGCTCGTCTATCCCGCGCGACTGTATTGCCTTTGCTCTTTCAATTCCTCATCATCACTCAACGCATATTACACCTCCCAATACCCAGAAACGATGGCTACTCCAACGACAACGAAGAAGCTTACCTGGTTGATAACTGGGTGTTCTTCTGGCTTAGGCCTAACCCTCGTACGCATCGCCCAGGCTGGGGGCCACAAAGTCATTGCTACTTCTCGGAATCCTTCAGCAACCCCAGAGCTTGTGAAAGAGGTTGAATCCAAAGGTGGGAGATGGCTTCAGCTCGACGTCAATAATGCGTCGAGTGGTTCTATCATCGACGAGCTGGAGAGGGCTGGAGAGCAGATTGATGTGTTGATCAACAACGCTGGTTTCTCCATGTTTGCGCCGATAGAGGCTACTTCTGAAGACGAGATCCGCGCCCATATGGAAACAATGTACTTCGGTCCATTGCGCCTCATTCGCGCTGTACTCCCCTATCAGCGTCTGCGAAGATCTGGTGTAATTGCCAACTTCAGCAGCGGTGCTGCCTTGGAAGCCCAGGCGAGTATGGGGGCCTATGCCGGCGCAAAAGGCGGCCTCGACGGTAAGTAGACATTTACACCTGTTCCATGATGCCGAAATCAGTGCCGTTTCTCGCTTAGTTTTCACTGCTAACCGGACTTATTGACTATCAGCTGTGAGCAAAGTTCTCGCCAAAGAGGTTGAGCCTTTTGGGATTCGCGTGCTCACAATTCTGCTGGGAACGTTCAACACCGGCATGCTTGACGTATGTATTCTTGGCAAGGCCCCATTGCCGGATGAGTATAAGGATACTCTCGTCGGTCAGTTCATTGATATTATGAGGACTGGCAAGCTTGTTCCCAACGGGGATAAAGATAAAGCTATGAAGGCAGTCTACCAACTTGTTGTTGGAGAAGGTTTTGGTGTTGGAAAGGAGAAGGAGAAGTTTATGCCCCTCGGCCCCGACATGACGACTCGGATGACTATTGTCCAGGATCAGCTTGCCCATGCTAAAGAAGTGTTTGGAGAGATCACCAATGGTGTCGGCATCGAAAAATAGAGCCAAAACAAGGCAAAGGAAACCAGCAAACAGAAGGAGAGTCCTAGATTGTACAAGGCCCAATAGGCGTAAATGGCCCAGGTCATCTCCTAATCCGGAGAAAGAGAAAGGCTGGGACGCTTGAGAGCCTTAGATACCTATTAGTTAGATGAAAACTAAACTACAAGCCCTCTACTTCATATAGAAGAGCTCTCATCGCATATCAGCCATTGCTTCAATCCACTCACCCATTCAATACGATTCCCATGATTATATGAATATGAATGGCATATTTGGTTTCTCCTATCTTACACCTTCTATCATACTAATAGTTTCATGCAATCAGGTTCAACCCGTGGCTGGAAAATCTGAGGCGTCTGTGCTGACATATCTCTAGTGAAATGGGCTTGGCGTCTAGTACCTACTACCCCTTTCAGTGACTCTGAGGTACTTCAGCGAACAATAGAATGGAATTATTTATAGAGTAAAGAGTCAAAAGTATTTTCTAAGTATAGAGTCTAGTTCTGCCTTATTCAGTAGTGGGTGACAGAGTTGACTGGGCCGAGCACTCGCCAAACACCATGACAGAAGACAAGAATCATAACCTTCCTAGGAATGGGAGAGAATAGGGGCTCCCTGAAAGGAAATCTACGCCAAAAGTATATGCAGGATCTGGGATGCAGAGGGCATCTAGAGATGGCAGACCAGGCAAAAAGGACGATGGGAGGACGGAAGCAGGCTGCACTCTGCTATTTAGGACCGTTGTGCTGCAAGCCTATGATGAATCGAGGGACTGATGCAGGTTATAAAATTTGTAGTATACTAATAATAGCTTACTAACTAATAACCTATGCTAGGAGTCTATCGACGCACATGATAATATTAGTAACTTTGAATAATAACTCAAGGCTTCTTCTCAGGCCAGTGCTCTTTGGGTAAGTAGGATATGAGCATGGTTTCTATCAATGAATCCAACAATTATTCTACGAACTGGCCCCTCCCTAAAGACAAAACCTTGATGTTACGGATAATTTGTGGTAGGCATTATGATCACTTACACTTCCTGATATCATGATAACAAGTAACTGGCTTGTAGATCGAGATTAAAATGTATTTAGTGGAATATATTGACTAGAAGACGCGGGCACACGAGTGCTGTGACTATTGCAATTAGTTGAACATGGTCGAGGCGATTTACAAATCATTAGCTCGTGATTTAGGGATACCTAAAACGGTGGAGATAATGCCGAGCGTTCGTACTCAAATAGCTTGAGACAGTGGATGCGAAGTTCGATTAACTGCTGAATTCTCGGGCATGCTGTCGCTCGTCGGTGGCCAAAATTGACGTTCTAGTGTAATCAACGGAGTGTTTGAATTCATGAAGAGTTATTAGGATCGGTTAGGCTGGCAGCTATTCTTGTTCTTCGTCTGCCACTCGTCCGTGTTAGGATCGAGAAAGAATATCTCAGATTACATAGATAGATAGAGGGCCCCAAGTGTGTCCAAAGGTCGACTGTGAATTTGTCTGTTCATGCCGAAAGGATGAGTGTGGCGAGCAAATCTCTCCAAGCATCGCTGTTTCCGTAGAATCCCGTAAACTCAGGATTTACTCAGGATTAGGTTCCAACATATATATTTTTCGAAGGCCAGCCAGCTCATTCAAAAGTCGGAGTCGGGATGTGCTGGAATCCGTCCATACCGGCGCCCGGGTTGGAGAATGGTTCCATGGGCTGTTCAAGTATGTAAGCAGGGCGGAGATAGTGAGGCACGCTTCACTGCAAGCATTTCCAGGTCGGCGTAATTAATGGTCACCCCAGACTAATACCTTAATTCCTTACATCTTCCGCGTACACCACTGTTCCTACGTGTACGTCCCGTCACGAGATACGCAAGCCATCTTACTTAGTGCCGCCGAGTTTCTCACTGCTAGTGGACGACAAAGTAAGTAAGTAACTAGGGTATACTAACATACGTGAGGTGCACAGTAGTGTAGGACTCGGTCGACAAGCGAGCGGCCACCAGAAATAGACACTGGAGGTAGATAGATGCGAGATACGTTTAAGCTTACTTGGACAAGTGGAGGTTGGCGCCACTAGGATGGCCTCAGACGAGTGAGATTGATCAAATTGACAAATACACACAGGAGGCCATGGGTGACGACGGTACATCAATTGCGGTATGAGGCATAGTGTAGTGGTGTGCACGCGGACTGCGTGTGTGCTGAAGCTGTGCGGTACCGACGGTGCATGGCAGTGTCGCGATCCGCGGGCAGAGTTGCCTATCTGAGCCGGACGCTTTCCCAGGTTGAATGGCTGGTCCAGGGCTTACTGTTGCACATTCCGACATGCTTCTGTAGCAGACTGTATATGCCTGCTGTATATGTAAGTATATGCAAGCGAGATTCGGGCGTCTCTTTAAGCTTTTCTCGTGGGTGTCCTGGATGGCTTGTCAATGCGATCGATCTCATCCCTCACGCTGCCTCCGCCAAGGGCAGCTTGAGGGTTCGCCCAGCCGGCTTCCCCCAGCGACAAGACGGGAACAAGACTTTTGGCTTGACGGCGGCGCTGGGCCAGAGGCGGGACAAGACGTCAAGGCTTGCTTGTCGTAAGCCTGCCCGCCTTGGCCTCAAGCTTAGCAGGCGGGTTCGGCGCCAGGGACTGTATTACGCTGCTTGGCCCCTTGGCAGACGCTCTGTTCTTGAAACCGCCCCGGTCCTTTGCCCTGCCAAGCTCCGACCTGCAGCAGCATTTACTGTAGTCTGTAGATAGCGCGCACGCTAGTCCGGGAGGTAGACGCCAAGTTTACGGGGAAATGTGTACGATCCCCTGGGGGCGCCTGGGATATCGTTCAGTATTCATCCACCTGGCTCGCCTGGCTCACCTTGCCCAGCTGTGCTGTGTCGCAACGTGGATGTGGCCCTGACATGGACGACTTGGATAGAGATGACCTGAGAGTATAGTGGCGAGGTGGATCGAAGCATGTAATACGAGATCAAGAGATCGGGAGAGTGAAAGAGCCGAAGAGGAGCTGAGTCTCCCATGAACTCGTACTACCTAGGCATGTGCTTTAAAATATTGACAAGGGTCAGCTTAATACGTTTTCTTACAACCGTTTCTACATTATATCCAAGTAGTGTGTCCAGTATTGTGCGCTAGGTAACGCCGTAGACCCGGCTTTGCCTCCTCAACCCTTTCAACCCTTCTTTCTACATACTTAGTAGTGTACTATAGTCTTAGAGAACCCTCATAAACTACAAGTGGTTAAAGACAAGACCCATACTACTACGACTACTACTAAGCAAGCAAGTAAGTGCTATACTTAAGTAAGGTACCGTACTTAGATGTGTACGTTCAAGGATTTGATTGCTTCATCTCTCTGACATCCTTGCAGGACACCCAAGTCGTTTAAGAAAAAAGTGCTGATGTGCGACTATCTCCCACACTACCTACCGCAGTGTGTGCTCACTAGTGTTACTATCTATACTACCACCTACATGCCAGGTAGGTAGGACACGCCGATTATGCATTAGGCATCTCATCTCAGGGTAGACAAGACTCTGCCTATGTACAGTAGGTAGGTATCTGCACTCCATCCTCCCGAATCCAGAAATGCTCTCCGTACCGACACATGGCTGCTGTCAGCATACCGTAGGCACAGAACATGTACGTGCTTCATACCTAGTCACACGTGGCGGTTAGGACGGAGTAGATGTACTGCAAAGAACGTGAGTATCATCTGCGTTGACTGCCACATAAATCGTGTAGGATATTCTTCTTACCCATCTTATCTGTCCATCTATGGATGGCCGACATGTGAAGTGAAGCATGTACACAGCACTACCGTACTGTAACGACCAACAAGTAGGCAAGGATCGTTTACCTCAGCATCATCATGTCATTTCGTCAACTCCTACTGGCCCTCATCCTGCTCCACGTATCGCACGCCCAGACCTTAGCTGGTCTGGTCACCCCCGGAATCCAGTCAGAGAGAGGCTAGACCTTCTCGAGATTACTGTCAAATCCTTTTATGAGCATCCAAGGATTACTATGGACCTTTGACCCTCGCACATGGGCTGTGACATGTTTAGAAGCTGGGCGAGCTGAGAAGTCTTGGCCTATCACTGTTGCTAGCCCGTGCCCATGTTCGCTCGACCTTCGAGACGATCTTGATCCGTGATTAAATACCAAACGTCCTGCCCCTCTCGAAACGTCTTACCTCTAGTCTCACTCATCAACTTAAGCCGCCAGCTCTCCGGAAACCGACTTCGTCGTCGCAGAGTCATCTCTTTCTTCGTTTCGCGCCCGTAGCAGTATTGTCGCCCTTACATCTTTCTCTTTTTCATTTTCGACAGCTACTTGGGATTCTTCTTCATATCTTATAATCAGTAAATAAAGAAAAGAAAAATGGCTTCCCAGCAAGTTTTCACCGACCGCGACCTCGAGAAGCATAGCTCCTCGAGCATCGCCCCTGTCCAGGCTCACGGTCATGGCAAGTCAAAGCTCGCCAGTGCCAACCCTTTGGGTCTCCTTGCCTTCGGCCAAGCTCTGTACTTCCTTTCCCTTTTCGAGTTCGCTCCCCGTGGCGTCACAACCACCAACATCGTCGTTGGTAACATGATTTGGATGGGTGGTATCGCTCAGTTCATCGCTGGTGTCATTGACTTCTGCGCTGGCAACGCTGTATGTGTAACCTCCTAGACTCCACACGGGAGTTCAACAACTTGAGAGACATGACTAACATCTTGATCAGTTTGGTGCTACTGTCTTCTGTGCTTACGGTGCTTTCAACTTGGCCTACTCTACCATCTTCATCCCCGGCTCCGGTATTCTTGCTGCCTACAGTGACTCGAACGGCATTCCTCGTGAAGACTTTTCGCAAGCTGTCGCCCTCTTTGTCTGGTCATGGTTCATTATCACTGTCATCTTCACGATCGGTGCTTGCCAGGCCAACTGGGTCTTGTTTGGCCTGCTTTGCACTGCTGATATCACCCTCATCCTACTTGCTGCCGGACACATGACTCTCAAGGAGGAGCTCCTCAAGGCTTCCGGTGTCTTCGGTCTTATCGCTGCTGCTATTTCCTGTAAGTCTAACTCAATACACGTGACATATGACCACATCACTAATATATTCTATTAGTCTACGCTGCTGCCGCGTACCTATACGTCGACGGTGTCACACCTTTCACGCTACCTCTCTTCCCCATTCGCAAGGACCGCATTGTCTAAGCTGGGATGGTGTTTACACTAGATCAGACGCAATTCTGATGAAATGAGATACCCTAGGACTGCTACCTGTTCCATTACTCACTCACAATTTTCGCGAGCGGAGGATGCCGTATTTTTTCTGCATCTGAGATGATCTTGTAGACTGTATATAGACGGCTTGGAGGGCTAGCGACAAGAGCATTGATTATTATATATAACTCGTGGTACCAGAGACCACAATCCAGCATTATTATTAACTTTTGTAAACAAAACTGTCTACTTGTTTTCGCTTGTTCTATGTAATTTACTTTGAATTTACTTTAATATTCGTGCTACACATGACTCCTGGAACAGGTTATGAATGGGTAGCTTCTCTGCAACCCTCTGCGCTCGGTTGTGTATAGGTATCAGACTGACACCGAGCCTGGCGACTTGTCTCTGATACTGCTGGGATGTTTCTTACTGTTTGTGGAGCCGGAATGCTTGCTGTTGGGAAGGGGCTGCGAAACTGGTTACTAACTGCATATGGTTACGTTGGCCATACCGCGTCTTATCCCATATCTTACTTGATCGAATTATGACGTTCGAAGTGGGTATGGCGATTGACTGGTATCGGAGCCGGCGTGAATCTAGTGTATCAAGAGTTCCCAACTACCTACGGCACAGCCGCTTCCCATGTACCTGTAAATGTATAGCGCTCTGCGTACCTACATGGCGTAATGATCGCGGTTCATTCCCAAGGAATTCTTACGCGCGGCAGAGTGGGCCGAATAAGACACCACACACCTCCATTTATCACCTAGGTAAGTTCTAATTACCAGTCAAATAAGATACCGCGGCTCCATTATACATTAAGCCCTGAAATACATTCCCGATAGATGTAGTATTTATCTTTTCCCCATTTTATTAGAGTATGTCATGGCTGAGTGAAATGATGAATGATATGTGTGTGTCGTTTTTTCCTCGATCCACTTGGCGCGCGGAAAGCAAGTACCTAGTCTACTATTGACGGCTCAAGGTATATAACTAACTCATCATAATGTCTGAATGAGTGTTGGCGAATTGAATACTCATAAACGACCCTGGGGCTTATGTGTATATGATCAGGTCTATATCAATTTAATTTTTATGTTCAATAATTGTAACTCTTTACGTGTGTACCATACACTTCTCTCTTCTCACGCCTACCTCTAACACGCTCCACTACCTCATGGACTTTAGCGATTTGCGGTGCAATCCAGTTAAGGTTATTTAAGTCGGATACTTGTATCATCATAAGCACATGAGGTAACGGTTGAGCATAATGTAGGCGTTTTGTTTCTTGTTTGAGATGTTGCACTAGAAGTTCATACGCAGCAATTCACCTGCCTAAATTAGCAGTTGTGGGCTGAGGTGCATGCAAGTACACACCTGGGCACGCACATGGGTAAGTAAGCGACGGAATTAAACATGAGGATGACCCACGAAATCAATCGGCAACGAACCATGCCGCCCACAAGCCCCGAAGCTTAATTACGCAAAAGCCGATTGCTAAGAAATGCCAATATCTGGGCAGAGATCTGGGCATACGCACGCTTGTTGAAAGCAGAATAATGAATGGGCCCAAAAAATGTCCGGGTCGGATTCCTTCCGCATCATCTACCGGGAAATATGTTGACCTCTTTCTTTCTTTTCTTAGAGAAAATATGTGACGTGATGAAGACAAAAATGGGATAGGTAAGATAAGTTACAGATAGAACCGCTTCTAGCTCGCTTCCAGAAGACTCAGCTCCAGAGGTCGCATATTCAGCTGAGCGTGAGACAGGCTGTGGTTGGTTGGCTGTTATGGCCAGTCACGCCGCGGCCGTACATGTAGTTCGGTTTTCTGCGCACACAGCTGTCGCCGGTCACCCTCACAGCACACTAAATCGTGGAGGAAGAGACGAGCAGCAGATCAAAGGGACCGAAATAGACTTTTCGATACCGCTTCTCAGTATGCGCATGCATAACTAACTTCTTTTGGGCATGGGGGGTTGCTGTGGGACTCTATGCAAACCACCAAGGGAGGAGCCCTGTGACGATCTGTGGCCTAAGGTTAGTATGCTTTAGTGTGCGGTCGCCAAGTTATTTGTCAAGCAATGGAAGAACGTCTTGGCCTCTTTCTCGCCTCCTCTCACCTGGCGCGGAGAAAGACGTAGCGCGAACAGATGCCTCTGACAGCAAATCCTACCTCGCCTACTAACTCCATCGTCCTCTTACTAGTACTAGATTGCAGTACCTAGTGTGTAGAAAATCTCCGTGGCACCGTCGGCCTACCTATGATTCGTTGGGGACTTGAATAAGCTTAAACTGGGTGTGCTTACACTAATGTCGCACTATTGTTGGCCGTTATCTGGCCGTTACGGGGTACTTGGTAGACACTGCGCACACAAGAGGCACGCGAGGCACACGAGCACTTCCATCTCTTCGACATACTTACCTAAGTATGTACAGACTATGTACTTACTTACATCGGTATCTGTAAATCCAGCGAGGCGGTGCCGACTACTACCATGACTCCAACTCCATCCCCCCTCCCCCAACTTGGCTTGGTCTCGGTTGCGGGAAGGGAAAGTGTCCGTACCCTGTTGGCGGTGGCAAAAGAGTGGGAAGACGACCCCACGATCCACCGTAAATTACGCTGGCCGGACAGGCATTCCCTGTATATCACCGCAGCCACAATGCTTGTCTGCACACCGCACCACATCTTCATCAGCCTAGAGTACCTACCAACAGACTACCTACTACCTAACGTACGGGTCTATAAGTACGGGCAGATACGGGGTAGCGTAAAGCCACACGCTGCGAGCTATTCACGAGTCTGCACGAGGTACGAACCAAGCGAAAGGTCATGCTGTACCTACTTGCAGCATATAGATATCTTTGATCGCTACTCACTCTAACACGGACGTGTAATTGTAGATGAAGACAGCTACCGTATCTATTGGAATACCTGGAAGACCTGGCTTACACTGCACTACTAATACTTGGCAAGATACTCACTCTGTCAGGGTATTACGTGTACACATATGTAGTAGTACTGCGGCTGGGTTGCATTGACGAGGGACGAGGGACGAGGAGGGGTAATACGGTAGAGAAGCGAGAAGGTAGGCGAGAGGTACACTAAGTACACCACGATATCGCATGAGATAAAACAACAACCCTTGCTCTGGCCTCTACGAAGTATGTAAGTGATCTGATCAACCGAACTGCATCACCGTAGGTATCGTTGCCATTGCAACCCTATCTGCGCCCCATGCTTTGCCGGCGGCAAGAATGTCGGATTACGCTACAGCACAAAGGTGTAGCATTCGCGCTGTCTCCCACGTTACTCCCCGGGGATTGGTCGTGGTCATCGCGGGGTTTGCCGTGGTTGCGACGGCGTCGAACAGAGGCGGTGAAGATCATCTTCTGCAATGATAAGTGCCTACATCACACCACTGTAGGTTATTGGAGAGGTACCGGTAACGGTTCTGCAGACTTTCATGGCACCCAGTGGGCAGTGCTAGCTAACCGTTGAGTTGTGGCTGTTTTATGTCATGCAGGATGTTTTATGCATGTGGCTACGAAACACTGTGGCGGCATACCTTGGTCATATCGTTGATATTATCAAAATAAAATTGCTTATGTTGTATAGTGTTTTGAAGGAGATAGGAGCGAGGTGTTGATAAGCAGCAAACTGCTTGTTTGCTTTTTTCACATCTTGGTCGTAGTTACGACGAAAGTCACTATAGGGATTCAATGACAAGATAGGATATGGGTGTTTAGGCGTCAGAAACCAGCCTATGGTACGCATATATTCTCTTGTCTCATTGCTGTAAGCACAAAGTGCCGGGTCTACCGCGGGAGAGGCAATCTACGCAGTAATTCATCGCAATTTCCTAAACAAACGAATCTATCTTAGAGGCTGCCAGCCTCGACCTGTCTTGTAGGCTTTTACCATTTCCACTCATTCCCCTGCTTTCCACGCTCGTGAATTGTGCTATATTGCTTTCTATTCTATACAAGTTCATAACATGATCACAGTCTGTTGACAGAAATTACACTCTCACCTTCGCTGCTGGCGAAATTCGGCATATTTTAGATGGTGACGATGAGTTCATCCCTGCTACCCCTGAAGAACCAGTGGCTTCTAGTGTTGACCGAATCTATAGGACTCGTTATTGCATTCCCAGCTTGTTATGAGCATTAGTATAATGCTCGTCAACAGACACCAGCAGCCTCACTCTTATGTTATGAGCAGAAGGAGACGACTGATAGGGTATGAGTTCTATTTCTACTGACGGATCGTCCGTTCCTTTGGCTTCGAAATGGACACAGGTTCCCCTGTGGTTGAGTTTCATTGAAGACTATCATTCACGCAGCGCTAAGGACCCATCCGTGACTTGTTGTATTCGTGAGCTCGGCGTCTATCTTACCTCTGTGGCAGCGATGGATGGGAAAACAAATCGGAAATAATGTTTGTGACAAGAGCAGGTGACTGCTCATTGATCATATTAAAGTGCAGATGAATCATCAGCGGCGACAATGCGTCTTGACAAAACCTCGCTCCGAATGCCTACAAATGTATGTATAGAATATACTAATCTTATTCTAACAAGACCTCTACTTATGAAAGTAGTCATAAGTACAAAGCGGCTCATTGCAGTGTTAAAGTACTTCCAGCCTGCGTTAGGATTGAACCTATTCACAATATCATGATCTATCAGGGATGCGCAGTCCTTGGCTGACCAATTCCCTCTTGGTCTTGGTGGCTTGACTTCGCCCCTATACACAATTTGGCTGTCAGTCCTGACCACCCCAGTCTCATTGATTTGTTTCGTGAAGTGAGATCTGTGTAACCTTAATTTCAATACAGCCTACATGTCTTTTGAAGGTCATGCATAGACTGCAATAGGCTCGTGTCCGTAGCCGGCTGTATGTGCGTACAACACATTGAACGCTAGAGAAAGGCGAAACAGTTGGGAGCCATTGCTCCAGGGCCCTCCTTCACAGTATAAGTTGATAGTTCCGTACGCCTCCATACTATGGCACAGCCTATACAGTACGGGTCTTATTCTTTTTGCTGCTGATGTGTTCATTGAATATGATAAGTGAAGGATGGATCTTGGTTCACGGTGGCAACTGTGTAATGTTTTATCTCATTTGGCTCAGCTCGACTTATGATAGTTAAGAAAGGTTTCTTGAGGGGTGTTACACGCACAACCTCTGTGCCAGCTGAATATGCAGTTCGCCTTGCACTTCGGCCGTACGGAGGATCATTGCAGGCTGTTCATGATCTTTCAAGACATGCAGGCAATATTGGGCAATATCGGGCAATATTGGAAAGTGAGGTTATACAGACTTCGCTTCTTGAAACCGACCCCAGAGACCTAGGCGGGCTGGGCTGGCAGACCAGTTGTATATAGAGTCGAGAAGGAGTTGGTTGGTCAAGGACTCATGCAGCCCTAGTTGTTCATTATAATCAGAATTCTAAGTTACAAGCCCAGTATCTCTGCCCTTGTTATATGTTTCTTGAGGGGTTACCAGAGCCAAGCTTATTCCTACAACTTGCATCAACGAGAAGAAGTAGTCGAACCGTAAATCTGAGTATATTCGATCGCTTTCTGTATTCGTTAAATGCTCATCGAGATTGAAGTACTGAGAAATGGAGGATCCCAAACAATCCTACCTGGTAAGAAACATGTGATTATACCGATTTTGATTCCCCCAACCATACACCACCAGTTTTGCCATCAGCTGGGATAGATCATTTGTTGGTAGACTTTGACGCTATGTTCCCTCCTTATATTTATTCTCGGATCTAGGGTCTCGCGAGATTATACATGTGGCTAACAAGATGAAGACACCCTTCGGGCAACTAAGATATTGATTGCCGAACACCTGCCAACTCTTGATAATATACAATGTGAATGTGTCTTGTCAGGTCCTCCATTTTCCCCTTTCCGTTAGTATCGTGTAAACAGAGCAGGCGTCAAACCCAAGCACGCCCGCTCGCTATCTCTCCACTGGTCTTATTTTAACAAGTATATGTAAATGATCAGTAGATAGGGTCGAGCCAATTTTACGGGTAGCTGTATGAGGCTACGGTGGTAGTCAGCAGAGTTGAATTGCCTAGACTCACCACCAAAGAAGCAATATCGCTAGGGCGAAAAGGGAGATACGCGATGGGATACTAGTTTCAACTTTCGACTGGCCGTCTGATCTGCAAAGGGTATATTTCAATAGCATGCCTACCTTTAATATATGGGAGAATTATGATGGTATCCGTGACTATTTCTATGGAATATCTACCTAATCCTTGACATTGGTGTGGCAATATGAAGCCTAGGTACTGTGAGTGATGGAATAATCTACTTAAGTTAAGTCAGGCATTCCTCTTGGCGATTGGGTTGATATACCTATTCATTCGTTTCATTCGTTGCGGTGAGCAATCGAGGGCAATTTCGTATCGTTAGCATAACTACCTCGGCTAGACACTCCGTAGATATGCTTGGAGGCTTGGCAGAGCTGGAAACCCTACCACTAGACTAGCGAACTAGTTGCCCCCAAGAGCGGCTCCAACGGTCGGTTGAAACTCTGCCGGCAGTCAACACATGACCTCATCGCATCAAGGTGACTGGCGCGCCTAGATACGAGAAAACCAATGGCGTCAGTTGCCCAAGTCAGACCAAGTGAACGACTCGCTCGCCACTGTGCTGTTCCCTGCTAGTCGATTTGCTATTGGGATTGTCGAATGATTGCGGGGCGACGTGCTCGAGCAATCGTGGCAATCGTGAAGCTAAGTATGGCCTGAATAGTATTGGCCATCAATCGTGAGCCACTCGGCTGGTGATATCTGATGTGCCATTGCATATACGAAGAGCCTCTGCAGCGTTCCCCGTGTTGTAAAGACGGTCAAGCTCGGAAATAGAGCTGCTTTAGGCTCAAGCTGTCCTCAACTTGCGTTTTAGGCTAGACTTCGCTGTCGCTATCGACGGAAATCGAAGCAATGATCGAAATCATTGACACTGACTTGCCTTTTTTGCTGACGCCATCTGTACCTCAAACAAACGTTGTCTGCTGTTGTTGACCTAACAACTTCGCAAGCTTGTCCAGCTCCCCACCTATTCTAGACTCCGCAGATTAGTTCGTGATGATCGTTACCAAACGAGGACCCCGGGTCAGACGATCAACGACTAGAGATTGAGACAATATAAATGAGCTGCAGTCGCTTCGTTTTGCATCGTGAGTGTTTTGTCACCTGGGGACGAAGGTATTTACCGACAAGTCGCACTGCATCCATTCCTCGTAAAATCCGCACAATCCATATCACCCGCCTCCCAAGAATAGTCCCTCAATACGACGATGAGATACCAACTCTCAGCTGCCCTAATGGGCCTTGCCGCTACAGGAGTATCAGCCCAGGAACAGCAGAGTGGCCCTTTCGCTCTACATGTTAAGGGCACGAATCCTAACAGCACAATCGATGGTAAATCTCACCTGTGATATGAGGGCCGACCGCCGAGACGACAGTCGCTGACATCAAGGTACTAGGTTACGGTGGCAGTTGCCACGCGGGAGCTGGGATCTCGGGGCTGTGCTACTCCGTGTTGTCTGACACGACCGATCTTCCAAATACCTACCAGTACTGGTTCAACTACACCGGGTTCAATCAGGTCGGTGATGCTGAGGTCGGCACTTTGACGTGGAATCAACCATACACGGATGAAGAGGGCAACCCCGCATCTGTCAACCAGGCAATGGGTCTAGTTTACCAGACGACTAGCAATGTCGCTGCGCCGCTCTTCGGGTTCAGCCAAGACATCTTCCTCATTGGCTTCGACAGCGAGAACGAGCTTTTTGGCTACAGCTACGTTGACGACTCCAAGTTTGTCGCTGGCCAACAACCCCCCACCGCGCCCAAGGCTTCTTGTGAGTGTAGCAGTTCACCATGTACCCCTTTCACTTAGAACTAACTCTCCTTTCACAGACCAATGGGCCGTTTGCTGGCAATACTTCACTGGATACTTCTATCAATCCGTAGCTTGGATACAGCAGGGTGCTCCCCACAACCCCACTTGCGAACCAGTTGAGATCACCCAGGTTAGTCTCTGAGAATGTCTGAGAAGAGAAACGAGCAAAGATGTATAGAGCCCGTCGCCGTACGATAATACTGAATACATAGTGTTTAATGTGTGAAGGAATGAAAGATGCGGTCCAGATGCAGCGAGTATGCGAGCTTAAGTCTATCGAGATAAATCTCAACACCAACCTAGGCAGCTTCTGTGCAAATTAATATACACCCTCTTCTACAGATATCGTGTATCCCATGTTCACGCGCTTAACCTTCAATGACACATCTACAAGCGTAGCGCCTATCTGGAAGCATGTACAAGTCCGCCCTCATCCGGGCCACCCGTTTGCGCGACGGACACTTGAGCGGAGGTTCCTGAGAAGCTAATCCCGATGTGAACTGAATGACTGATTACATCACTCTCAGTCTTACTGTACATAGTACTTGCGTTAATGAAGTGTCGCAAAACCCCGTCCGCCCCTCCCCGCCCCCTCCCTTGCTTCTAGACTGGCCCTACAGCTTCAACTTGAGCTTCATCTCTTATTCGCACCTCTACCACCGGTCAACAAAACATATAATCAAGCTCATTACATTTCTGCTACCCCTGTTCTTGAAATTGAACTAGACTGACTCTCATCATCACCATGTCTGCCTTCATCGATCTGTCCAAGAACTATTCGTTCTATGCTGTGCGTTCATCCCACGATAGTCGCGTCCTCAACTTTGCAATGCGAGCGCGCAATCAAAACCATCCTTGCTAATCTATGCTCATTGAGTGAACCGTTTAGATCCCGGTAGCTTGGTTCCTCGCTTTTGCACCCGGCATCTACTCCAAGGCGCTGGGTGGCAAGAATTACGACATCGCCATGCCGCGAAAATACGCCGAGAACATCGAAAAAGATCAGACGCTCACGAAGGCGGTAATTCCACCCAATTTACGATGACTCGTCTACTGGCCCTGTTTCCCCTAATCATCCTGTGTGTCTGTGCACATGTATCCTTTCCGCTTTGTCGCCTGTGTCACGTCTACTCTCGGGTGTCACTCAGAGTAAAGCAACTCGATAAGCTAACCTTCGCTCCCCTCGTCGTGGGATAACCAGACCAAGGCCAAGATTCTGCGATGTGAAGCCGCGGCTGCCAACGGACAGGAGACGCTACCCATGTTTGTGACCTCTATTATCGCCGCCAACTACGCCGGTGTGCCCGTCGAGACCATCAACATGCTCGCCGGAGTGTACCTCGGCTCCCGTGCTCTCTACAACTTCACCTACGTATTCCTCCAGGAGAACCCTAGCTTCGCTCCGGTGCGAAGTCTCGTGGTATGTATTCCCCAGAGTCATCCAATTCTTACCATAACAACTTGCGGCGATGATCTCTCGTCTTGTGGTGATTACTATGTCGTGAGAGCACACAAAGCTCCTCGTACCCCATCTATTCACATGAAAAAGTAGCTACTGATTCTGGTGAACTATAGTGGAACGCTGGAGTCGTGTCCTGGATGACGCTGTTCATCAAATCCGGTAACCGGTTGTAAATGTATTTGTGAACAGAGTAACAGTGGGAATTCTTCGATAAGGGGGGGTGCAATTAACTCGAAGTTTGGCTCAAGTAGGATCAAATAGTGGTCAGATACCCCTCGGTGCAAGCCCTGACAATTAGAAGGAACGATACTAAGTGGCTGTCATTATGTTACTTAGGTACCTTGTTAGACGATCAATTAGCTCGTCTGAGGCTCTTAAAAAGCCGTGTCATTATGCAAGTTGCAATTCGATAATCTGTATTATGTTTCGCGATTTCCCTATTGCTATATTCTGGCATCCTGTGAATAGCGTGTACCGTGCACTGTGTATGTATATGCAAGCACAGCACTTGTTAACGATGGCCTTTGTCAGAAGGAGTGGGGACATATACGTATGATGGCAATGTGAGTTGTATTCAGGATAATTAGAAGGTAAAGATCTATAGTTAAAGACCTAGGGGGATATCGGTAATACTTATAGTTAAAGGTTTAAAGTATACCTTATTCTACACTTACTGATACTCCCACTTACTTTAAATTCGTATATTGCTTTAATAGGGCTAATAGCTAATAGGATATATTATATAGGACCTTCCAGCAAGGGCAAAGATAGTAATTTACAACGTTTAAATGAAATTAAAAATATAAGCAAAGTTAAAGTTAAAATAATAACCAATCTTCCCCCCTTTATACTTTAAGGTAGGTCCCTTTATAAAAAGCTATTATATATAAAGTTTATTAAAAGTTACCTACTTTTAGTTTTTTAATATAATCCTATTTAAAGTTACTAATATAGTTAAAAACCTATAATAAAACCCCTATAAAAAAAAAGAAAAAATAAACTATATAAATATAATAATATAAGGATTATATAAAGTAAAAGGATAAGTATTATTTAATAAAAGTTATATAACCTTTTATATAAAAATTATTAAATTTTTAAAATTATTAATCTTTTATAATAACTTATTAATAAATTTATAATATATTATATAATAAATATAAATCTTATCTATTTATAAAGTTATTAATATTATATTATATTATAAATTTTTATACCTTTTTAAATAATATATTTATAAAGGTATATTACTTTTTTTAAAGGATATTCTTTATATATAATTTAATTATTATATTATTAATAGGGTTATAGTTTTAAAATATTATAATTTTACCCCTAGTTAAGTTAATTATAATAGCTATTATAAAGGTATACTATTTAGCATTTTATTATAAGTTTTCTATTAACTTATTAATTAAGATATAAAAGAATTTTAATTAAATTTTTTTACTATTCTTATAATAATTATAAAAGGTATTAAAGGTATTCCAGGTATATATATTAAGCATTACTTTATAAACTTCTTAATCTTTCTTTTCGTTAAAGTAATTAAATAAAACTAATTTAAAGTAAATATAAAGCATATTTAAAATACTTTAATATTATTTTAAATATTAAGCTAATTAATTTCTAATAGATTTTAAATCTAATAATAATTCTTTAAAGAATTTAATTAAGTTTAATGCTATAAAATAGGTTATTAATAATAAAAACTTCTATTAAGGGTTATTTTAATATAAATAGAAGTAATTAAATTAGTTTTTAATATATAAAATTATTTAATATATATAAAATATTAAATTTATTATCTTTAAAGTTCATAATAGTTATAGCAATAAAAAAATGCTTTACTTTTAATTATATAACTTTAATAACATTATACTTTAATAGATAGTTATATAAGTTAATTAAGGAACTATAAAAGGATCTTATAATAGCCCTTAAAGGCTATAAAATAATATTATAAAGCCCTTTAAAAGCTTTAAAGTATAATTATTAATAAACTTTAAATATTATTATTAATTAAAAGGTATATTAAATTATAATCTTATTTAATTTATTAATAGGGCTATTACCCTTTAAAGTATTCCATTTTAAAGAATTTAACAGTTTTTTAAAATATATAATTATAAAGCCTTAACTTTAATATTAATAATTTATAATAAATAATTAAATAAATATATTTATTACTATTAAGCTATAATATATATATTAAATATATAAAAAGATAATAGTTTAATTAAGCTATAAAATAATAATATTTAAAGTAATAAAAGAAAACTTTATAAAAACTCCTATTTATTTTAAACTTAAAGCATTATAAAAAGTAAAAAACTTATCTTTAATTAATACTTTAATTAATTTATTAATGTGATGAACGTCACGTACGACCAGACCAGACCTGACCTGTCAATATAAGCTAAAGTAGTGAGCCAGGCTGACGGCTTATTATCCTGTATCCTTTTGACCCAAGGACCGTGGCGCAGTTGGTTAGCTTATAGCTGTATACGTTATACTATAATAAGCCACTTGAAGGGCTGCGTTTCGAACCTGCGGCGGAGTGGAAAACAGAAAATCCACCCATACCTATTGACAGCCGAGCCCCATTCCAGCCGGTCCGAAGGACTGTAACCGCGCTAGAACGAGTGGGTAGGTGCCCTGTAGCCCTCTATAGAGAGGCGTGACCTACGGTTGAAGCTGACTTTGAACAAGTACAAAGTCAGCTGTAGGTGCGGGGTAGTATAACGAACGTCACGTACGACCAGACTAGACCTAACCTGTCAATATAAGCTAAGGTAGTAAGCCAGGCTAACGGCTTATTATCCTATATCCTTTTAACCCAAGGACTATAGCGCAGTTGGTTAGCTTACAGCTATATACGTTATAATTAATAACCTATTAATCGGTAAAAATATACTATAGCTTAATATTATTAATAACTTAACGCTTATAAATAAACTTTAACTATATAATAATATACTTAATATTAATATAATATAAGGGGTTACTTATTAAAGCTATAGCTTTTTAATTATCCTTATAAATTATTATAATATTTATTCTTTAAATAGAATTTAACTCTTTAAATAATAACTTTAATTAAATAGCTTTTTTAATAACTTATATTTATTTAATATATTTTACTTTATAGGAAAATAATAATATAATAATTTACTATTTAAAACTTTAATTAAAAGTTTTATTACTTATATTAAAGATATAACCTAAGGTGGACTTATAGGTATTTCTATTATTAATATAATTTATATTAATATAACCTATTAAATCTTAAAGTTCCTTACGGTATATTAATTCTATATTTATTATTCCTTTAAGGTATTTAAAAATTTAACCAACTATTAACCTATAGGCCTTATTAAGCCTTATTATAAAATAGCTATAAAAGGAAATAATAAAGGCAATATTTAATTTAATACTAAATATAGCATAACGCATCTCCCACTTGACCTGGCCACCCCCTTAACCTATATAAAATCCTATTATTTCAATCTATAATAACTTTACGAATATTGATCGTACGATTGAATAATTAGTACCTTTATATCCGTTAATTAAAGGGGAATCCAGAGGTATTTTTTACTATTTTTTACAAAATTTATTAAGCGAGATATTAAGCAATACGCTAAAGGGGCGCTAAGCAAGGATTAATTTAACGCTTACTTTAGCGTATAGCTTAATAACTCCGGGAATATAAGTCGTATGAACTAATGAAGGGTACCGTTAAATAGCTCTTTTTATTACGAATCTAATGGTATATTTTATTATTTTATACGATTAGTATTTGTAGAGTTATTGAATTATCACGTGATTAGCGCACCGACGTTTTTTGTATGGGCTAGGGGGGTGGCCAGCTCAATTGGGTGGCCAGGTCAAGTGGGAGATGCGTTATATTAAGGAATTACTAATATTTATATATTAAGCTTTATCTTTTAATATAGCTATATAATCTGTTAATAAAGGCTTAAATACCTTTATTTCTATTGGAATATCTTTAAACTTAGCTTCTTAAAAATCAAATTCTTATAAAACCTTCTTTATATAAGCACTTTACTTAAAATAGATCGCCCGGTTCGCTTAATCCCCCCTAACTATTATACTTAAATAATAAAAGCAAAGGCTTAAATCTATTATATTAAATTTATTATATAAGGTAATCTTTACTTTATTAACTTTTTTTATAAAGGAAGTAATAATAAAAAGGTTATTTATATAAATAATAATATAGGTATACCTTTTAATAAATACCTTAACGTTAACATTTAAGGAAATAAAACTTAATTCTTTTAAAAAGGTAGCTAGAGTTTTATACCAGATCTTAAATACTTATTTAAGGCTATAAAGAGCTTTTAACAGTTAGTAGACCTTATTAATTCCATTTATAAATTCATTAAGCTATTCGATATAAATTTCCTTATTAATTAATTTATAAAGAAATATTATTTTTATATTTATTTATTTTAATTTAAAATCTAAAGCAGCAGTAATAATAAATATTACCTTATAATTTATAGGTTTAATAATAAACGTAAAGTTTTATTATAATCCAAACCTTTTACTTATTTAAAGCTTTTAACTATAAAGTAAGCTTTATATTAAGCAATTAACCTATTAAGTTTTTATTTTAACTTAAATACCTATTTTTTAAATAACGCCTTATATTCCTTTAATAACTTATAAAGCTTTTATATTTTATTATTAATTAATAATTTATATTTACTTCCTATAGCTTTATATTAATTATATGAATATATATTATTTTTAACTTATTTGTTATAATTAGGGGTTTAGGGTATAGCTGTATTGATGCTATGGACGAAGATTCTAAGCTAAAGGAGAAAGGAAGGAAAGATGAAACTAGAATATAAGCGTACGTGGAGATATACGCGTGCTAACGGCTATTATAGGTCATGTAACCTTATTGGCATAGGTTTCGTATATCTCTATAATATCCCTTTATAATGCGTACAATATTCCGGTATAGTATATATTTAATACGTTTATTATACTTCCCCCTACCAAAATTGAAATACGGGCGTAGAACGGGTTGAAGAATTATTTATAGCATCTGGTTTTAGTTATAATGCTATTTCGTACAGTAATATTATCGTTAGGGTAATTAACAATAAATTTATTAACTATTATAGCTTTTATCTATTTGTTTAGCTATTTAAGCAGTTTTAATATATTAGGCTATTTTTTATAAAACTTTTATATTTTAATTAATAAATTTTTAAAATTTTTTATTAGGTATTAAATATTATTAAGGTTATAACTTTTTTAAGTAATTTAATATTATAGTATTTTATTATATTTTATTATTTATAACTTAAATAACTATTTAACTTTTTATTCCGGACCTTTTTTAATATTTTTAAATTTTAATAATAGTTAAATTTATTAAAGTAATAGGTTTTTACTTACTTTATATAATTAATTTATATAAAAAAGGTTAATTATTTTTATTAATTTTAAAAGGTTTAATATATAGCTATATCCTTTTTTTTAAATATTTTAAAAGGTTTAACCTATTAAAAGTTTAATTGGATAGTTAAGCTATTAATTATAAAGCTCTTCTTTTTTAGGAAGACTTTATTTC